AGATTATCTTAACATCCATTTGATGCACATATAATTTATAAATGGAAGTCAAAGCTATAAGAACTCAAATGGATGTTATTCTAGCAACTAGAGCATATGTATCAAAATAATCTATGCCTTCTTTTGTTTAAAACCTTTTGCAACTAATCTTATTTTAAAGGTTTGTACAAAACCATCTATATTATATTTCTTTCTAAACACCCATTTACATCCTATAGGTTTAGAACCTGAAGGTAAATCGATAAAGACCCATGTATTATTAGATATAAATGATTCTATTTCATCATTAATAGCCTCTTTTCAAAAAGCAACATCTCTTGAAGTCATAGCTTCATTAAATATTTTAAGGTCTTTATCTATATTTAGTATAATTGATGTTTTATTAAGCACTTTGGTTTTATTTCCTTTTACTAAGAACACTATAAAATTTGGAGAAATAAAATCAGAAGGTAAAATATTTTCTTTTCTAGTTCTTTTGCTCCTTATAAGTTTAATAGAATCATTACTCTTTTTTTTTATTTCTAGTCATAGGAATCATTTCAATTTGTTTCTCCATATCAATTTTAGTATCACATATAAATTTATTTTCAAAAAATTCTATATGAATAGATTCAACAATAACATTAGTATTTAAACCAAGTAGTCTATATGCTTTTGAATTCTATGCATAACCAACAAAAATACTTTTAATACCTCTAGATCTTAATTTTGTTTTATGAGGATTAGGTATTTTATAAAAGGTAATGTAACCCCACACTTTTAAAATAATCTAAATTTGGTTTTCTGCCATGATTCTGAAGTTCATGTGATGTCTTCAAGAATTTCTTTGAAAGAATTCTATTATATATATGGTATGTTATTAAAAGTGCTTTTTATCAAAGATTTAGAGGTAATTTAGTATTTAACAATATACTATTTATCATATCAATTAAGGTTCTATTTTTTCTTTTGGCTCAACTATTTTATTAAGGTGCATAAAGAACTATCTTTTGATGAAAATTTTCATTATCTTCACAAAAAAGAGAAATGAATTTGAAAAATATTTGTCACCCTGATCAGTTCAAAGAATTTTGGTTTTCCTTTCCTTTTGATTTTCAACAATTGATTTGTATTATTTAAATTTATCAAAACTTCATATTTTGTTTTCATTAGATATACAAAAGTATAACGAGAACTATCATCTATAAATGTTATAAAATATATTTTTCCTTCCCTTATCGATAAACCATTTAAGTCACAAATACCAAAATGTACAAGTTCTAACAATTCTATATTTCTTTCAGCTTCATGAAAAGGTTTTTTAGTCATTTTTGCTTTGACATAGATTTCACATTTAATGTCATGATTTTTCTAATATGTTATATAACAATGCTTAGTCATATGATTCATATATTGATAATTTAAATGTCTTAATCTAGCGTGCCATAAAGAATAAGAATGCTCAACAATATAAGTAGAAACATTATTTATTTCATAAATTTTTAGTTTAAACATACCATCATTGGAATATCCTTTTTCAATGAATACACCATTTTTGAACACTATAAACTTTATCAGCTCTAGTACAATCTTAAAGCCTTTTCTTACATAATAGATTTACAAATACAAGGTTCTTTCTAATCTCAAAAACATGAAAAACATTAAGTAAAGTTAGTTTATGTCTTAAGGTGAATTTCAATTCAACTGTTCCTTTTCCAATCACTTTGGTAGGAACATGATTTCCTATAAGGATGTTTTCTAGTCTCTTGCATTCTTCATAGGTCTTGAACTACTCTTTGTTGTTGCAAAGATGAATTGTTGCACCAGAATCTAGCCACCAATCAAATGACTTATTTGTAGTAGCCATATGAACCTTGATGATCATTTCAATTTGCATGTCAATCACCATTGCAACAAGTTCATTAATTTTTTGCTCAACTAGATTTGCCTTGTTTTCAAAACTAGAACCAATCTTAATTTCAGCATTTTTAAATATGCAATATTTAATCAAATGTTCTTTCTTTCTATAATAGAAACACATTTTATTCTTGTTAAATTTGGATTTCTTAAATCCATTTTTCTTGACTTTAAAATTATTTTGAAATTTACCAAAAGACTTGTGAGTTTTTTTAAAATTTTGTCCATTCATAAAATTCACATTGGAACCTTTAAGAAAGAGTGCATCTCTTGTATGATTTTTCGTTTCAATCTGTATGTGAGTCTGAAATTCTTCAATAGTAAAAGTATCTATTGAATGTAGAACTTTCTTTTTATATCCATTCCAAGAAGGAAGAAGTTTTGACAAAATAGCTCTGACTTGAAGTGAATTAAGAACTTTAATTTTTAGCTCACTTAACTTAGAAACCAGAATTTGTAAGTCGTGCACTTGATCCATGATTGGTTTGTCATCACAGAAACTTATTTTTTTTTTTCGTTCAGGTATTTGTGTTCAAGATAGTCCATATCTCTTTTGGTGTTTTCATATTTTTGTATAGGTTATATAGACGATCAGATAATGAATTCAAAATATAACCTTAACAGACTAGTTCATCTTCTTAATGTTTGCTTTTTATTGCCTTAACATCGTCAGAATCTTTAGAAGTTGGTTTTGGAATTGGTTCCAAATTTGGATAAGTACATAAACATCTTTAATACACTCAACAGAAAAACCATTTGGTCTTTCCACCTAGTGTAGTTTGATCAATTAAAACGATCAAGTCTAATTACATCTTGATTTTGAAAATGAACCTTCATACTTGATTCCAAATTCATAGTAGCAGTAAGGATAACAATAGATGTAGTATCCATAATGGCCTTTAAATTATTAAAAATATAAGAAAACAAAAATAATATGAAAGAAGAAAATATGGCTTTGAGGCATGAAAAATACTATGTTAAAGGCAATTATACTTATAGGATACAACAAAGCCTTAAAAACTCTTTAAATTAGAAGTAGTGAAATTGATCCGGTAGAAAGATCTATTTATAACAAATGAACAGTCACCAATTAAACAAATTCAAAAAGTCATGACATTCTGCATAGTAATGTTTTCTTATTTAAATAAACTTTATTTAAACAATCATGTTTTTTCTGTTCAAACATGTTTATTTAGAATTAGTAATATTTTGAAATAAAAAAAGTCAAAAGATTAAAAATTAAATCTATTTACCAAACAAGCGCAAATGTCTCAAGTGCCCAAGTGCTTTTTTTTTTTACTTTTAAAATTGTCTGATCCATTAAAAAAACTCCTAGCAAGTCCAAATGACTTGGTCCACTCCAACACTTAGCTCAATTATTTAAATAACATAAATAATCTCTTTTAAACCATATATAAATGATATTTCTACTCAATGTAAGATACACCACATTCTAAACTACAAACACCACACCATTAAAAATGGCAATGACCCATCATGTTAGGCCCAACACAACATGATCAAGCACTTTAAAGTTTATGGGCTTTATGCCATGCTAAACCATCTATTTTGAAAATTTGAGGCATGCCAACATAATATGTAGTTTGATCGTACTGCTCTAGTTTGACACTTTACAATATGGTGCTAGGCATTATAGCATGTCGGATCACTCCAACCTACTAATTTTTTCATTTCTAGCTTGGTTTTCTAGCTCTTATGAAACTACTGACTAGTATTTTGATAATAGCTCATAAAGTTATTCGATTCAAGACATCTCTAGTTTCCATTAATTTTAAATTACTTTTATTTGAAAAAAAATTAAATAAAAATTATATATTAAGCTCTATTTACATAATATAATCAATAGAAAGGTGAATATGTAAAAGGTTAATAACTATAAGTATCACTACAAACAATGTCGTAGATAATTATAGAATCGTAAAAATTTTAGAATTTTTAGTGTCTCTACAAACAATGTCGTAGATAATTATAAAATCGTAAAAATTTTAGAATTTTTATAGATAATTAGGATTATAAGTATCTCATATGCATTAGAAAAGATTGACAAGGACCATTCTTGTTATACAATTATCAGTTTCATTTTATTATTATTATTTATTGAAAAATTATTTCTATGAAAAACAATTTAATTTTTGCTTCTAAACTACGAGAAACTGGTCGTGTTTTTGTTGATCATTTCGTTTTCATTTTTTATGAAAGATTTAAGCACAAAAGCATCTCATGAAAGTGCAAGGAAAGATGATTTTATAGACACTTAGCATGGCAAAAGCTTGGTCGTTTCTCTTCCAAAATTCTCACCAATTTTATGCATTACTTTTTTGGTTTGTCTTTTAATCGTTCAAATAAGGTGTTTTGTGTAGGGTTGGCAACAAATCGGGTCGAAACAGGTTTTTGTTTACCCTGAACCCGACTTGACCCGAGAATTTTTTTTTTTTATACATGAACCCGACCCGATAGTGTATAACCAATATTCGATCCGAAATTAATAAAATATTTTTTTTTAAATATAAATATATAAATATATATTAAAAAATTAAAAAATAATTTTTTATATAATATCGAGCCAGGTCGAATCGATTTGCCTAAAACCCAAACCCGATTTTTTCTTAATAATATCCGACCCAACCCAACCCAACCCGAAACTCAATTTTCAAAAAATAAAAAACCGATCCTATGGGATCGAATCGAGTCGAAACCCGCCAATTACGGGCTAGGCTGCCAACCCTAGTTTTGTGATTTTTGCACTATAATAAAAGTCATTCATTCATTGGTCTACTTTAATTATTTCTAAATTTTTTTTAATTAAATTCAAAACTTAACTTAATTAATTCATATAATTACTTTTAAAATGTGATATTTCATGAAAAACTTTAGATTAGAAAATTTTCAGATAGAAAATAAATGACTTATATAACATGACATTGTCTTCATTTAAAAGTGATTGCGCCTGCTGCACTGCATTGACTCATTCCTCGAATATAATTTTCTTTTCACCCAAAAGCAAAATCCATGTATTTTCTGAGAGTTTACTGCATATTCACCAATGTTAGGGAGTAGAGCGGATTCTTTCCCAGAAACCTAACAAATAAGACGTTCAAATCCTAATACTTGGATATTGCAGAAGGAAAATACAATCAGAAGTACTGTCAACAGGCAACAGTCATATGATCTATTGATAAAATATTGAACTCTTAATTTTAATAATCAGAGATCAATCACTAAAAACTTCAAGTACCAAAAAGAAAATACAACAAAAAGCATTGACCATGCAGACAACTATACAAGTGCTCAAACTGTACCAAATCAATCTCTTACAGAAAGAATTTAAAACTCCTGCACTGAATAAGCCTGTTTAAATTACAAAAGAAACAATTAAGTATCTGATATAAAGTACAACATCAAGCATACATGCTAGTTGTTACATCATAACATCCCCAAGATGGTAATGCGCGACTTGAGTTACAAGTTTGATTATGGACAGACGGACAAAAAGCTACAGATATTAAGTGAAAACCTCAATGATCTCTCTCAGTAGTAAGAGAATTTTATATACCAACATTCAATTTATAATTTACATATCTTAAGAAATGTTCCTATTTTATAATATCAATCTGAAGCCAACATGAAACTTCCAATGGTATATGCAGCAAGCTTGCTTGATTAAACTCCCCCAACTGCATTTGTTGGAATATTATCAACAATTGACAATCCACTTTCAGAAGCAACAATTGCTTTGCATCTGTTGTCCATCATATCAGGAAGAGGTTAGATTAAACATGATATAATAATTAATAAGGGAAATACACCAAATCAGTGAAATATTATTGGGTAAGTATATATATGTGTGTGTGTGCGCGCGCGCGTGCACGTTTGCATGTATTTGTTTTGTCTGGATGGGGGGATATACAACAACTAATAATGGCTTGATTTGAGTAGAAAGCATAGACAACTGCATATTTATCATAAAGAAGAATAGAGATTATGAGTACCCAGGTTTATCTCATTCTCATCCATATCTCTGACTTTTAAATTTCGTTTAGTGCTATGGTAGTTAACTTTAGCTTGATTTGATTAGACTGACAACACGCAAAGTAAAGTTATCTCAGTTCAATAAGTTTCAAAGAAAAGCTGAAGACAGTTTGAGTGAAGGGCTTTCCCTGATACGTGCTGCAAGAAACATTTATCTACGTACTCAGGTACAAGAGAAATTAGAGAGGTCTAACTTTAAATAAATAAGGAATTAATCAATCCTAAGGCTAAAATCATGGGATTGACTTTGCAGGAGGATTAGTCACTCTTGGGATTGTGGGTCTAATGTTGGCTCCCCATCTAGGAAGCACAGATACAGACAACAGAATATGGATAAGATCTGATGTGTTGGTCATGAACATATGATACAAAACAACAATAACAACAACAACAACAACAACAACAACAAACTAAGCCTTATATCCCATTATCTGAGGTCGGCTTTGGTCATGGACATATGGTGATTTTTAAAAAATGGATACAACAATTAGAATATATATATATATATATATATATTATAATTTTAATTTTGCATAAACAAATCAGGTGCAAATTTTCTTTTTGTCATAAAGGTAACTTCACTATGAAGTACATTTTATATAATCTTTATATGCTTAAAAGTTTTTATCCAATAAGGTTTGAAACCATCTGTTAATGTAAATATTACATTAACAGCATCCAAACAAAGGCCACTTTACCCAACCCAATTGTATGCCCCAGTGCCATCCACTTTTAAACTTATTTTCTTTTTCTTCAGGGCTGGTTAAGCAAAGCAGCAGCTGCACCATCTATTCCTTTGATGGCTTCATCTACCGTCCAAATTTTCACTTGTAGTCCAAGTCTCACCAACATAGATCATGCCTAAAGCAAGGGAAGATTGTGTTATTCTCAATGTTTCTCTCTTCTCTTCTGACAGTTAATGGCCACAAGAACATCATGTCTATTCACCACCAGGGACAAGAAATTTTTGGCCCTTCACCACAAACTAAATCCCATACCCATCACGTATCCGTGCTGTATGTGAAATAACAATTTCAGTTCTTACCTTTTTCTGGCATATCTGGTGCCGTTAAACACATACAGCTTGTTGAATGCACATAGGCATCCAACATGGATACAACACGAATAAAGGTGGGTTGGAGCCATATCCATGATTATTTTGCTAGAAACTAAAAATAATTGAACTAAAACAGAAATTTCAATACCCTGAAACCTAATGACTTCATACTCAAAATGACTGGGACTTTAAATAACTTGAATAGAGAACAAGCTACCTTGTTTGATTACAACTTCTGTGCTTTACCTATTATATTGGATACTGGACATGACACTTAAAATCACTATAATGATCACCTGCCCTCTTTTACAACAGGATGAGACTTTCAAATTCCACTCAATACAATCTTTTCCTCTCTCAGAAAGCTGTCTACGGTAATCATGTTGGAAAATTTTTAAAATATAGTGAAAGTATGAATGTTAATTGATTAAACATGATGTATTAATCAAAAGAATGAGAAACAAGCTATTGACAAGCTATACAATAGCTTTGATAAAAGTTCCAAACCAAGGAAATTGATTTAAGACATGAAAAATCAATTGGAGAAGCTTCCAATATAAGGCATTCAAATGCCCATGCATGGGGATTAGAATATCATGTGAAAAATAGCTTATGTTTCAACTTTACACTATGGCATTGACCAATCAATGGCATTTGAATGTCTTGCCTAGAAATGAGGCATTTGGATGCCCAACCAATGGTATTGGAATGCCATGCCTGAAAATGAGCTTTGGGACAAAAATTACAAAAAGGAATTAGACTTGTGTGAGAGGGCATTCTAATGTCATAGTATAAATTTTTGATAGCATTACTGTAATGTTTAGTTTCATTTCAAACCTTTTCATAACGCATTCTTTCACTTGTAAAAGTTTGCAAATCACACCTATTGAGTTCCCAAAGTTATGAACTCAATGAAAAGACAATCTGGTTTCATCAATCAACTGAAGAGTTACAACTCTTGAGTTTGATCTTTATAAATAGAGATATAAAAAATTATTTTAGTAAACTCTGAAAGACTTGAACATATTAGAACCTATTTAATTCTTTTCTTCCCATTCTCAAATTAAGAAAAAGTCTCTTAGACACGGTTTATTGTAGAAAACAGGGACTAGGAAAGATATTTCCGCCTCTCATCAAAAGTGTTTAGTGGTTTGATCTCACAAGTGCAAGATGTTACACAAGGATTCATTGTATCCCAAGACTATTCAATCTAACCCTCTTGTATACTGTAGTTGGTGGGAGCAAAATAAGTTCAAAGAAAAGTAGTATTTGCAATTTGCTGCAAGCCTTGAAGGCATTTCCTTCTATTTTGTTTCTCTATCTTGTACCCACCACACCTCTCACAAAAACAACATATCTACCGATGTCAATTATAAACATATTCACATCTGTCAAATTGAAATGACTATGCTTATTCATGCAAATTTATAGTTGCTAGACAAACCTACTTTTATATGATATTAGCTATTTATAATTATCACCTGATAATTAATTAAAATTTAAAGTGGGGTAAAAATACTCAATATTGAATTACTAGGCGCATCAAGTTCATATTGTGTTTAACAAGTTGTACTAGTTTGATTCAGTTTTAGATCATAAAAAATTGTTTAATGAACTATGAATTTTGATTAAAGACTAAAATACCTTTCTCATTAGCCAGGTCCATATTTGATTCAAAAGGCAGAGAGGTTATTCCAGGTTTTGGGTTACTTCAAGTTTGGTTTGATCTGGCCATTTGTCATTTCAAGTTTTACATATTTGTATTTGGTTTGTTAGGTTCAGGTCATTGACTTATTTTAAAGGCATATTGGGTTGAGTTAGCTTTATCACCTCTATTGATGTGGAAGGTAAACAAATATTCCAAGTACAAGTTAACAAATAATTCCCTTTAACATGTGTCTAAATCCAAACCCACCATATCGGAACTCTCTACAAGATTTTGATTATCCAATAGATAAACTGAGGATCCTATGAAAAATTCCTAGACTGCCCCATCATGTGGATAGAATTTCAACTCGTGTGTTTCATTGTATTCAACTAGCTAAATAGCTGCAATAAACATAATTGGGATAAACAGTAAAATGATTCAATATCCATTCATGCCAAAATCACATATCTTCCAACTCAAACACTTGTAAGATAATAATAATAATAATAATAATAATAATAAAAATCATCAAGATTTGTTTTCTGCATGTCATGTGAGAGATTCATGTTTCCTCTACAAAAAATCAAACAACAGCTCAATCCTATCTGTGCAAGAAAAGAGAGTTCACAAGGGAAAAATGGAACTCACGGAAATTTGGAGACAACTCCATGATCTACAACCCCATCAATCTTTTCAAGGCTTTCAGCAACTTCAGCTACAAGTAAATTTATGTAGGTCATAAAAAAAGTTGCCGAGTTGTTATTTTCATTAAAACATGATGATTCTCAAACCTACCAAGACTGGCTATAGGAGATGTAAAGATGACATCAAGAATATTATGACCTTCTCTAGTGACTAATGGAAAGTCACCTCCAAGTGGATCTGCTTGTCCTATTGTTGGTCTCCTCCATACCTTCACAAAGCAAAGGAAGCAAATCATTGGAGTAGAAACGGACTTACAGTTTAATAAAATTTACCAAATGAATAGCTCATTAGATATCCTGCATCCTAATTACAATTATAAAAGCACAATGCTAAGGAAACTACTTAGTACACTAGAAAGTAGTATGTAGTACACTAGCAAGTAGTATGTATTAGGAAAAATTTTAAAAGGCCATTGGATGATAGTTTTAAAAAATTTTATTTTGTTTCTTTTACTAAGGCTAATGATTGGGAATAGAATGCTCTATTGATGAAAGATCTTGAATTTATCACTGTTACAGTATTATGAATGTTCTCTGAAAGGTTTAAAATTCTAATGTGGGCAAAACTTAGGATGGCAGATTAAAGAACATATTGTCTATGACAATCTGATACTTTCAAGGAAAATAAGCAAAAAAAATATTAGAAAAAATAGAAAGATATCCTACAGAATAAAGCTGAGGGCTGCCTAATTAATCATATTCTTGATACAAACCTTTCTAGAAACAGGAAAGCAGGACTAATGACAACAAAGATGAATATATACTCGTCATCTCTTTAACCTAGAAACTTGGACCATTAGAACCTACCATACAGCACAAAATAGAATATAAAAAAGACTCAGGAGCCCGTGCTTACTACAGTGTATCTATAACTGTAGCAAATAATCCTTAATCACTAGGTCAAAGGAAGTCCCAAGTAAAGCTGACTCAAGAATGTGAATGACTTCTAAGCCCTCTTAATCCCGTCATGATCTGAACTAGCCTCCAAAAAGTCAATTCTTAAACAAAAGAAAAAACCTTAAGCAAGATAAACAATTTTGAGAACATTTATACTTATTGAGCAGGCTTGCATATCCTTCCCAGCATCTAATATCAATCAACTTAGAGATAACAAAATTTCTTCATGAACATCAGATTCTCATGGTCTTTAGAACTATTCTTTCTTTTGGCGAAGGAAAATAACAAAACCACATTAAGTACAAAGCAAATGGTAGAAGATGAGTTGCATAAACCTCATGGATCAGGAAAAACAAAGTAGCTTGTACTTACAAAGAACTAAGCCACATGAACATATACATATATATATATATATATATTGTACTTACAAGGAACTAAGCCACATGAACATATATATATATATATATATATCATACCTCTGCATCACCTAAAAATAGGTCATCAATCTTTTCAGCAGTGTCCATCCAGTTGAGCTGAAAAATATACAAATGTTAATCTGTTCATCCTTTTCTTCCTTCCTTGGTTTATTAGAGTGGTTTCACATATTTTCAACAGAAGCAAGGAGATGAATTTATTTACTTACTGATTCAACTAGAACAGGAATAGAACCCTCCAGACCACATTTATACTGATTTTCTGTAACCATGAATACAAGCTGATCAGCCATGCTTAGTACCAACTGCAAGTGAAAGTTAGCAGTAGGTGTTTCAGAGTGAAGTAACTGAAATAGAATTCAATTAATTTATATTGTATAAATTCAGAGCAATAATTCTATCAAAAATCATGAGTTCTTACATGTCTTCGGATAAATTTCCACACTAGGGCTCTGCCTAGAGAGCCATGGAAATAGGACAGACAATAAAACTTGACTCACCTTCTCTTGGATTATGGACTCCTCACCTTGAAATCTTCGGCGTCCAATGACTGAAATTAGTGTTCTTTCCTCTATTATGTCAACATCATCAAATGCAAAATCAATCTGCAAAAAACAACTCTTTGTCTTATCATATTACAGTTTGAACTTAGAAGCATATCATGCTATTATTGAATTCAGAACCATGAAAGTCTAAAGGCTGGAGGCAAATTTATAGAAGTTATGAAAAAAATAATCTTACGGTAGTTCCTAATGGCAATTTGTTATTTCCTTTTGAACTTGTAAATGCCTAGTGATCCGGCAACAACGAAGAAACTTTGCAGTCTAGTGCAGATTTTGCTTGAATAAATTCACAAGAAAATGCTTGATCAAGGGTTTTTGTTGGTTCAACAAAATTAAAGCATTCAAGCAGAACTAAAAAAAGCAACAGTCAAAACCCAATTAATGTAAATTCATCATTTGAGTAATGACCCACTTGAGAACTGCTTTCAAACTCTCCTAATGGAATTCCTGCCTTTGCTGCCTCACTTGCACTCACTTCAGACCTGCACAAATCCAGAGCAACTTACACGTATTAACAAATAACAAACCAAAAAAGAGGCTGCAACTAGACTTGATAATCTAAAACACAACATGGTGACATGACACAAACATGATACGAAAAGAGGACACCAAAGTGATACCGCTTAACATTTTAGCAATAACTATATATAGGTTTAATAAAACCAAAAAAATGTATTTCATGTTTTCTATGGACACGAATTATGACATGTAATTTTCGTATAAAGTACAATATTAATACATGAATTTTAATATTTTACAGATACAAATACACGAATCACCGAGTGTAGTTGCAACAGTAGAGGAGCAAGCAATACAAATTTGGTTCTCTTGAAAACGAAATTAAATACGATTAGAGCAGAAAAGCCGATAATACTAATTATCAAGGCCAAGTGAGAACATAGAGAATCACCAAACGATGAAAATAGAAAAGAAGAGTAGCACAATATCTCATGGAGCCTTTTGAGAGAACAGTAAAGAGAAGAGAAAAGAGAAAACCCATCAGTGAGGTGAGATGAGAAAATGAAAACTCACGTGGGTATCCCTACAATGTGTTTGAATGCACGTGCACGAAGTTGCTGACCCAAATACTGAATGGCCATGGCTGAAGTTTGACCAGACCCCAGTCCAATAACCATTCCACTTTTTACAAACGAATCAACCTAGCATTACCAGTTATGCAAGTTATGTTAAAAGGGAAATGCAAGTGAAAGAAAAAAGAAGAGAATGAATGAAGCGTACAGTGAGCTTGGCTGCTCGGAACAGAGGGGAAGCCTCTGAAAGGGAGCAAGCAGTTGCAGTTGATGGTTGAAAGTTGGTTTTCCTTTCCCTTGTAAACAGTCTCGGATTGGGCTTCAAAGTTAAAGGGAAATAAGGAAGAATTGCTGCTGAAGCTGATGCCATTCTTTTCTTTCTTATCTCAATGCTTCTGGTTTCAAATGGATGCACCTCTTTTTTTTTTCCTTTGCGTTAAACTCTCTCCAATAAAAATTTAAAATAAAAATTTATGGAATTTTTTATAAAAAATTCCATAATTAAAAAAATATATATGATTTTATATTTAATGGAAGGAATATTTTGCCTTATAATTTCATGTTTCTGTTATTGGCATCAAATATAAAAGAAGTGACAAGCCAATGACTTTTAATTGCCCTTTGTCACCATGGCTATTGAGGTTAACGAGACAAAGAACATCCCTAAAACAACTTAATACTTATACAAAATATTGGTATATGTCTCTTTTATTTTTAGATGTCCCAAACAAAATTAGCAATAATTGAAATGAAAAGTTAATTAGTATAGTTATGAATAACCTTTTACTCGAAAATTTGTGGATTCTTTTTTTTTATATATATATTTTGTTGGATATTTGGATTTATTTATTTTTTAATCCATATAAGTAGATTTAGTTTTTCTTTTAACCTACTTTTTCACTTATTTAATGTAATTGCTTTTCTCCATGAAAGATACTATTTCACATGGCCTTATTTGGATATTTTTGAAATGTTGGAGGAATTACGAATCTAAGTTAGGACCTTTTTTTTTGTTGATATTTAATGGTGTCCAATTGTTTGCATGGGATAGAATTTTGAAAGTATAAGAAAGGGTGATAAGTCAAAAGGCAAAGCTTGAAAATTGTTTTGATACTTGTACTTTAAACTTAAGTAAGTGCTCCATCAATAAGTAGGAAGAAGAAAAAAATGTAGACGGAAAATACGGAAGCTAGAGTTGCACTTAGTTAAGAGATACTTAGAAATGGATACTTATACTTATGTAATGGGATACTTTAGGTCTCAATGGCTCAAGCTCGATACAAGAGGATTATAAAATTACATCGTAGGCTCAAGCTAAATTGATAATTAACAATTTTATTGAGAGTGATAAGTTAGTATTTTAATGTATCAAATAATGATTAATTGAAATAATCAAACTAACGTAAAACTTAAAATTTTAAATTAATCAAACATATTATTTAATTAAAATAATAAAATTATCCTTAATTGACAACTGACCTACACTCTAAAAGAAAGTTTATTTGATCCTATGGATGATACACCTTTAGAATGCACCAAACCAACAATATGGATAATCCCTTCCTATTGAAAATGTTCAATGTGATTCTTTTAATTCTTTAGGTATCAATGTGATAGAAAGTATAAAGTTCAGGGACCAATGTGCATTTAGCCCATTCAATAATGTGTGATCTCCTATTACTGCTTAGGTTGAGCTCCGCATAGCCCATTTGGTACAGTGCTGGATAATGCCCAGTAGGTTCCAAGACCCATCAGGCCAAAATTTGGTACAAACAATCTCATCAAAGGCCCGTGACAACAAGCAACCCTTGGCTACAACCGGTTCAAAGGGCCGGGCAATGCTAGTTATGTTAAAAAGGGTCAACAGATTAGAAAGGCACGCACATGGATAATGGAATGAAAGAGAAAGTGGTGGTGATGATCATGATAATGGGAATCAGCCTCTTTTGACACCGAAAATATGATGCTATCAACTTTCGAGTCTCAACGACTATATAATATATTCATAAATGGTCCCAACATTAGATAATGGTGCTATCATGCTTTCGCCCGTTGCTTTTCACTAAACATTATCATATCCCCTCCCTTTATTCTTTCCATAAAGCTTTACATCATAACTAACCAAACATTTTTCATATGTTTTATATAATCTATGATATCAATTTCCTTTTTCTTTTCATGTTTTGGTCAAAAATTAAAAAAAAATTTGAATCTATATTAATAAATACGATTGATGCTTGAGAGAAAAAAAAAATATTAATAAAAAATAAGCCAACAAAAAAATATGGCTTAAGTTATAACTTTTAAAATGATTCCTAATAAATTTAAAATTTAAATTTCAATATTTATAAATTTTCAACCGATTTTATATCAATAACCTATATTAAATTAAAAAATAAATAAATAATTTTTGAACGAATGATCCGGAATGGTAAATTTGCCAATAGGCCAACTAACTATAAGAAATAAACATTCATGAATTTATAGTTTATTACCTCAAAAGTCAATACCATTTATGGGAGCCGTTTGACTGTGAAACAAAAAATTAATGTTGTACAACGACTGATATTTTACATTGAATAAGCTCATAAGACTATCCCAACTATTTATAATTATTAATTGAGTTTTATTATCTCATCATATTTTTTTAAACACATTTCCTTAATTCAAATTTATTTCAATTACAAGTACATATTAAATTAATTCTTAATATAATAATCTCAACAAATAATTTATTTAAACTCGTATATTTTTATCGATTTACATATATTTAAATCAATTCATATATAATTCAAAATCGAAATTTGATTTCTAGCAATAATAATTTATTTTTTAAGTTAATATAATAAAAAAATTTATATTTTATTATTTTATTTAAATAAATTTTTATATTTTTGTTATATCCAAAGAAATTTTTAACATTTAATTTATATTAAAATAAAATTTTAATTTTATGAATTGGATGCGAGTATATAAAGAGATGGGAAGACATCCATGATAGTTGAAACATTAGATTCCTAATAAAACATGTAGCAGCAGCAACTTTTGTTGCTTTAAAGATAAAGATTGAAGACAACCCATCGTCGCACTCCAACAAAAACTTTCTCTCTCTCAATATATATTATTTTTTCCGTTATGATGATCACGGGTTAAAGTAAAAGACAAAGGGGCTAACAAAATTGGAACGTTGGAAAGGAAAGGAAGAAATGGACACAGCGCAAGGAAAATGCGTTGAGTGGGTGGTGACCCATGGCATGCCCATCGTTTTCATGCCACATTCATGCCTCGCCCCCATTTGATTTGACTTTTCTTTTTTTTTTTTTCTTTTCTTTTTGTTGGTGGCCAACATTTTCTCTCCTCGTTTCTTTACTTATTTTTTCAGCGACAAAACCTACCCATCAAATTATTGTTTCTTTCCTCTTTAAAGCTTCGATCAGATTCCCTAATTTTTAGGGTTGGCATGCTAAATGATTGCTCTCTTGTCAATTCAGGAATTAAAAGAAAAAAAAGGGCAAACAACCAAAACAAAATTATTTTTTTATTATCAAAGGATTTTATTTTTCAAAATAATTTTATAGATAAAAATAAATTTCTTGTAAAGATTACTATTAGTATTTTTTTAATTTTTTCAAAATTATTATTAAAAATAATATCAACACATTCAAAAATTTATTGAGTGTCAATTATTGTATTTAGTGGTATAATCTTTTCCTAAATAGCATCATAATAAATGTTTTTATAACTATATTTTATATCAATTTAATTTTTTAATTACGTATTACTTAAAAATATAATCAAGTCAAATTAAATCGATACAGTGATAAATTCGAATTCGAGTTTAATTAAAAATTTACTATTTGAAACTTAATTTGAGTTTGATTGAGTTTTAATTTTTAAGTTTAAGCTCAACTCAAAATAAAAATAAAATTACTCAAACTCGTTTGATTAGGCTCATTTAATAAAATGAACTCGATTCTCGTACTTAATTTCGAGTTTGATTCTCACATTTTATTTCAAACACAATTATGTGTTTGAACTTGTATTTGAACTCGAATTAATATACATAAGAGTAAAATAATAATTTTTTAATTAAAATAATATAAATATATTAAAATTTAAAAGTTATATTAAATTCGTAAATTATTCAAGCTAAGATACTCAAATTCGACTTATTCAATAAATCGAACTGTTTGAGTTCGAGCTCAAGCTCGATTTGATAATAATTGAGCTAAATTCAAATTTTATCTAAATTGAAATCAAATAACTTATAAGTATTAATGTATTATTTATATCATAATATTATCTATATATAAAAAAATGTAAGTACCATTCAATTGTAATATATAATTATATTTTAACAAAGTTAATTCAATTATTTTATTTTTTTGACACTATTTAAAATTTTTATTAAAAAAAAAAACACTAGCTATGAGCAGGTTTAAAGAATGCCTAGTTTTATTTGGACGTGTACAATAAACGTATATGATTTGTAAACCTCACAAGTTTATAAAAAAATATAACTTAAAATCCCTAATCATTATACAAGTATTTCAAAAGGTGATTAAATGATCATATTGGTTTATATCTTAATATGCAAAAATTATTATTTTAATCATTCATAACCTATCATTTGTAAGTTTGATCATAAATCAAGATTTAACATGTTACGTAAAATTAATTACTCTAGGGAATAAATTTCATAAGTGTTTTTTTAATTTATTTTTTACTTAAGTTCTTAATTTCTTGATTGTTCCTTTTGGATTTTTGATCTTTTAAAATAATTTTATATTGATATTTTTTGTTATAAAGGTGAGTAATGATCTAAGATCACTCGTGAATTGCTCTAAAACAATGGTTTTTGATTTGATTTTAAGGTGGTGTAGAGATTAATAGGTGATTTATGATTTTAATTTTTTAAATCCAATCGACACTATTAGAGTAATCCACAATTCTAAGTAGTTGCACACACTATTTTGGATCAAACGATCGGATCATTGGACCACTATTTAAATTGATGTAAGCATGTAAATTCTAAATACATATAAAAATATAATATCATTATATTATAATTAGTCCGATGTACGAAATAATTTTATTTATTTAATATAAAATATATATATTAGTCTCTTTTAAAAATTATATTTAAATATTTAAAACTCATAGTATATATAAAATTTATATATTTACTTGTTATTAAAAATAAACTTTAGGAAAACAGCAAAAAAATATATTATATATATTTTTAATATTTTTGTTTATAATAATATTTAGATACCTGTAAAATTACATCAAATAAAAATAAATTATGTATTTCTTTAAAAAATAAAAATATATATTACTTAATAATTAATTAAATAATAAAAATGTATTAACATAATTTCACTTTAGTATTTTAATTAAATTATTATACAAAATATGAAAAATGTTAGAAAATATGTGAAAGAAGAAAAAATAAATTAAAAAATATTATTTTTCATAAGAATAAAACTATAATAATAATAAAATATGTCTTGAAAAAAAGTTATAAAAAAAAAAAGTAATAGAATATACCTTGAAAATTTTTATTGAAAAATAAAAAAATGATGTATAACACATTACATTTGTAGTCTTAAATTTGCAAATGAATTCTTTAATGGCAATTAAGATTAAAAAGATAATTTTTAAATTAATTTTTTAAAATTTAAAATGAATATAATAAGTGATAAAGATAATATTTATTTGAAATATAAATTTGATAATTAGAGTTCAAATAAATATAATCATTTTAATGATCTTATTATTTAAAAATTGTATCCTATTGCTTTTTTATTAATTTATCTTTTCTTATTGCAGGTGAAAACAATGCACATTATAATATTTTAGCTTGAAGATTTTTTCTTTATAATCATGTGGGTATTTGTGGTTTGTGCTTTGTAAATTTTAATTTTGATATGAATTGTAATAATGTGAATGGGATAATCATTTGATATACTAACAGTAGAATTTTTTAATTTTACAAGTAAAATTAAGATGATAATATATGTCTCTTATATATTTTTAAAAATAAATTAAAAAAAAATAAAATATATGTCATCATCTTAACATCATTTATAAAGTTAAAAAATTTAATTGTTAGTGTATTAAATAATTTTTTTAATGTGAATTCATAAATTTATATTAAGTGATTATTTTTTATTTATGATATTAAATATTAATTATTTTAATTATATTTTAAAAAAATTTTAAAACTTAGAATAGATTCTGGGACGTAATAAATCTTGTATGGATGATGCATGGTCTTAGAGGATGACAGATTGGCTCACAATCCAAAATTTTCAAGACTAATATTGCATGGTTGGTCTACGATGTTATTTTTATGATCGATGAAGCTTATCATTATTTCCATACATTTTTCATTAACAATTGCGAAATATGTTGACATGGCATGCTAATTGCTAAGGATAAGTTAGAACATAAAAATTGCTTGAATGGTAACAAAATTATTTGATAAAAGAATCAAAATTAAATAATTTTAAAATTAAATACTTCAATAAAACAATTCAAAAGTTAAGTATTAAAGTGAAATCAAAATAAAAACTAAGAGAATGTGGATGAAATTTGACCAAATGACAATTTAGCCGACGCTGTCAATTGGTCAAATTTTAGTTACTGTGAATCAGCATAATAGTAGTAATTTTTTTAATACATGTTTGATTAAAAAAAGGAGAGAACTGAGAATGAAATTAAAAAAAAAAAATTTAACAGTAAAAGACAGGAAAAAGCCCAAGGCAGAGTCGAAAATTTAGAAAAACAAAGGAAGACAAACGTTCATATTTTTTGTAATCTAATAATAATAATAAAACGTTCGAAAAAACGAAAAAGCACGGCACCCGAGAAAAGTTACAGATTCTCTCAGTACTCCAATCCCTTCTTATGTTATTTTTATAACATAATTCCACTATCTCTCCCTCAAAGCTCAAAAGGCCTTCAAAAACAAAGCCCTTCTTTTTCTTTCTCAATACAAAACAAGGAAAAGAGCTCTGTCAGACTCACTCATTCCACTACCCTTACATGGAACTCACTGCTTTTCCTTAATTAATGGCTTCCCACCACATTCCTCAAAAAGGGTAGCTGTTATTCACTCTTCTTCTCCACTACAAAGCCTTCCTTACCCAACTAGTGCCCACCCACCGCCGCACAAATGACCCTCTTGTTCTTGGGTTACTGACCTTTCTGCTTCTTGTTGCATAGTGAAGGTCTGCTTGGTTTAAATCTGGGTTTTGTTTTCAGAAATGATGGGGAACATTTGTTGGGTGTGTTTACTGCTGCCACTTTGTTTTGGGTTGTTTGTGAACACTCTGAGTCAGGAGGATTCGGATTCAGATACAAGTACAGCTGTGTACATTGTCACTCTTAAGCAATCTCCTGCTGCTCATTACTTTGAGGAAGAACTAACAAGGCAGAGTCATCATGGGTTCAATCATGCTTCTACTTCAGGGAGATTAAACAGGCTTAACAAACCAAGGCATGAAATCTTACCCTTCAGTCAATAGAACAAAGCCGTTGTTGCCAGCAACTTTTTTGTTTCTTCTGAAAATAACTGTGATTTATTCTTTTGTTTGTATTCTGGTACTTGGTGTTTTAACAATTATTTACTGTAAATCTGGGTCCTAACTTTTGTTCTGGAGTGTTGATTTTTAAATATTCTTTAAACAATAATTGGGCCTCCTGTTCTTTCTGTGGGGCTTAAGGTGGAATTGGCTGTTGGGGAATTGTCAAAGCTACGTATGCAGTGTCTTTAGTTTTCCCATACCAAAATTTTGTACTTTTGGGTTATATTATCAGTAGCAAAAGAAAAAATTTTCCATACCTTTTGGTTTAAATGGAACCTTCCCTCTCTCATGACTATTATTTGTACTTGAAAATTTCTTTTTCAGACATACATTCTCTGAAAAAAAAATGGGGGAAGGCTTCAGCTTCACCATGTTGACACTTGACATTCATAAATATCCAATAATTTGTCCATAGGTTGCTAATTTTTGATTATTGTGTTTGGTGTCCCCTTTTTTAACTTCTCTAAAGTCCCATGTAGCTCTTGGTTCTTCTTGAAGCCTTTTTATGTTGTTTGATGTAAAGTTTAAAGAGTTGACTAATTCTTTCTTTGGAATGTATTCTTTCTATATTTAGGAATAATTCAAGATCTCATTCAATGTCTAGTTCCTATATTTCTCGAGTTCATGATTCTTTGTTAAGGATAGCCTTGAGGGGGGAGAAATATCTGAAGTTGTATAGTTACCACTACTTGATTAATGGCTTTGCTGTGCTTGTCACCTCTGAACAGGTATATCATCAGACATCAATCAACTTTCCTCATAATTATCCATCATTTTGTCATGTTATCATCATCATTGTGCTGCTAAATGCGTTTTTGATTTTATATCATTACAGTATAATATTTTATTTATACTTTCTAAATACATAAACTACGTTTGACTTCTACTCTTTTGGCTTTTGTGTAGTTTTGCATATCATTTAGGCTGTTAGTGTCTCAGATGCGCAGAAACTTTTAATTTCTTTTTTGAAAATTTTCTTATAATATAGGAAGAATGCTCTTAATTAGTTGTATTCTGCTATTTCAAAGGCGGACAAGCTTTCAAGGAGAGGAGAAGTTGCAAATGTTGTATTGGATTTCTCTGTTAGAACTGCAACCACCTATACTCCACAGTTCTTGGGTCTACCAAAGGGGGCATGGTCCTTGGAAGGTGGATATGAAACTGCTGGAGAGGGAATTGTAATTGGGTTTGTTGATACTGGTATTGATCCAACTCATCCCAGCTTTGCTGATGATGTATCAGAGCATTCATACCCAGTTCCAGCCCATTTTTCTGGCATTTGCGAGGTGACTCGGGACTTTCCTTCCGGCTCTTGCAATAGGAAGCTTGTTGGAGCACGCCATTTTGCAGCATCTGCTATAACAAGAGGAATATTTAATTCGTCTCAGGACTATGCATCACCATTTGACGGTGATGGCCATGGCACGTGAGTGAATATTTTGCATTTTTTATGGATCATTGTTGAGTTAGTATTACTTCGAGTTCTTTTTTCTTTTGTGAGTAATGCAAATTGCTTTTAGATTGCAAGGGAGATAAGTAAAAGGTTTAACTACTTGATCTTAGATAGAAAGTTAACATTGGGATGGACTTAAGAGAAAATTTATTTTAGAAATATAGATCTGAATAAATAATGATTCTTCTTACAGCCATGCCAAAGATTGCTATTATGAAAGTAATTAGAAAAAAGTTAGAAAAGAATTTGTTGAATGGCTGTTTTACTTTAATAATGCTAGTTTACTTTTTTTTTTCCCCTTTTGATTCTAACTTTCAAGCACTCACATTTCAGATTGACTCTTTTAATGAGGTTTCTTGTGGTTGTGCTCGTGATTCCCTCACATTCTCTCCAATTCCTCAAGACATAATAGGCTCTATATGCTACTGATAAACATGTTTGACCATCCTTCTCTTTTGTGTTGGAGGAGCTAACTTTGAATGTATCCTGTGGTCAAACCTGATTTTCTTTGCTCCTTACTCCCATGTGGACAATGCTGATAGTAATCCCACGAGCCTATATTTGTGTTATAGTGACATTTGTTTCTCTTTTGTTTTCTTCCTAGATATTTAAGGGTAGTACTTTGCACACATGTTGTCTTCTTAGTGCCATTGGTTTTAAAAAATGTCATATTGTCTTTTCCGAGGCAATAAAGTCTCTTTGTTGTTTCCAAAATATAATATTGTAAGGCAAATTGCTCAATGTTGAAATCTTATAGATGATTGTCAAATTTCTTGAATAATTGTTGAATACTATAGACAACCTTCTTTTCACTAGATGTTCGAAATGTGGGCTTATGTTATTGAAAAACACCACAAAATTGTCAATGGTGAATGATCTGCAATAATTCTGGTCACCTGTTTATGAGGTGACCTGATTTTATTGGTCTTGACTCAATCTTCTAATGTTGCTAATGAAAATAATATTAATGCAGGCACACAGCTTCTGTTGCTGCAGGAAACCATGGGATTCCAGTGGTGGTAGCAGGGCACCACTTCGGAAATGCTAGTGGGATGGCTCCTCGTTCACAGTAAGTTTCTGAAACTGAATCTTAGTTACTATTCTCTTTATATCTATGAAACTTCTCTGCAGAAACAAATTTACCTCAAAGCTTATCATCTTTAACTTTCATCCTAACCAATGCTAAACCAAACTAAAGTACTAGCTGATAGAATGACTTCTAGTGGCAATTAGGAAAAGAAAAAGGTTTTATGCACACAACTTATACAAAGGCGCCTTGATTCTTGCTATTGAGCATTATAGTTAAGAATTCTCTCTATGGATGGAAATGATTTCAGGATGAGACTAGTCTAGAGCATATGTATACCTGCATCTTAAGCATGAAGAAATCTAACTTCTAGTTCTTTCTGGTATCTTTCTAATCCAGAGCTCCCTCTAAGCATAAACCCTTATCACAGCAAATATTGAATCCTACACTTATTTCAAGATGCTGTTAACTCTCTGAGAATCTGAAAATCTTTTCTTCTTACAATCCAGGAAAACCTTGAAATGGTTGTTAAATGCTTTCTTGCCCTTGTGTGTATTGCTCTGTGCTAAGGCAGTTTGAGGCTGTGTAATTATGCACTCTTCAGTCTCATTTCCCTCTTTCAATATCTTGGAAGTTTTAACTATTATCCTGAATGACTATGATTTAAGATGTTTACATTCAACAGCCATAAGAGAAAGTTGCAGGCAACACACTTCTCCAAAACCGTTTGCATTATGGAATGGCCAGCACTATCAGATTTGTGCCTATGGTCATAGACATTTTGATAGTTACAAATTATGTGGAAGCAGTTTTAAGAGCATTATCTATTTCTAGCATGTCACATTTAAATCTGTTAAACTTTTAGTTGTGAAATTCTTAATCGAGTGAGGTTTTCTTAGGTGTTGAATATGTCAAGGAAAATGTTCAAATTTAAGGGGTCAAGGGTCTTATGTAAAAAATCTCTGAAGTTCGAGTCTCATATAATTTTGTCAAATGGGCCACCTCTTTCTCTTAAATAGCAGTCTTTATAGGGTAAACTAAGCTTAGGTTATTATTAAAAAGGGTGAACGAAAAGTATATAGATATAATCCTACTACTATGAGGATGTATAAGGTACTTGTGGTACTTAAAATGGTAAATGAGAAATATCTGAAGTTGAAGTCTTATGTAACTTTGTGAAATGAGCCTCCTGTTTCATCTTATCTTAGAGATTCAAATAGCCTTTGATTATTATGAAAGAAGACAAATGAACAAAAGGATAGTTATTATCCTACAAGTGGTGATGATATTATTAGCTAGTTAGTGTTTGGCCAAGAGGTAGTTAGCCTAAGGGCAACGTCAAGTTCCTTAGTTTGCCTGTGTTTAATAGTTTAATATAAATCCGTAGGAGACTACCACATTGGTAGTTCTCTAGTTTTCTGCTATTGATTCTCTCCGACATGGATTAGAGTCCAGTTAAGTTATGTTGCTTGTTATTCTTGATGTTTGTTGCCCCTTATGTGTTTGTCCACGTGGTAGGAATGTTTGTTTGGATTGCTGGTATTGGGCCTAGCCTGATGAGATCTGTTAATGTATATTTATATTTTATATTAAACTTTTGGTGCTGCCTTACACCCAAGCATCTGGCACAGCCAACCTTCTATTTTGATATTTTCAAGTGGCATGCCTCATGCACCAAATGCAAAGGTGTCTGTTCTATATTGCATTACAGGATGATTTGGACCTATGGTGAGGAGAAAGTTTTATGAAGATACCTGTGTGACAACTGACATGTGACTGTTAAAAATGGTTAAAAAATAAAGCAAAGATCAATAACAATTTGGAATGTTGAAGAAAAGTGAAATTAATTCAGTATATTTATATCTCACATTAAACTTTTGGCCCTTCCACTCAAGTTTCTGGCGCAACATCAACCTTTTATTTTGACATTTTTAAGCGGCATGCCTCATGCACCAAATGCAAGGGTAGCTGTTCTATAAATTGCATAATGGGGTGATTTTTGACGTATGCCGAGTAGTAAGTTTTTTGCAGGAGGTTTGTGTGACAACTGACATGTAATTCTTAAAGATGTTAAAAAAGTTATAAAAAATGAATGTGGAAGAGAAATGAAATTAATAATATACTTTTTTCACATTCATTGCTGATGCATCCCCCACCCAAGTATTTGGCTTAGTCCTCATGTCTGCAAATGATAGTTATATTGGGAGCATATTGATATTTTCAGCAAGGTTTATGTTAAAAGTAGCCCTTTATCTTGTGAAGGCTTCCTCGTTTCTATGGGCTTGGTGCAGGTTTTTAGAAAGTTACATGTGGAGTATGACTCATTTGCAGTTGTCATAGAACTATTATTTAACAAATTGAATAAATACCCTTGTCATTTCACTATGACCATGCATTCAGTTTGGCTGATGAGTCTTGGACATGATTCCAGCAGAATTTTCTGAGCCAGATTTTGCTATATGGTGCATTGGACTCTCTTTTTTGTCTGCTTTAACTCATATCTGAGTCTTTCTAATAGTCATATCTCTTCTAGTTTATGTGACTAAGGAATGCTAAAAAATAGATATAATTGTTTGTCTGAAAACAGTTAATTTGTCAAACCTCACTTCTCATTAGGACTCTTAACTACCAAAGAATTTGTAGGGAAGAGAATAAGAAATGGTATATTAATCTGTAAGAAGCTCATATTCTGGCCATATATATATATATATATATTTATTGTGTGTGCATGGGCATTCTTGTGGTTTTGTGAACATAAAGATATATACACATACGGCTAACAAGCTCAATAACCTATCTGTTTGGCTTTATTAATTATGCCTGTATTTTACTGTGTGTGTGTGTCTGTAAATGTATAAATATATGTACCGGTACATGCAGATATGCTATTATGCATAGACACCTGTTTCTATTAGCATGTACGATGTCGCATATTTTAACTTGCATATGTGCAACAGATGCAGATAAATCTACGTGCATATATATAATTCATATGATAATATGTACTCTTTCCATACAGACACTCATTTCTATTTGATTATGTTAATGTGTGGTCGTATTTTCCAGTATTGCTGTTTACAAGGCTTTATATAAGAGCTTTGGAGGATTTGCTGCTGATGTAGTTGCTGCCATAGACCAGGTATGTCGTAGTTTGGGTTGCCATTCCTCAAATAAATTCATGTCGCATGACTGCATGCAAGGCAATAACTTACCCAGGTGTCGTCTTCTAACTTATTGGCAAGATTAAAAATCGAGGCTTCCCTCACTTCTTTGGACCAACCAAAGTTGCAAAGTGCTTTGCCTTGGGAGCCATGGACCCTGATTATTTTGGAACTCTAAATATTACATTCTGAGGGAAAAAAAGTTTCGGTAGAAATATTATAACTAGTGGGAAAGTGTTGAGTGGTAGCCTGCATAAGTTTTGCTCACTAATGCTCCCCCTCTTTTTTTTTTCTTTTAAAATTTACCTTTTAAAATAATCAGAATCTTTCAGCTCACCTTCTCTAAGGAAAGATGAGCCTTAATCAGGACTTTGCCAAATGTCAAAAACTACATCAATAGGTAGTGTTTAAGCTCTATTTAAGGCTTTCTGGCAACTGGACTTTTTCATGTTAGTTTTGTACTCGTATCTCTCATCTGAAACAACCAAGAGAAGAGCACTTGGTTTTGTTTCTCCTTTTCTCCTTCTACTTCCACCAAAATCATGAAGAACCCAACTCCCTCATCTAGGGAAGTCACAATTATTGAACTCGGTTAAACATAATCCAGTTCCCTTTCAATTGAGATCCCCATCTGAAACTAATTAAGGCCAATCAATTATCATCTTACATTAATAGAAACTGGTCTTTGGTTATTGAGAGATGGGAGTTTAAATTATATTGGAATCAGACATTTATGAATTGCAGCATCACATTTCTGTAACGATATTCCAGTTGATAATTTTACTTAATTAATATAACTAAAAATCTATAAATTTGGAGGTCCATTGGACTAGGCTTTTGCTTTGTGGGGCTTGGGGAGAGTTAGATGCAGCCAAATCCCTGCCTTTTGATGAGGCTTTTTTTTTTACTTGAACTTGTGAATTTTAAGTCACACAAAGGAAACAAAAAAGTAAGAAGAGGCATTCAAAAAATTGTTCTGTACATTTCTTCCCGCTTCCAAAAACCTGATCAATAAAATACATGCAACCTCCAGATATGGTCAGCAATCATGAATGGGTATTTTTTTTCTTTTTAAACTCATTTTCAGCTTCAACCTCTAATAAACTAATAGGGTTTCCGCAATCTGTTACATTGCAGCCTTATATATGATGATCTTTCTCTTTTATAGGTGTAACATAGGAGTTGTTGTATTAAAAGGAGCATATCTGCTCTTTTATTAGAATAAAAGAACTAAAAGGGCTATTTTCAATCCACTATCATTTAAAAAAAAAAGCAATATGGTGCTTTGTTAGTGGGGAACCTAAAATAATTTGAACTCAACTATTATTCTGATTAACATTTATTTCCTCAATATTAGATATTCTCATTTATCCCAAGTTACCTAAGGGTCATTTGGCAATTCTTTTCTTTGAAATGACTATAGAAGACATGTTTTTGTAAGGTGCCTTTATTTCCAAAAACCAAAAACAAAAGCAAAGTTTCCCAAATAGATGGAAATGGGAAAGTTTGTCTTAATTTTGAAACACATTTCCTGTATTTAGGTTCTGTTAGGTGTAAAATACTCGTGCATTAACCCTTTTTAATTTGAAAATGAAAATTTAGAGAAATTTCTTTTGGGGAACACAAATGATAAAACTTAAAATTTAATCTCTACTCTTGTGCTTCAAGCCTTCAACCACATAGCCTTTTTTTACCTAAAATTTTGCAAAAATTTCTTTGCATTCAACTATTTTTAAAACAAAAATTTTAAAAATAGAAAACATAAAACAAAAAATTGGATTGCCAAATGGCAACTAAATTTCTTTTGGGTTATTGGTTCCATTGCTAGGTTATTCAAGTTAGCTATGCATACATATAATACTAAATACTCAAATGGTATTCAACATTCCAATGATTGTAATAAGAATACTAGTGAAAGTATGCATGAGCCTTTTTTCCCTTTTCCATAAGCATAGAGGATTTGTTGAAATTAGTTGTTGTGGCTTTGAAAACTAAGGTATTAACCTTGGCAATGGCACCTTAAGTTTTACCGTCAAAACAAATAGAAGTTCAGATTAACCATGATAGAACATGGTGGTTAAGGGGTTTAAGGTGGTCTGCTCGACGGATGTTAATCGGAATGGTTGACAGGACTCAGGAGGTTATAACTGAAATATGTTGTTTATGGTTGTTTTATTACCTATGGGTAAAGACAGGATCCTAAACAATTGGTTGTGGTTGCTGGTTTTGTTTTGATATATGCAATATAATAATTGAACCATAAACATAAATGTTAAATATATATTTATTTATACCTGAATAATATTTGCATTAACTTATTAAGTGCTTTGCTGAGTTATAGTAAGGGGCCCCTTTTTTTTTACATTTGCCTCAAATTGACGTGGCTTCGTTTTGAAAGAAGCCCTTTTGTTATTATTTATCATGAATGAAGGGGATAAATGAAAGTTTCTCTTATTCAGTTTTTGCTCCTTTACACCATATTTTTGTTCAATAAAAAGAACTACCTTTTGTGCCACTATAATTTTGTCTGTAATTTACATGTTTTCCAATGTGTTGAATCTTCATCCATCTTGGTAACTTCACTTTCCTATTTTTTTTCTCTCTCTCTCTCTCTTCTTTTTGTTACATTTGAAGACTTATTGGGCCTTCGACTAAACAGGAGCTAGTTTTTGGAGGTTAATGAATATTCAAAATTTTTTTTATTTCAATACTTAAATAACTGTAATAGCTTTCTATTTAAACACTCTATGTTGTATTGATTTTAAGGGACATTTTTTGCAATAAAGTGGTAAAATTCATGTTGTAAAACTGCTAATATACAGTTTGCTTAAGTAATATTTGGTAGAGATAATACAAGGGATTTGCTTTTTTATGGTGAAAAATATAATTTTCCTAACATTTTAACTTCCTCCAGCACTATTGCCATAACAAGTTTCTGGCTATGGCATTGGTATAGCATTGCATGAATCCCTAGGCAAACATGAGAATTTTCTTAGACCCTCTGGTTATTGAGAATTCCCTTGGCAAAAATGATTGCTAGTTTTGTTACCGTGTATCCTTTTTTTAGACCACATAACTTCAATTTGAAATAAGAAATCTTCCAGGACAAGATTTTCTTCTGACTAATGTGGAAATATATTTGTTTATTTGTAAGAATTAAGCATGGAGATGGCATTGTTCCTTTCCTTGCAACCATTGATTTGGTGTCTATAATCAGTTTCCTGTTCATCATACATTTGCAGGCAGCTCAAGATGGGGTTGACATAATAAGCTTATCAATAACTCCCAACAGGCGTCCACCTGGTATTGCAACATTTTTCAATCCCATTGACATGGCATTGCTATCAGCTGTAAAGGCTGGTATTTTTGTTGTGCAAGCTGCTGGCAACACCGGACCATCACCTAAGAGCATGTCTTCTTTCAGTCCATGGATCTTCACTGTTGGTGCTGCCTCTCATAACAGAGCATATGCTAACTCTATTGTCCTTGGAAACAATGCAACTATCCCTGGAGTTGGACTTGCACGTAAGTTTACCTTTCAAATCTATTGCCTTCTTTATCCATTTGAGATTATGTGATGGATTACAGGTTTTTGATTTGTTATGCATGCTTTAACAAATTGGCAAAGAAAGAAAAAAGTATTGGATCAAAAATTTTCAACCAAATTTTAGTTTGAATGAGCTGGGTCTGCTATTTGAGTGAGCAAAATTGTGGTCCAACCTTATCCAACTAATTAGTATGTGAAATAGTTGTCGAGATATAGAACGTAAAACCTATTGCTAATGGTTGGAGAAACACAACCTGAATATAAAGATTACAACAAATCCATGCTTGAGCAATGCAAGATACAACTATAAAACAATGAGAAATATTAGAAGGTAAGCTATTTAGAGTGTTTGCTTTCAAAATTGAAACAGAAGAAAGGAAATTAGGGAAATATTTTTGAGCTGTTCAAATTGACAGTTTGTTTACACCTTTTCATTCCTTGTTATACAATTTATATTTGTTAATACAAGTCAAAGATTTATAACCTAATCATATGGAAAATGCATTCCAGATCCCAAATGAATTGAAAATATCTTAAACTGTTTTGTTGATATCATAAAAATTTCACTAGATAAATATATACTGTAAATTGTAGTGTTCTTGACTGATGTGATACAGATATCAGATCAGCTTGAAAGTTAACATGCCTGATTGTTAACTGCATTGAATCTCTCTCATTGACTGATTGTTGTCACTCCTTAAATTTATAATTAGTAGTTTGATCCTCATGTACCAAAACTTTATATCTATACAATTGATGCATACAATTACCTCTATTGTTACTAAATTGGATACGTCATACTTTCTTTTCTTTTCTTTTTTTTTTTTGTTGGGGGGGGGGGGGGGGGGGGGAGCAGCGAGGACAGAGACCAATAAAATGTATACACTGATTTCTGCAATTCATGCTCTATGCAATGACACAACACTTGCTGATGATATGTATGTGGGCGAATGCCAAGACTCCAGTAACTTCAATGAGGAACTTATCCAAGGAAACCTGTTAATCTGTAGCTATTCAATACGATTTGTGCTTGGACTTTCCACAATCAAACAGGCCATACAAACTGCAAAAAACCTTAGTGCAGCTGGAGTTGTGTTCTACATGGATCCTTTTGTAATTGGTTTTCAGCTTAATCCCACACCATTGGAAATGCCTGGCATCATAATTCCATCCCCAGATGATTCCAAGGTGCAATTCTGCATATTTTTTCATGAAGGGATACGTGAATTATTTTTGTTATTCCTTAATGTCTTGTTTCTTTGTTTTTAATGTCATATAGTGGGAAAATTATATAGTTCTTTCTAAAACATCTGATAAGTTATGACCTTTATTGGAATTTAGAGTATGCTCTCTCTCTCTTTCTCTTATACACACACACACAAAAGGAGAAATTACTAATTTATTATGATTATGCTAAACAGATTTTACTCCAATATTACAATTCTTCTTTGGTGAGAGATAGACTTTCAAGGAAAATAGTTAGATTTGGGGCAGTTGCAAGCATTTCAGGTGGACTGAAAGCAAACTACAGCATTTCTGCTCCAAAGGTTATGTATTATTCTGCCAGAGGACCAGATCCAGAAGACAGTTTTCTAGATGATGCAGACATAATGAAACCGAACTTGGTTGCTCCTGGAAACTTGATATGGGCTGCCTGGAGTTCTCTTGGCACGGACTCAGTTGAATTCCAAGGTATATTAGACAAAGAAATAATAGATAACTTAATTACAATTCAATGTAAGCTGCAAAGTTCTTAAACAATTAACTTAACCTCTTAGGTGAAAGCTTTGCGATGATGTCTGGAACAAGCATGGCTGCTCCTCATATTGCTGGGCTTGCTGCACTGATAAAGCAAAAGTTTCCTTATTTCAGTCCTGCAGCCATTGCTTCTGCACTTTCTACAACTGCTTCTCTTTATGACAAGAATGGTGGCCCTATAATGGCCCAGCGTGCTTATACTAATCCTGATCTAAACCAGTCTCCAGCAACACCATTTGACATGGGCAGTGGTTTTGTGAATGCAACTTCAGCTCTTGATCCGGGTCTGATCTTGGATTCCAGTAAGTCATTCTAATTTTAGAATATAAAACTTTTTATAAGCCATTCTGCACTAGGTGTATATGTTTCATCTTTTGCAAGAAAGATGATTTTTCATTATCAAATTGCTAACAGAAGGATGTTTAAGGTCTCACTACTCTTAGATGAATATTCATGTGCATCTCATTGTAACCTCATATACATGCTTGTTGCAGCTTATGATGATTATATGTCCTTTCTTTGTGGCATTAATGGTTCCGCTCCTGTGGTCTTCAATTACACTGGTCAAAACTGTTGGGTCTATAATTCTACAATTAGTGCTGCTAACCTGAACCTGCCATCGATCACCATTGCAAGACTGAACCAGTCTAAGACAGTTGAAAGATCGGTGACTAACATTGCTGGCAAAGAAACATATAGAGTGGGTTGGAGTGCTCCTTATGGGGTTTCAGTGAAGGTCACTCCAACTCACTTCTTTATTGGCATGGGAGAGAAGCTGGTGTTGACTATAATCTTTAATGCAACAATGAACAACTCTGACGCCAGCTTTGGGAGAATTGGACTTTTTGGAAGCCAAGGTCATAACCTCAACATTCCATTATCAGTCATTGTAAAATTTTCCTACAATACGACTAATATCTGAGGATTGACAAAATAGTGCTTTTCTCCTTCTCTTGCTGTGTTTGATAGTCTGTCTTTTTGCATTCTTCTTCTTCAGCTTCCATACTTTTAACCAATTTATTCATTCATTTTCCTGTAAATGCAAATCATTTGTAATCATGACATACCCCAATTGATTGAATAATTTTTAGACTGTAGTGGTTCATTTTGCCCATCACATATCGTTTTGTGCTTCTCTGTTTTCCTTTTACCACTTCTTTAACTTGTATCATAGTTTCATTTCTATTAACCGTGTTTGTGTGTGTGTTTTAAAGCTGATTATTAAATCGGAAGCATGTTTTTGTACCAAATTGATATAAATATGAAGTTAATAACATGTTCCATGATCATTTCTAGTGTAGTTGATTCATGTGTTTTAGCGTTAACAGATAATCGGGTAAGCCATGATTTTAGCCTGTGCTTTGTATGAAGGAGAAAATCCATGCTGCACCAAGGAAAAAGGAAAAAAAAGGACAGAGTTGGAAGGAAAATAAAAAAGGGCTGAAATTTTATCTCCAATTTTGCCTTTTTATTACCCACAATTCATGTATTTGTATCCAATTGTATCATATTAAACGAATATAAAATATATAAAATTATCGTATTAAATTTGTGCAGATAAAATGAATAAAAAATATATTTTTATATTTTTATCAAATTCATAATTTTTGTTAAAATTTTAATTTGTATTGTTTTTGTGTCTTTTTTTATATCATTTTTGTATCATGTTATATTTAAAATTATCAGGTGATGTGATCCATGATTGTTATTTATTATTTAGAAATCAAATAATAATAATAATAATAAAAATAAATTTAAATGTTGATTGAAGAAGAAAGAGAAAGCAAAGAGGGAACTGAACACTAGGAAATGTTAGTACAAAAAATAGTATATTTCTTTCTATACTTCAAATGGCACCAAGATTGGTACAATTTCTGGCAACACAAAAGCTCAGCCTGTCCAAGTTTTTACTAAACATCAGCCCCTTAATGTTCTATAAATGCAGCAACTATATTAACCAAAGATGGCAAAATATACTTCACTAAACATTGTATGGGTCTCTTTGCTTTCTTTTCTGATATTTCTCTCCCTAAAATTGGAAACAAAGCATATTCAAGGGGATTAGGCAGGGAGACTCCTATGATTTCGAGGAAAAATAAACAATTTCGTAGTTTAAAGATATACATGATGATATGTCTAGCTGAAGCCAAAGATGCCTTCAATTTTCTACACATTTACATATGTAATAATGTATACCCTTGTGGATGATGAGATAACATGTCAGAACCAAATATAGTTTTTTGTATTTGATGAACAGAAGTATTTGAATGAGTTAACTAATATCCAAATAAAGCTCATCCATCCTCCAGTAATACTATTCTTTTTTCACGTTGACATTCAGGGCGTTTTAAGCAGAAAATGAATGAAAGTATCAAGAATACCTAGTGAACTTTAGCTGGTAGTTTCTGTTTCAGTTGTCTCAAGGTCCTCTCATCTTCTCAACAATATGCCTACTCTTTTCTTCAATGTGACGCCTCTTCTCTTCAAGTTTCTCTCCCATTTTCTTCCCCAAATCAAGCATCCTTGCCCTCCTCCCCATCTTCTTTGGCCTTGGATCATTCTCATCAACTACGTCACTCGGCCTTCCAAACTCTGTCAAAGCCCTAGATAATGACTGAGAGCCTGAAGTTTCCTCTCTATTCTGCTGGCTTGTGTCATGTGGTTCATCAGTTGTGAGAAGGGGAGTTCTTAGATCTTGCGATGACTTACTCCCGATAGAAGAAGAAATCACAGCGCTTGATGAGGGCATGGCTACAGACTCAATGATTGGTGGCTGAAAGGAATCCACCTTCGGCTTTAGATGCTTGCTTTCCTGATGAGAACTTGAGGATTTCCTACCATTTTCCTTTGCTTTTGAGTCACTTAGTTGATGACCTAGAGCTTCACGCACAATGTTATTATCAGAAACTGCTTCTTGATTAAGCCATATAAATGGAGCAACTTTCCTTGGGACCCAATCATCTTTTTCTGCTAACATCCAAGGAATGCATGCACTTTCACGGTTTGGAAGCACCATAGTTTCCCTAATTGCAGCCTGCGCAAATGATGGAAGCATCAGCCAAAGCCTACTTGGCTGTTTTCTTTCATTGCATCAATAATCAGTCCAGCAATGAAAATTGTTACAAATAGCTCATTATATGATTTTTATAGCTTGGGGCAATGCCCAGAGATTGAAAGGCTTGTCTGTTGACAAATTTAATCATATGCACAATCAAGAACCATGACATCTTCAATCTCAAGATTCCAAAATGTCTATGCAAATAATAATAATAAAAAATGACCAGCGGTCCCAAAAGCATATAATGTGCAGCAAACACTCTAACAAATGGAAATGTGGTAAAACAAAATACTCCAAGATTTTCCTATTTATTGAACACAGTTTGTATCAGGGTAAAAGGAGAAAGAAAAAAGTTGGATAAAATTCAGTAAAAAGGTTTTAAAACTTTTCTTCTTTAAAACACTTGGGAACACGAGGTATATTAGTAAAGGCAGTGAGATCATAAGCCTTTCTTTTTTCTTGGTAAGGTAGGGGTGGTGGCGGAGGGAATTTTTATTATACTAATATATAATGTCAATTACTTAGTTTGGTATTACAAGTTAATTGGCACCAACTCAGTAAATAAAACTACAATAATAAATATAAAACTGGGGACACTTGTCTTTTCACCTTTTTTTTTTTTTTTGTTTCACATGCACTTGCAAAAAAAGGAAGAAAAATAACCACTTTTTTTAATCAATAATCACATAACTTCCTCTTCTCTTTCAAAACACCTTTTTTACTCTTCCACATGGAAATTTTCGTTAAGCAATCTAAGGAATAAAATGAAATAATAAAAAATAGTTTCTTGTCAATCAATTTATCACCATGTAAGAAATGATATTCATACCTTAAACCGACTGATCAAGAAAAAAGCAAGATGTCCACTAGTAATCTTTTGTTCCCCAACAGAAGACTCAAGGTCAAACTCTATATCAGGCATGGATGTGAAGCCAAACCATAACTGATCAGAAGGAGGTGGCTTTATAAATAACTGCAGTGTTCCTCGAAGGGATACAACCCTTATCGACAAAGACAAAGGCACCTCCATATTGAAATATCAATTAGTTCAACCACATAAAAGAAAAATTTATGGAATAAATTTTAATAGTGATACATTAATAATAATATACAGAACTCATTATAACATGATCAAACATCCATACAGCAGCAGTTTTCTGTTTACATACTTTACTAGTCATCCAAAAATCCATACCTGTGATTAAGTTAATGTATGTATCAGCTAAGTTTGTTAAGTACATAAAGGCATGACAAATCAGCACATTAATAATATATGAACCATCCCGTTGGGATCAAGGGGCCGAATCAGAGGCCTCTACAACAACAAATGAATCATGTTATTACTCCAGAAAATGTCATTTGCTTGCTTCCTGATCTGCATGGTCCAAGTTTTTAAATTTGTCCACAAATTCAAGAATGTCCAATTGAAATATGAGTATTTGGTTAAGTTTGCTATCTTGTAATGGTTTACTCATCTTCTTTCTCTTATTTCATATGATTTTCTGCAGCTGACCAGTCAGCACCAGAACCTTAAATTACTACTATTGCAAGACATTAACCCTCTTGTCGTTGATCAGAAACACTAGAATCACAAACTTCCACATCAAATCCCGCTATTGCCCTACAATTATAATTCACAGCAACATAAACTGCCCCATAATATTACATTTTTTTAACCATTCCCAAATCATAAATGCTGGTTTCCTACAAAATCAGCTGGAAATAATCATGGCGCCTGAAAGCTAATCCAAAAGCACATACACTAACTGCTGCCAGCAACATTTCAGCCGCCCTGTCCTCCAAATCCAGCAACATGTTTGATCCATCCAACAATATAACAATTACACATTCTATAATTGTATTCTTCTTATTACTGATATTTCTCAATCAAACTGAACTAACTATTTACTCCCTCTGTCTGAAAAAACTTGTCATATGTCAACTTTCTTTGGTAAAAGATTTTAAACTTTGACCCATTTTTATTTTTATATTTACAAATGATAAAAATATGCAAAAAAATTCTAAAAACTTTGAATGATCTAGTTTTCAGATATATATTTTATAAATTTAATTAAAGTATTTAACATAATAGAGATCAAAGTTGAAACAATTTGATCATCCCAAAGTCAACATGTGACAAACTTTTATGGGATAGAGGGAGTATTTGATTCCCTTTTCCCATTTCTAAACCAGATGATGTTCAACTAAACTAACTTATGGTTGTTTTATATCATTTCATGATCTCTTTTTTCCTTCCTGATAATTCAGAGTATCCTTTTATGTCTTTGACGAATCTTGCTAAATCTTGTCATGTTGTATCATACTCTTTGAAAATTTGACATGTCGCCTTGTCCGTATCATGTAGTATTTGTGTCCAGTGTCCATGTCAATGCTTCCTAATATTACACTTAATTAACACATTTAACCTAGGAAATACAAATACAGACATGAGACATGGGTACGACATGATATGGATACAGTAACATTACAACTTTTGAAAAATTAGGACATGCAGAACAGTATACGACAACAAAATATAAATTTAATATATGTGTATAATTTAATTAAGTATTCATTAGAAAATATTTAAGATGGGTTTTATATTAATTTTTTATATAAATATAGACAATATGATTTAATCTCTCAAACATATAAAATATTGATTATAGCATTTTTATCATAAATTCTTAAGATACTTTTATCATCATGTAAATATAATTATTAATTGTGTTGGATATACTTTAAATTCATCTAGCCCAATTGTTTTATATGCTTGAAATTTTAACCCCATAAGTTCTAAAACCTTTCACCCAAAAGCCCATTTGAGCCCTATCTATATTAACTCATTTTCTATTCTTCTTCTCCAAAGCAGCAACGCTGCATCTCCTTCAACTCCATCTTCAACAACAGTGGCATCTCCTTCAAATCCGTATTCTTCAGCAGCTGCTGCATCTCCTTCCATTCATTCTATCACATAATCTTCCATCCAGCTTTTCACCTCTAATTTGAATCTCAGCCATGTAGAACAACATCACTCAACCCAAAGGAAGATTGAATTGTTGTATTCTTTTCTACCTCTTTTCTTCTGTCTCTCTTTCAATTTTGGGACTTGACTGCTGTATCCACATTGTGTCTGAAATAACTAATTTATTTTTTTTAATGTTTTCGATGTATTGGGAAGTATAAAACTGTGAAAATCTAATCTTCATTATTACTTGATTAGTTGACTTTATCTATTTCAGTTAAGTCTCTTATTTTTAAAATAAGAAGTGATTTGGATAATTACAACAAATCTCTTAGATATTTTCCTATTATGTGTAGAGAGTAAATTACTCATTAGATTAGCTGTTTTAATGCATAAAAATCTTGGGTTTTAAGGCTAAGAATATTCGATCTTTAGCCTATATATTTTTTATGCAATTCTAGCATTGTAATAAGAAAAATATAGAAGAATAAAATAGTATTATTTTAGAGATTTCTTCATGGTATAAGAGCATAATTTGAATTTCTGAAAATTTTCACTCGGAGTCCAACATGGCCAGCGAAAAGGAGAGCGTAGAGTCGGATATTACCTTTAACCTTGGAGCTAGTGTTTTTTAATCACTGCAAAACATTACCACTCCTATTCGAACAGGTTCTTTAGCACAAAAAGGTAATTTTCTAAGTGCCTTGAGTGTAAAACTAGAGAAATCAAATTCATGGATTGTGGATTTAGAAGCTTCAAACCTTATGATTGGAGATGCATCTGTATTTAGTAAATACAACCCATGTCATGAAAACTTCACAGTTCAAATTGCTGATGGGTCACTTTCAAAAGTAACCAGTACAAGTTCTGTTATTATTTCCAAAGAGATAACACTTGATTCTATTCTATTTGTCCCAAATCTAAGTTGCAATGTTTATAAGCAAACTTACAAGAGATTTTAAGTGTTACTAAATTTCTTCCAAATATGTGTGAATTTCAGGATTTGGATTCGGAGAAGATGATTAGCAATGCTAAGATGTGTGTAGGACTCTATATCCTAAGAGCTAATGATTTTGAAAGGCAATATCAAAAGAACTTTTGTGTTGCTTCATCCTTCAGTAATAATAAAGATAATACTATTATGTTGTGGCATTATCAGTTAGGTTATCCAAATTTTTTGTACCTCAAAAAGTTGTTTCCCTCATTATTCAATCAAAATCCTAACAACTTTCAGTGTGAAGTCTACCAACTATCCAAACATACTCGTACCACATATACTAATCAGCCCTACAAACCATCCCATCATTTTTCAATGATGCACAGTGACATTTGGGGTCCTTCCAGAGTAGATAATATTATTGGCTCCAGATGGTTTGTCACATTTATTGATGATCACACTATGGTGACTTGGGTACTCCTTATGAAGGAAAAATAAAAAATGGGCCAGTTATTCCAAAACTTTAACAATATGATCCAAACTCAATTCAAAACCAAATCCAAGTGTTAAGAACTGAAAATGGGAGAGAATACTACAATTCAACTCTTGGATCATATCTAATGAAGCATGGTATAATTTATCAACGCTCATGTGTTGACACTCAACAGAATGGGGTTGCTAAAAGAAAAAATCAACATTTGTTGGAAGTTGCAAGATCCCTTATGATGGCTACCCATGTACCTAAGCATTTTTAAGGTGAAGCTGTTCTTATTGCTACATATCTTATAAACAGAATGCCTTCTCGAGTCTTGAAATTTCAAAGCCCTTACCAATCCCCTTCTTAGTTCCTATCCTCACCTTCAAATCATCTTGTCTGTTCCCATTAAAGTGTTTGGATGCACTACATTTGTTCTTACCAACCAACAAAACCAAAGCAAATTAGATCCCAAATCCATCAAATGCATATTTCTCGGATACTCCCCAAATCAAAAAGGATATAGTGTTACTCACTAGTAACAAAGAAATTCTACCATTCCATTAATGTTACCTTTTTTGAAAATTAACCTTACTTTCCCAAAACTGCCATTCAGGGGGAGAATCCAATCATAGGAATATCAACTTTGGGTAGATTCTATTACCAGACCATCAAACACTTCCCAAACTCCCTTTCACGTCCAAAACATCAAACCAAATCCTCCAACTCCCTTTCAAGTCCAAAACATCTAATCAGATCCTCCAAGCCTGAAGACCACACAAGGGAAAACGAACAAAGAATTGATTGTCTATTCAAGAAGACAAAAAACTTAGAAGCATATAGGAGAATGTACACCTTCAACGCAAAACCAAGAATCTGAACCGATTCCAGAGATACTTGAAACCAACACATGTAACACTCTTACTGAATCTGATTCAATTGAATCTTTGATGATATTGATCAATCGATTGCTCTAAGGAAAGGAGTGAGATCATGTACTCAACACCCAATTTGTAATGTGGTTTCTTATGAAGGTTTATCACCCAGTTATCAACCTTTGTTACCACACTAAACAATATGCAGATTCCCAATAATATTCATGAAGCACTCATGCAACCAAAATGAAAGATGGCTGTTTTGGAAGAAATCAAGGCCCTAGAAAAGAACAAAACATGGGAGATTTCATAATTACCCAAAGGGAAAAATCCAATTGGGTGCACATGGATTTTTTTAGTCAAGCACAATGAAAATGGAAGTATTAACAGATTCAAAGCTCGCCTCGTTGCAAAAGGATTTACTCAATCTTATGGTGTTGACTATGAGGAAACATTTGCTCCAGTTGCTAAACTTAATTCAATATGGGTGTTATTATCATTGGCAGCAAATCTAGATTGGCCACTCCACCGACTAGATGTCAAAAAAGCATTTCTTAATGGCGACCTAGAAGAAGAAGTTTACACGAAAATCCCTCTAGGATTCAAAAACCAGGATAATTCTGACAAGGTATGTAAGCTTCAAAAGTCTTTATATAGTCTCAACCAATCCCCATGTGCATGGTTTGATAGACTAACAAAAGTGGTAAAAAAGTATGGTTTTTCACAATGCTAGACCGATTATACCATGTTTGCCAAACATTCACCTAAAGGAAAAATAGCCACTCTTATTGTCTATGTGGATGACATTATTCTTACTGGAGACTATGTGGAAGAAATTAGCAACCTAAAAAACCTCCTAGCCAAAGAATTTGAAATCAAAGATTTAGGACACCTTAAATATTTTCTTGGCATGGAGGTAGCTCACTCAAGGAATGGCATATCTCTTTCACAACGTAAGTATGTCCTAGACTTACTAAAGGAAACTGGAATGCTTGGATGCAAACCTGTTGACACCGCTATGGACACAATGAATAAGGTAGGAATGGAAGAAGGAAGTCCACCAACAGAGAAGTCCACCAACAGATAAAGGCAGATATCAAAGACTTGTTGGGAAACTCATCTACCTTTCTCATACAAGACCAGATATCGGTTTTTCAGTTAGCATGGTAAGCAGATTCATGAACAACCCATTTAAGGAACACTTGAGGGCTGTGTATCAAATCTTATAGTACCTAAAGAAGAGTCCTGGCAAAAGGTTATTTTTTAAGAAGACATTAGGCAGAAATGTTGAAATTTACACTTCTACTGATTGGGCTGGATTCATTATCGACCGAAGATCTACTACAGGATATTGTACTTATGTGTGGGGAAATTTGGTTACTTGGCGAAGCAAGAAGCAATCTGTGGTGGCTAGAAGTAGCGCAAAAGCTAAGTTTAGAGCTATGTCTAATGGCATATGTGAGGGAATTTGGCTTAAAAGGTTGCTAGAGGAGTTAAAGGTCTTTGCAGAAGAATCCATGAAGATATTCTGCAACAACAAAGCTGCCATAAGTATAGCAAAGAATCATGTTCATCATGATAAGACTAAACATGTGGAGATTGATCATCACTTCATCAAAGAGAGGATAGAGCAAGGAATTGTTGGATTAGTTTATACTCCCACATGCCTCCAAACTACAGACATACTCTCTAAGGCTCTCTCTCGAAACAACTTCGAGAATCTGAAGTCTAGGTTGGACATGATTGACATCTACCACCCAGCTTGAGTGGGAGTGTGAAAATCTAATTTTCATTATTACTTGATTAGTTGACTTTATCTATTTTAGTTAAGTTTTTTATTTTTATAATAAGAAGTGATTTGGGTAATTACATCAAATCCATTACATATTTCCCTATTATGTGTAGACAATAATTACTTATTTGATTAGTTGTTTTAATGCATGAAAATCTTGGGTTTTAAGGCTGAGAATATCCAACCTTTAGCCTATATATTTTTTATGCAATTTTAGCATTGTAATAAGAAAAATATAGAAGAATAAAATAGTTTTATTCTAGAGATTTCTTCAAAAACACGTACGGCTATGTAGGGCATATCCATGTTGGACATAGATATGACACAAATATGTGGAAGGAATAGCCATGTCTATGCTTCATAACATGTATCTATAGTTTTCTAGGATATTCTAATACCAACCAGTTTAAGAGACATTTTGTGCAACAACTATAAAGTTTTTCAACTTGCAGGCTCCTAGACCACTCTATATTTGGTGGTAAAATAGTTTCAATTTAAATTGATGTTAATGTAATTCTTCTGCAATTATAAAACTACCTTCATCAATGGTGCTAGTTGGACCTTTTTATCACTGAATCACTTCTCTTATCACTTGTTATGGTGCATACATGAATTTCAACATTTTCATTTTTGTGGGATTCTTTTTATTAAAGTATCCTTTGCGAACAAACTAACATTCAAATGCCTTGCTCTATTTTCAATAAGATAGTATTAAATGCAGAAATGATAGTTACCTAATTCTACATTCAATTGAGAAGTAAAATAAGGGTTCCCTCTAGATCATCAAAAACCAAGTTGAAAGAATTTTCGATTGGCAGCTATAAAATCCCTATTCTTCAATTTGCAGGATCTTAAACTATCTAATTTTAGAGAAACTATAAAGAGGGGATGGGAGTGTTCAGTTTACATTAACATTCAAAAGTTTCTTCTTTGATTACATAAATTTCATCATAACCCTTGAATGCCATTTTTATGAGTTCCTATAAGCAGAAACACCTATATGTATAAAGAGATTATACACAAACCTGGGAAACCTGTTTGGCTATGGAATTTAGAACAGATTTCCATCGAGACACATAACTTGTTGTCGATGTAGCTTTTGAGCCTTTCAGACCATCTGAAACCCGAAGAGAGTTAAATCAAAAGATACAATAGCATCATTTATGCTAGCCAGATTAACAGAAAGCAACAGAGAAGCAGAGGATCGATTTAGAATTATACTTAGTCGAACTAGGTGAAGCTACAGAAAGTGGTGCATTAGAAAGAGAAGCCCACATAGTAAAACTGTATCATCTTTGAATAAAGAAAACTGGAGGGAAACAAACTGAAATGTTTAAATCATTAGGGTTGGTAGAAAACTGATGAGTGGAAAGAGTGAAAAGAGGAGCGAAAATGTTAGTCATACATTCCTCTCCGAACCCACTTTTTAGATCTATAAAACATAGATAGATTAGAAGACAAAGAAAACTAACTAATACAATTTAGTTTAATTTTACAAATACATCCCTAAAGCTCATCAACAAAACAAGGTATAAAATTCTATTATTGTAAAATCGTCTCATTTCTCTCTTCAGGTACAATACAAACAATTAGAGCGAGATAATTTCCACTAAGAATCACTTCATTTCTCTCCTATTATTTCTTTCTTTAACTCTCTTTCCATGTCAGATAGGGAGATAGTGACTTAAGCCAAGTACCAACCATAAGTACTCCATGAGCATTATTTTAAATCAAACAAAATCAAAACCATGAGGTGCAATATAGCTTTAGACTGCGGTAATGGAACCATAAAGACAGACTTCGGAAAAAAAATCTCTGACAAAAAATGCAAAGAAGAATTTAGGGATTAACTTACATAAGATTTTATTTTGTTCATTGGTGGTATTTATGAGGCTTGATTTTATTTTGTTCCTTGGTTGTATTTATGACACTTAATTGTAGTATTTTATAGATCTAGGGTTATATTACATTAATATTACAGTTTAGTTTTGGTTTGCCTTATCCTACAGGGTTTTGTTTTTTAGTTAAGTTTGTTAATTTTCTATTTGGAATCTTAGTATCTTCTTTAAAGTCCAACTAGGAATAGGAGTTCTAGTTATTTAGCATTAGGGTGGGTGGAAGCCTATATAAATAGGACCTTTTCTTTTGGAAGATCGATTATTTTGAAGATTTTTTAAGCATTATTGCTATTTTGACTGTATGATGCAATCAACCTTAGGTGACTCCTAAGGAACCGCAGATGTGATGCTTAGGTTTCCTTTCTTATTGTTTGTGTGATGCAATCAAAGAACCCTAGATATGAAGCTTAAGAATTTTATCAATTTTTCCAGTTTTTCTTAAGAATTTCAAGAGTTAATACAATTACAAACACCAGCCTCCTACTCCCTACCCTCGAAGCTGTCCCATATCATTCTCATCTCAGCTTTGAATTGAGGCATAAATCTTTCTAGGGGAAAATTCCTCAAATCAATTAATTATGGCTAATTCCCCTATGCATAACTCTTTCATGGTTTACTGGATCTCAAATGACAAAGCTGACCACTAGGCTAATGTGGGAAACCTTAAACAAACAGATTTCAAGATATGTGTCATAAACAATTGGGAATAGGTATCTCATACACATACCACCTGCTTCTCTATGTAAAACCTCCTATACTCAGGGGCTTCATTTATGGTAAGACACCAACAGATGACAACACCAGGACAGAGATTTGGAGTCAGCAAGGCCTTCCATCCAGGAATTTCTTAAAGTTGTGATTTATAAGTTGCTACAGAGGGTGTTACTTTTGATCTTCACCAATGTGGTGCTTTGAACACAAATAGAAATCCACGTTTTTTGACAATTACTTCAGAATAAACAATTAACAAACCACATTTATGCATCACACAAATCTTTTGAGCCATGTTGATGGGTAAGTGCATAAAATTCAATATCATTATCATACTAACCAACTTTAGGGTTGACCTCATCCTCTTCAGGAAGATTCAAACGCTTTCCAAAATGCTCAAAGCCTTCAAGAAGGTCTGAAGACATATTCTCAACAGAATTTGATCCTGAATTTGTATCTACTATGCCTTCTTGAAAATCTAAGTCTTGAACTTCAAGTCTTGTCTCAACATCTAACAGAATTCCACCAGAATATTCAGCATCAACTTCGAATGCCCATACCTCATTCATGTCCGTGGCAAGAAGCCTCATTGCATGGATATAAGGTGGGAGATTCCCAATGTCTACATCAGTACAAATGACTTCACCTATGTAACTAGGGGTCCTCATATTGGACAATGTTCTCTGTTATATCAAATCATAAAATGATCAGAACTATCTTCAAATATTTTTTCGGAAGAACTCATTACATGAAAAAGTAGAATGCACAATGGCCATTGAGCATCTGAATCAAAACATTGATGCAGTAATAGTACATACAAGAGAAATGTAGTCTACATTGACAACCAAAATTTTGTAATAGTACACAGTAACTCACTAAATGCAACTAATGAACCAACAATAAACATGAAGAGGCAATACTATGCACAAAAAAATAGAAAAACACCAACTCTGATTTTGGTAACTGTCCAACCTGAATTCGTGTCTTAATGGAATTTTTCAACCCAGCATTGCCTTTGATATCAAAAAAGATTCGAGAAATTAATAAGTTCCAGCAGAGTGTTCCTTCATCGAAATTAAGCCTGTCTTGTTCAGAATCAGCATCAGAAGCAACAGAAGTACAGCTTTGACTTGCTGTTTGAGGAAAACCTTGTGGTAATGGACATGCCATATTTTCTTCAGTCAAACTGTTAGGCACCTTGTTAGTCACTGAATCTTGGAATGGATGTCGTTTCTCACAAGTTTTTCTCTCTTCACGGGCAGATTGATTTGTTAAAATTCCCTTATTTTCTATACCAGGCTTTAAAGCCTTTCTGGAAATCTTTTTCCATAATAATCTAACTTTCGATGAAGATCCGTCAAAGCTACTTCCCTTATCGATTGGCTCAGCACCAAAACCTAATGAGGGTTTCATAAATGATGGATATCCGGTATTTAAAGAAGCCAGGTAAGCTTGGAAGTCTACATTCAACTTGGTGAACCATTTCAGCTTTTCTTTGTCCTCACATGAAGCAAGACGAAGAGCGTTGCACCATGACTCCTTCTCCCAGGAAGTCTCGAGATAAAGGTAAATGATTTTACTTCCATTGTAGATTAGTGAAGTCTTGCTTTCCACTTTTATTGGAAATCTCTTGGCCCTGTCAAACCATTAATACAAGGCTCAGGAATGAAGCAAAGCCAAATATTTTGAAGGTGCATAACTAGATAGACTGATTAAGTAATATCATATCATACAGGTATGGTATATGAAATGAGGTTCAGTAAGTTTTGAAAATAATTCCATTTGAAACCTAATACTTGACCTTGCAACCTAAAGCAAAAGGATGGGATGGGATATTATGGATAGCCATGAAACCGAAAACCGACCAAATTAACTGACCAAACAGCTTTATTTAACCAGCAAATATGGAAACCAAACTGAATTCAGTCGGTTTCAGTTGGTCCAAGTAGGTTGAAATACTCCCTATGGAGGCCTTGAGATTGAAGTGCAAATACATGGACATTAATAAAGGGAAGGGCACATTACCATTTTCTTGAGGGTAAGTTAGTAGCGGAAACAGCCTCAATGACGCAGCCCTTGAGGGGGATAGTGGCGCGGGAAGCATCAGAATGCGTGGTCAAAATTAGCTTGTTGTCTTGGATTTTGGCATGTTTTCGAGCAGGATAAACGTCCAACGGCATGTCCTTCTTTCTCTTCTGCTCTCTGGCTGGAAGTTTTTCCGATTCAACAACCCAAACAATCCCCTAAGACAGGGTCATAGTTAAAATCTCAGCAAAGACAAAAAAAAAAAAAAATCATAGCAAAGACAAGGGATGGGATGGGGGCATAGATACCTGCTTGTTATAAGCGAAATCGAGTCGAGGATTCTGGGCAGCTGCATGAGATTGAGAATCTCGTTTGATCTTCCGGTTCAATCGATTCAACACAAACAACAGTCCAACAATTTCCACACTCACAACTGCTAAGACCCCAACAATCAACCCAACAACGAACACACTCAACATCCTATCCTATCCTTCTTTGATTTGATTCAACTCTTCTCTTCACACTATCTATCCTTCTTTGATTTGATTCAACTCTTCTACACTATTTATTCTTTCTTTCTTACGCGGTAACTGGTTTTAAGAATATAATAATAAAATAATAATAATAAAAAATAATTTTAAGAGGAATTTGCCTTTTTATTTCTTACTTTATTCTTATTTTCATTCTTAATTAAAGTACATAACAGACTTGACATAGACTTTTCAGGACAACATCAAGGCGTATCAAGATAAATTTTTATTCTTTTTTAATTTGATCTAATTTTATATTTATAATATTTAAATTTAATTTAATTTAATAATTTTTTATTTTTTATTTTTAAATTTAATTCGATTTAATATTATATAAAATTATATTTAATCTGATTTAAAATTAATAAAATATTATTTTTAAATATAAAATATTTTTAATATAAATATAAAATTATATAAATATATATAATTAATTAATTAAAAATAATTATATATATATCTTGAGTTGGGTCAAAATTAATTTTTCTAAATCTTGATTTTGATATTTTTTTTTATTATTATTTGATATGACTCAAAATTTGATTTAAAAATAAAAAACAATTAATTTTAAGAGATTAGATTGAATTTAAATTTGCCGGAGACGAAATAAATTACCATCCTTACTTTTTATTATGGTCAATTAAGCAAAACAACATAATAAATATATAAAATAAAAGATAAAAATATGAGAATTTAAAATTTAAAATTAATTTTATTTTTAAAATTATCCATACATTCAATTAAAAAAGCTTCCCAACATTTTTATACTCAGATAACTTCCTTCTATCACCTTCTTTTTCACCATTTTTTTAATTTTTCACATTTTTTTTATTTCACGTCATAATCTAAATATTATTATATAACTAAAAAATATAGCATTATGCGATGAGATCTAAAATTATATATTTAAAAATATATAATTTTTGTTATCATTAAAGAATATTCTTGATGCTTTTGTAATATTTTTAAATGTTTGATAAATGTGTATTTTTTTAATATAAACAGTAAATAAAAAAGTAATGCATTATTATTAAATGATTTCACTATGTTTGGAATCAATTTTTTTATTTTAAAAAAATATAAATAATTTCTTTATCTCACTATTCTCCATTATTTATATAATTTTTTTAATATTTTTCAAAAGCAATAACTTTTTTATTGAATATATGACATAACGTGATAATAACAAGATTAAAAAATAAAAAATATTTAAACTTAGTATTTAATAAATTTGCTTCACTTGTTACTTTGTGTATGATGCATATAGTATTGTAATTGTTTTTATTTTCAAACTTTTAAATTATTTAATAGTAAATTATAAAATCTGAAAAATTAAAATAAAATAAAAAAATATTTTTAAATTTTACTATTCTTTTTTTGGATTACTATTCATTCATTATTATCCTAAATCATTTCTATATTTAAAAATGATTCTTTTGTTTTCTTAAATAATTTTATAAATATTTAATTAATTGTTTTTTCTGCACAATTAAATGTGTTTTTTAACGAGTTTTTTTCTATGCAAAGGTAATTTATAATTTTATTTTCAAAATTAAAATATTTTTAAATTTTATTTTTTTCTGTTTTTAATTTACTCTTAACGCTTTATCCTATTACATATTTGATTAAAAAAAAATTTATACATCAAAATTTTTAAAAAATTTTAAATATTAATTTTAATGATAAGTCAACTAATTTAATTTTTTTTTTTTTTACTAGCATAACCTGGATGCTAGTGAAAATATGATATCACCCAAACTCTTATCTCATTTGTCTTCCACAAAGAAAAATCTCTTGAATTTTGTTCTACGACTTCATTCTCCCTCCCCAAAATTCTTGATCCAACGGTTTTGCTTTTTTCTTTTTTTCCTAGATTTATATATTGCTTTCTTGATTCTCTCCCTAATGTGCAATTTTCTTTTTTTTTTTTTTAATATAGAATGATTCTGATGAGAGTTTTTCTTCTTTTTCATTATCCAGCCTCCACATTTGATTATTACAAATGTTTTTTTATATAAAAAATATTTTGTAATAATCAAGACTAGCTTTTTGTGTTTTATTGAATACAAATTCAATAAAAAAACACAAATCAAAGTAGAAAGTGGCTAAGATTGAAAACGAAAGCTTTCACCTTGTTGTTGGAATTGAATTTTAATATGTTTTGCTCATAACATTTTTGGTCTCTTAGTTAGAAAAAGCTGGTGAAATGTTATTAAAAGTAAGACGGTTTGAACCTATAGCCAAAAAAACACGGGGTCAGGGTGAGTTCTTCGGTATGCGCTCAATTGTGTTTTGCTTTTAAGTATTTGAACTTCTTCCTTGCATTATATACGAAATAAAAGACAATAATTTAATTGAAATAATTAATAATTGATTAAAAATATATGTAAAGTTCAATAAAAATTTACATCACATGAGTGATTGTGAGTTATATTTAATAATTTTAAACACACATAGATCGTATAAAATAATTTTAGATAAGTTAAAGGTAGAGAAGACAAAAAAAATTTTGAAACCGATGGTTTCGACTCGATTCGATATTTTATGATCGAATTTTTTTTAAATCGAGTATCGGATGAGGTCGGGTGATAAAAAAAATTTTGGATCAAGTTTTAAGTAAACTTGACTCGATATACATAAAAAAATTTTTTTTAATTATTTATTTATATATATTTAATTTCATATTTATATTAAAAATAATATTTTATTAATTTCAGGTCAATTTAATATGATTTTATATAATGTCAAATCGAATCGGATTCAAGTATAAAAATAATAAAAAATTTATCGAATCGAATCAAATTTAAATTTTATATATTTAAAATCAAATTAAATTCGAAATAAATAAAAACTCATCCGATCCGAATAGTTGTCATCCTAGTTGGAGGTCAAATATCTAGTTTTAAAATGATAACCTGATGAAATGTCATTGAAATGTTAGGCGAGTAATGATAACTCGATGAAACGTCATTGAAATGTTAGGCGAGTCCTCTCTTCGACAAAGACAAACCAGTTCCTTCAGTAAAGATAACGTGGTAACTAGACGTGCATGTTTGAATGCCCCACGGAATGTTGATATGAGTAAATGGGCAAAACATGTTTCTTGCATTTCTTACTTAGGTTTTCATATAGTTATAAAAGGGCCATATTGATTTAGTGTTAATGTTTAATTGTTTATCAAGATTTTGCTTAAAATTTTATTAAGAACTTTTATATTTTTCAAATATGGGTGGAGTTGATTAAAAAAAAACATATTGGTATTATTTTTCCTTTAAAAAAGGATACGACCCTTAAATGGTTCAAGGTATTTTTATTATCGAAATACGTTTAAAAGTATATCAATTTAAAAATAAATATTTTAAACTTAGTATAAGAAAATACTTGTTTTTAACGATAAAGATTAAAGGAACTTTTAAATGCACTCTTATTTTTTATCTATACACTTTGTATATATATAAAAAAAATTTATAAGTGAAATTAATTACATTTCCTCTTTTCACAAGTTTTAGTATAATTTTTAAAAATATATTTTTAAAAAATCATAACACTTTTCGATATCTTATTTTTGAGATGTGTTATAACATTTTTGAAAGTGTTAAAAAGTAAAATTTTATTAAAAAATTATAAAAAAATTATTAAAATTATTTATAAATCAGTGTAATAAAAATTTATTACTAAAAAATAATAATTTTAAAATTAATAAAAAAAGTTATTTTTATTATTTTTATCCTAGAAAAGAATAATATCTATGAGATATTAAATTAAATTAAAAATAAAATAATAAATATAATTTTTTATAAATTTTAAATTTATCATTTTTTAATAAATATTTTTTTATCCATTATTAAAATTTTATAATAATATTAATTAAATTAAACTTTTTAAATAAATCTCTTCATTTATTTATCACGATAAATTTTTATAATTAGCATATTAAATTTTTAATAAAATTATACAGTATTCATTAGTATTACTTATACAATTTTAAGGAGATTCAATATTTATATATTGATCAAATTTGATAATTATTTAATCATATTTTATAATATTAAGAAATAAAATATTTAATTAAAATCTCATCAAATTTTATTTTTTTAAATCAAAATGATAAAATTAATTTTTTATTAATTTTTAAATTTATGATTTTTAATAATAATTTTTTATTACACTTATTTATAAATAATTCTAATAAATTTTTTTTTGTAATTTTTTATAAAATTTCACGCATCCACTTTTAAAAGAAGTACTGTTTTGACTTTCGAAAATGTATTTTTAAAAAGTATTATAATTTTTTAAAAGTAATGATTATTTGAAATTTTATAAAAAATATTGTAAATAATTTTGTTTATAAAAAATAAAAAACAATGTAAAAAAAAAGGCATTTAAAAGTCCCTAAGATTAAAATCTTATGGGATAATCGGCAGTAGTACGAATGTACACGCTATCCTAACAAATACTACTCCTGTATGCCCCTAAAAGCCAAAACGACGGCGCTTTAGAGTCTGTAGCAACTGTGATACTAAATCATCTGAAGATCTGTCTCCCCGTCCTTCATTTTTGTAATTTCTTTTCTCCTTCTCTTCAGGTGAGTACTCTCTGCTCTCGCTACCGATTTCACCTCTTCCTTTACCTCTTCTTCTTCCTTCTTCTGTCCTGTTTCTTTTCATCTTATCTATGGCGGAGAGTCCAATTTATATTGCCTTATGGTTATACTTTGATTTGTTCTTTTAGAAGCCCAAACATCTACTCTTTTTTTTTGCAGACCAACTGTTTTGGGAATTGTAAAATCTTAGCATTTGTTTTTTCAACTTTGTTCTGCCATTGAGTACTGACTTCTCATCTTGGTTGTGTAGGCATTTGTTGTCAGATATTCTTTGTGGTTAAGATACTTGAGGCCATGCCTGCTACAAAAAAGGTTTGCTTTACCTGCTATGGCTCGCATGGATTCTACTACTTTTGCTTCTTCTTTTTTTTTTTTTAAATTATTATTCTTGTATATGAGATTCTTATGATGTCTGACATGTTTCTCATTCAATTTTTCCTCTACGTCTTTTCGCTCTTCTGTTTCTGATTTTTATTTTGATTTTTAGCATCTTCACATTTTACATTTTCTTCGGATTTCCTTTCTCAGGAAAATTTTTGCTTTTTCTTGTTATTTTTAAGAATAACTTATCAGGTTGTATTGTTGAAAGAAAAAAAAAAAAAAAAACTTACCAGTTTGTATTATAATACAGTTATGATGTTTGATTCTTATCTTTTCTTGTGTTTAACATAGTCAGTATGTTGTGATTCTGTACCTTTTTCTACTGTTATATCTAATTTTCTGTTGGATTTCGAAGCACTGTAATTTAATTTGGTTTTTCTCTTACCTTTTGTTGTGCGAAGTTATACTTATACCTATTAAAACACTAATTTTCACATTAAGGTTGGATGGCCATATCTTTATGTAAGACTTAACTTTAAAAAGGCCTCTGAACTAAAATTAAATCATCATCCAAGTCCCTTTTGTCTCATTGCAATCAATGGAGCCCTAGAACATCTATTTCCACTCAATTGAGCCCTTGAACATCTACAATAATAACAACAACACACTAAGCCTTATATCCCATATTCTAGGGTCGGCTGTATGAAAAACCAAATAAGATAATCAAATTAGGTTGTAGTTTGAATCCTCTTGCGCCACTCATTTCTATCAACAACCACCTTTTCATCTAATTCCTTAACCATCATATCGTTTTTTTATTACTTGCATCAATATCTTTCGTGGTCTACCTCTAGATATTTTGATCTCTGCTAGATCTAGAGACTCAATTCTCCTAACCAGTGCACAGCTAGGCCTTGAGCATCTATTTTTACTAAATTGACCCCTTGATTGGACAAAAATTGGTTAATGGCATGTCACCCACCTGATCAAGTTCTGTCCAATCAAGGGCTCTATCAGATGAAAATAGATATTTGAGGGCTTAATTGATTGCAATAAAAGGATAAGGGATTGGATGATAATTTAATTTTAGCTTAGGGTTTTTTTTTTTGATAAAACATCATGAAAGTGTGTAATCTGGTTTTCGGCTATTATATTGTTTAGATTTTTTTTTTCAAGATGAAATGAGTTTCTTATTGGATTTTCCCTGTTTATCAGAGTTCTGATTGCAGTCACATTGGCTATGCATTCGGTAAGTTGATGAAGCAAATTGGAAATCCAGTTGATTTTGAGCTGCCAGATTGGTTTAATAAGTGGAAGCCTACATCCTACACCTTAATAAGGCGCAGTATCCTTTTCACATAACTTTGTAATTGTTGTAATCCATATTTCATGTTTGATCATTGAATGGCCTATTTTACCAAGATGGCATTCAGTTTCATATATGCTTAGGAATCCAATCATTATAATATTTAATTGCTTTTCCATTTGTGGTTTAAGAATACCCTCATTCCTTTTATCTTGTACTTTCCATTTTGTTTACTAAGAGATTTGATTTGCCTCTCGAGTATTAATGTCCATATGCTTTTGATTTTGTTTGTTTAACAAATTAAGACATATATCTCACAAAGAAGATTAAAAGGCGTCTTGAGGATGATGGCATTTTTTGTTCTTGCACTTCATCACCAGGTTCTTCTGTGTGCGGCAGAGATTGCCACTGTGGGTAAGATTTGTCTTGATTGATCACAATTCGTGGTTGCTCTACATTATAAGTGATAATTTTTTGGATTTTAGAGAACATGTTTCATTCTTTTTTGGGCTGGTCACATGTTACTTTGATTTATCGGAATTTTATTGAAGTGAATTTTATTTTGAGCCTTAAATGGTTTGTTATAGTTGGACTAGAACCCCAAGTCAGCGTAACAAAATTATGGAAAAAAATTTGGCATTAGAAGATGATGTTATCTTTTCCTTATATACCTTTCTTTACATTATAGCATGTGTGAGGTTTGTGAAATCTGGCTTTATGGATTTTTGGTAGGTTAAGTTAGGGGAAAATTTCTGCTTAGGGTTATCATTATGGTATAAACTAGGGACAGTGGCTATGGTCAAGGTTGCAGGAACTTTTCGCAGCAGTTAGATAGAGTTTGGGAAGTGATGATGACATTTTTTTGGTGACAGCTTCCATGGGAGAGCAGTTTGAAACTATATGGTTCTTATAAATATGCAGTATGTAGATAACTCTTTTTTCGCTTTGTGGTCGTTATGGACGTCAACCTAATCTGCTGTATTGGCAAAGGATCGAGAGGATCAAGAGCGAAAAAGAAAAAAAGAAACTGAGAAAATACCCAGTCAATTCTGTTAAAACTATTATTTTCTGAAAAAATGATGTCATGGTTACCTTCACTATCATGGTCACTATTAATATGCTAATTGGAGCTTTAGATAAACGAATTGAATTTGCCAAATCAAATAGAATATTAGGTGGGAAGACTACATGCCGTTTGGTAATTCATTATGCATTATGCATTTTATTTTGGCATATCTGCTTACTCTTTACAAGCATTATGGAGTTGTGTACGTGATTTCATTGCTTCATGCAGGATGCTATTGTCTAGTTGCTCCTCAGGCTGCAGCTGTGGGAGTTCATGCCTCAATAAGCCATTCCAACACCGACCTATCAAAAAATTGAAATTAGTTCAGGTATAGTTGTTTGAATTTTTTATATTATCTTGATTAAATCTGTGTGTTATGTTGAAGTTTTTATCGGACAAGGATTCTTTCCATTGTCTAAAAGGAAGTAATATTCCTTTCTTTATTGCAAGGATTGAAACCCTTTAGGATCTGTAGAAATATGCATGAGAGACCATTTAGTTAAGAAAGTAGAAAGGAACTGTGAGCCTAGCATTGATGTCTTGCAAATAATTGCTGAGGTTGCAAATAATCATTTATTAGACAGATTTGTTGACATGAAACTTTTAGTAAAAAATCTTGTGTCCATGTGCCTAAAGACAAACTGTGCATTTTGTTGGAGACCAGTCACTCTCCATTATTGTTAGTTGTATTTACACTTTGAAATGTGAAGTTAAACGAGGCAATACTTGTAGACCGAGAAATGTGGGGCGGGCATTGTGACAGATGAAGATATTAAGCATGGAGAGTTCGTAATAGAATATGTGGGGGAAGGTACATAACTTATGCCCTTTCCACTGAAGTTGTTATCCCTATTTTATGTATTATCCTTTTGAATAGTCTTTTGTCAATGTAGTTATTGATGACAAGACATGTGAGGAGAGGCTTTGGAACATGAAGCATCGCGGAGAAACCAACTTCTACTTATGTGAAATCAATCGTGATATGGTAATTGATGCCACATACAAGGGGAACAAATCCAGATATATAAACCATAGTTGCTGCCCCAATACTGAGATGCAAAAATGGTTCTCTACCTACCCTTGTTACTGGACTTGTGTTGATATTAAGTGATATTATAATCTTACTGATTTTGTTTATTTTACCTTTCTTAGGATAATTGATGGTGAAACAAGGATTGGCATATTTGCAATGCGGGATATAAAAAAGGGCGAGCATCTGACTTATGATTATCAGTATGAGTACTTGCTTGACTCTCCAAATATACAAAAAATTATGTTTGTGGCCTGTGTTCTGTACCGATAATAAAACCTGATGTTCTCAATTGATCCTTTGCCATATTAAATGCTGAAGCCATTGGCATTGGTTCCTTTGAAACTTGTAGTCTAAGTACAATCTAACAAATTTAGCAGGTTTGTCCAATTTGGTGCAGATCAAGATTGTCACTGTGGTGCGGCTGGCTGCAGGCAAAAACTGGGGGTCAAACCTAGCAAGCCAAAGATGTCATCAGATGCTGCACTAAAGCTAGTAGCATGCCAGGTGGCAGTATCCTCTCCTACATTGAAGGCTGTGTTATTTGGAAAAGATGTATGTAATAAGAGGCTGTTTGACACTATCAAGAATGCAAGATATGTTTCAAACATGCCTTTTCTATATACTTTGTGGTTATAATTTAATTTTATCATTTGCATTTTGGTTCTAGATGGTTAAAATCACTGATTTCTTACTTATTTGTGTATCATATGCATACTGTGGATTTTGGCAAAAATTTGAACTAATTGTTCTATTTTTTATTGGATTAACCAGAATGGAGGTCTACCTGTTGGTAAGTGAATTGTCATTTATCCTGTTTTTATAGTAAATACTTTGTATTCAAGTCAATCAAATGTTTGAAGCTGGCACTTAATTTCAGGAACTTCTCGGCATGCTCATAAGCGACGACAGATACGCTTGCGGTGCTGCATTGGTGAAGTAATAAAAATATCTCGTCCAATGAATGACAGGTACATATTAAAGATCTCTTTTTTATCAAATGTTTAGAGTATGAGATATAAGGCTTAGTATGTTGTTATTGTTGTAGTTATTTATGTGACAGCTACTTATGAAAGATTTCTTTTTTGAATAAATGATGATATAATGATGAAAGTCAAATATGCTTAACTTCATTTTTGGAGGATTTTGGTTGTTTGATTCTTATAGGATGTGTTTGTCCTCGCTTTCTTTTATTTTTCAAGAAATAACACTTTCTTTTTTTTTTACAGTAAAATGTTAACATTTTCCCCTTACTTTCGTTTAGTTATATTAATTATTTACTCAGTGCATTATCAATTTGATTTCCTACCTTTTTGTTGTCATGGTTCTCCACATAACATGCAACAAGAGTGTTTCACAGTGTTCTAGATTAGCTGGACTAGTTCTTCATGATTCTGAGATAGTCTCTTGTTAGTGTTGTATGTTGATTAAAAACAAAATTCAGTAGTTCTGTTCTTTTCCTTTATATTTTGCTCCTCTATGATGGTAATAAGGTTGTGGAACAAGGACTCGTTGAAAGTGTTCTTAAGTTGGCTAAGTTTTTTTAATTGCTTCTTTGACTGTATCATGAATCCATTTTGGCTGAATTACTTTTGTTGCGTTTTATTGTTTTCTTTTGTTTTTTGTTAAGTGTTGTAGTTCCTGATCCTGATAGCTCCTGTTTGTACACATTGTTATAAATTTTATTATCCCGACTCAAAATTTTCAGGTCCTTTGGGATTATTAAACAATTTGACAAGTATTCGAAGAAGCACTTGGTAAGAAATTCTTTTCCGTGCTCGTTTTTTTAAAGTATCATGATCATATGCAAGTGCTTGTATATTGTTGCAGGTCATGTTTGAAGATGGTGTCGTGGAATTTCTTGATATGTCGAAAGAGGATTGGGAGCTTGTAACTTTGTAAGGTCAATTACGGGTAAGTACTTTTGCAAATTGATGATATATACATGAATTAAGATCAAAACTTGGATATATCTCTTTTAGCCCTCATCAATTGTTGTAAGTTAAAGCCTTAAAGGTCCATCCTCTTACAGTTCATGCGTCTCGATTGTCTCACAGGTACTATTGTTAAGAAGATAATGGTGGCGGAAAGCCTAATTGGCCATGAAAATGCCCAGCTTTGGCTGCTGTGTTTTAGAGCAATGCCCATCCTTGCAAGGGGTCTCTCTATTATGTTGTTTTTCTTTCTTTTTTCTGCATTCAGTCGGATAAAAGCCTATCAGTGCTCTTTTAATTGTTCTATCATGCTTGAGTCCAAGTCAGGACAGGCTAGAGCTTGAGCCTAGGCCCTCGACACTTGCACATGGTTGAGAAGGTTGAGGATGGATGTTGTATCAAATGTAGTTTCCTATTCTTTTCTATGTCAATAAAATACCTTTGTGAAATTATACTATGAACCCATTGACATTTGTCAACCAATTACGGCCATTATGTCTCCCTAATTGGCTGATTAATGCCCTTTGCCCTACTTTAATTATCAACTGGAGAATTTGCCTTGCTACGTTTGGGATCATATATTTTTTTAAATATCTATAAATTAAATGATAAATCTTTATTTCAATAGATTCATTAATTATTTAGTATAATAAATAATTAATTTTTTTAATAATATAATTATATGATCTGATTTGAATTAAAGTGACATATATTAACATGACATAACCATTCATACTTCTTTTATATATATTTAAGTTAATTTCCTTCATTTATAATTAATTAGTTTTAAATGAAATACTTAATATCTTTTAAAATAATTATACAATCAATTAAATTTTATTCAAATTTTTTCTTGACAAGTTGGAATGCGTAAAGGATTGGAATGTGATTAAGCAGCAGGCAAAGCTAATGATGCTCCCCAAATATCTAGACTGAAGTGGCAATTGCCATGCCATGCATGTTACACAAATGTCTAATTTTACACCATTTACGTTTACTTTATCTCTTTATTCCATGTTTACAGATCATGGCACTCATTTCAATCCTTTTTCTTTTTGTTTCTTCTTTGATGATTTATTCTCTTGCACTAATTAATTAAGCACACTAAAAAACGAAATCTGAAACACTGCCAACTTCGCTCTCCCTATAACCCTTCTTATGACTGACTGGCACGACCATCAAGAGGAGGGACCACACCTTTCATTCAATCCAATATTGCCAATTTCCTATATATATGCATGCATGCCTCCCATGGTAGCAGTAGTAGTGAAGATGGCCAGTAAAACCTGTGGAAGAGTGTTGTTTTTAGGCCTGGTTCTGATTATTGTGGTCATCCAGGGTGATGCAGCTCGACCTCGCCAGTTTGGAAATGGAAAAGTGGAAGTGGTGGTGGCAAAGAAACAAGAAGCAAATACCAACTTGGGGGAGATGAAAAACTTGCCACCTTTTCCTTTTCCATTTCCCTTTCCATCGCCGCCATACATGCCATTTGCACCTCCGCTTCCGCTTCCGCAGTTCCCTCCATTCCCATTTCCAACACCAAGCCTTCCGCCATTGCCTCCTTTCCGTTTTCCTCCCTTCCCTGATTTCCTTTCTGCTACACCTCCCCCTCCATGATTAGTTATATATGACTGCTAGCTTGGCTTGTAACTCTTTAATCAAGTGTTTCCTAGTGAAACACATGAATCAAACTGTTGTGTTGGCAGTTGATGCAATCTAGATTTTTATTTGAGTCCAATCCTCTTTCTTTTTTTAAAATTCTGCAATTTACCAATAATTGCAGTTTCAGATGTTAATGCATTGCTGTTTTAAGACTACAAACTACAAAATATGGATTAGCAGCTAGACATGTATGGATCTGCCTGTCTCTTCTTCATGGGCCTACGATTATGAGATTAAGGCCTGTTTAACATTATAACTGTGTTTCAAAACAAAGCTTTTGAATGCAAAATAATTTTAAACACGTTATATTATGTTCACGTTAAAAGCAATTTTACACTTACATTTCTATTTCTAAAGATATTATGTTTATTTTTAAAGCATTTTTTACAGCTAAAAGTGAGTTAATAAGTTAATGAGCTAACACAAAGTAAATTGAAAGATATAATTGCACGAAAGTTATTCAGAAGATAGATAAAGTTGTGAGTAAAGATGTAATTGATTGTGTTTAAATCGATACAATATTAAGTTTGAAATTCGAAATTTGATTCAAATTCAATCAAATTTTATTTTTTTAATTCGAGTTTAATTTGAAATAGAAATCGAATTATTCAAGCTCGATCAATTAGATTTTATTAATATGTAAAAATAAATTTAATTTTTATATTCGATAAAAATATAATTATTTATGATCGAATTCAAGATATTTTATTAATTAAAATAATTAAAATATAAAAATTCGATTAAATTCATGAGCTATTAAAATCAGTTATAAAAATACTCAAATTTGACTCAATCGATAAATCAAATTACTCGAATTCTAACTCGATTCGATAATAATCGAATTGAATTTAAATTTTATTTTAATCGATCTAAGTAATTTATAAATATTGATATATCATTTACATCTCTAGTTTACGAGTTAAGATTTAAAATTTATAATTTTAAAATAAAATATTAAATATTCACTTAATTATTTATTTTAATAAAAATAATTTAATTTTTTTCAAGGTTATGTTTTTTTAAATATTTTACATTTTTATAGTAATATATACTCAGGAATTCCAAATCATAATTTTTTACATCAATTCTTAAATTATAATTTTTTACAATTTTTTATAATACTTTTCAAATTGAATTTTTTTATCTGCAACAACAACGTTAAACTAAATCTAAATCTTTAATCAGTGGTAGTTTTAAAATTGAATATAATATAATTTATTTTAATTATTCTAAAAATCAATAAAAATGACGTCAAATTCAATCAATTAATCCACCTGAATCGAAACCACAGCACCTAATTATTATAATTTCGTCTAATTAAAATGAAATTTCATGACTATTAGGTGAAGTGTCTGTGCATCGTTGCATGAGGTGTCTGTGCGTCGTCGCAAATCAAAATTTTCTGTTTTGTTATTTTTATTTATTATTGTTTTAAATTTTATCTAGATCCAAAGAAAAACTTAAAAAATCATAACGGAGGTGAACTTGGATACTTAAATTAACTTTTTTTTTTTTACAAAATATAAATTACAAAAATAATTTTTAAATTTTTTTTAATGTAAGACTCTCTTAATATCAAGCATTAAATAAAAATTTTATGAATATATATAAAAATTAAATTAAATAAAAAATAAAATATATACTTTATGTATACTGCAAAGTAGCTTAGAATAAAGGATTAAATCTGTTTTTGATTCATCTCAATTTTTTATTAAAACATAAACTCGAATTGATCTGATATCATTTTTTATAAAATCGCTCATATTAAATTACGACAAATAAAAATTTATCAAAAATTAATTGTTTTATCATCTTTCTTAACCATATCATTTTATTATAAAATTTAACTAATAAATAAATACAAAACCAAACGAGAATACTATGTGGGTACTTCTATTAATATGATTGTTTTACAGAAATGATCCATTTAAAACATAATAAATGAAAAAAAGAAAACAATATTATTTAACAAAAATAGTCTAATTAAGAACATAATAAATGAAAAAAAAATTTAAAAACAAAAAAAAAAAAGTCCCTTATGGATTGAGTTATATTGAACAAATTTATTTAAAAAAATATATAAAAAATTGCAAAAAAAAAGATGTCACATTGACACCTTCAATGAGGAAGAAACAAAAATAAAAATAAACAAAATTTATATGACAGATGAATGAATGTATAAATTACATCTTAATTATTTATAAATATGGTATTTTTATCCCTAAAAAAAGTTTAAAAAATAGGTGTAAAGTGGGTCCTATTTTTTTGTTTGGGTTAAAAATTTTGTTTTGTCATTCTTATTCATCGTTTTTATTTTAATTTTACCTAATTAAAAAAAAGGTAAAAAATAAAAACTAAAATGAAGGTGAACTTCAATACTTAAATTGCTCTTTTATTCTCGTAAAATATAAACTATAAAAAATAATTTTTTTAATTTTTATATGTGGGATCCATTTAATACTAAGTTTAAATAATAAAAAATATATTTTATATATATTTCAGGGTGACTTGGAGTAGAGGATTAATATTTTTTTTATCTGCACTCAATTTTTATTAAAAAATCTAACCAAATTGATTCGAAATCAATTTTTTTATAAAAATGCTTATATCGAATTGAAGTAGATAAAAATCAATCGAATACTAATTATTTTATCATTTTTATTAAAATTTTTATTTTATTATAAAATTAATTTAATTCAAAATAAAAAATACAAAAAAATAAAAATATTACGTGAGCACCTTTATTATCGTTATTGTTTTACAGAAATGATCAATTAACAAACAATAAATGGAAAATGGAAAAAGTAAAGAAATTTTTAAAAAAATAAAGAAAAAATATTTGCTATTTTTTAAAAACATTTAAAATTTTTTCAAAAAAATTTCAAAAAAACTTTTACATTGTTAATTGTTAGTATGTTGACATGTGAGTTTTTTTCTCACCATATGGCATTTTTATTTTTTTTTTAATTTTAAAAAATTTTTATTTATTTAATTATAATTATAGTTATAAAAAAAATAATTATATATTAAAACTATTCCTTGAGATATAGCATAATGACATGCTATAGGGAATGTGGTACGCCCTTTGCTTGTCACATGTCAAATTTTTTTTAATTTAAATTTTATTTTTAAAAAATTCCAAAAATCTTTATTTGCCATGTGGTATTTTTAAAATTTATTTATTTTTTTGAAAATATTTATTTTTTATTTACTTAATTATAATTATAAACAAAATAAAAAATAGAAGGTACGTAGAGCGGGGAAGAAGTGTCATTGGCAATTACAAAGCTTTTTATTTTTATTTTTATTTTTGCAAAATTAATTGAACCAAACACCTAAATAATAAAAAAAACAAGCATAAAAAATCTTAAGAGTAAGCATAGCATTAAATCTCAGTCCCATATTTAGAAATAAAAATATAATTAAAACAATAATCAATTGAAAAAATAACTTACTCAAAAATCAATTAAAAAACTCACTGCAAAATAACAAAAAATTCTTTAAAAAATTACCATATCTAGAATTTAATTATATATTTTTTAAAAAATGTCTCTTAAAAAAAATAATAAAGACATTGGATTTGAGATTTTTTAATAAATTAAAAAAAATTAACTACAACCAATTAACACAAACAATCATACAAAAAATTTTTAATATAAGATTTTCAAAAATTTTTTCTTTAAATTGCAAAAATCTAAAAATTGAAAAAGAAAAATTTTTAAATTAAAAAAAAAATCCTAGGAGAAGCAGGGGTAGCATTGTAGTTTACTACAAAATTGAGGGTAAGAAGTAATTTTATTTTTTATATAATTGTAAAAATTATTAGTAATTTATTTTTATTAAATATTTATTATTATAACTGAAACAAATAAAAAATATTTATCATTATTTTTTGCAACTTTCTCTTTAAAATTATTTTAACCGTTGTATTAAATTTTTTTTTTAAGTAAAAGATTTATATAAATGAAGATATTACTTTCTAAAATTTGGAAATATGAAGTAATTCACTCTTATTTTGGGTTACTGATCCATGCATGCGGCAACCTGATCCACATGGAAAAATATAGAAAGCCAAGAAGTAAGAAACAATGGTCTTTCAAGTCCATTCACTTCTATCAGAGCTTTCGAAGCCTCATCAAACAATTCTTAAGACCAAACAACTCCACGCTTTAATCTCCAAAACCCACCTCTCCCTTGACCCATTTTTCGCCACCAAAATCCTCAGGTTTTACGCGCTCAATCATGACCTTTGCTCCGCTCGTAAATTGTTCGACGAAACGCCTCAAAGAAGCGTTTTCCTTTGGAATTCCATTATTCGAGCTTATGCTCAAGCCCACAACTTCAACGACGCCTTGTCATTGTTCAATAAGATGCTTGGAACGAAAACGAAACCCGATAACTTCACGTACGCCTGCGTAATACGTGCCTGCTACGAGAACTTTGATTTGGATGGGATAAGAATTGTACATACAAGAGTTATTCTCTCTGGGTTAGGATTGGATTCCATCTGTGGTAGTGCACTTGTGACTGGGTATTCAAAGCTCTGCCTTGTTGATGAAGCAAGCAAGCTTTTCTATAGGATTCCTGAGAAGGATTTGGTTTTGTGGAATTCTATGGTTTCGGGGTATGGAAATCGTGGCCTTTCTAATAAAGGGTTAATGTTGTTTAGTTGGATGAGGCTTATGGGTCAGCAGCCAGATGGGTATACTTTGGTTGCGCTAATATCAGGGTTAGTGGATTCGGGCTTGTTAAGTGTTGGTCAAGGGATTCATGGTTTTTGTTTGAAAAGTGGTTTTGATTGTTCTGTTCATGTGGGAAGTTCACTTGTAAGCTTGTATTCGAGGTTTAAGTGCTTGGATTCGGCAAATATAGTGTTTAGTAGTTTGCTTCAACCTGATTTAGTTGCATGGTCTTCTTTGATAACCGGATATTCTCAATGTGGCGATTATGATAAGGCATTATTCTACTTCAGGAAACTGAACATGGAGAAGGGTAAAAGAGCTGATCCCATTCTGATCTCTGCTGTACTGGCGGCTACTGCTCAATCAGCAAATGAAAGGTTTGGTAGTGAGATACATGGTTATGTTGTTCGACATGGATTTGACTCGAATGTCATGGTTTCTTCTGCTCTGATAGACATGTATTCTAAGTGTGGAATAGTGAGCTTGGGGATCCGAGTTTTTGAGATTATGCCGGAAAGAAGTATAATATCTTACAATTCTCTTATTTGGGGTCTTGGATTGAATGGACTTACTTACCAGGCATTCAAGATGTTTGATGAGATGCTAGTGATCAGCCTAGAACCTGATGAATCGACCTTCTCTGCCCTCCTTTCTGCTTGTTGCCATGCTGGCCTCTTCGATGATGGTTGGGAAATTTTCAGGAGGATGATATATGAGTTTTCTATTCAACCTACAACAGAGCATTATGTTTACATGGTAAAGCTTCTTGGTATGGCTGGAGAGTTGGAAGAGGCGTATAATTTTATCTTGTGTTTGCCCAAGCCAGTTGACTGTGGCATCTGGGGAGCATTGCTATCATGCTGTGACACTCATGGAAATTCTAAGTTGGCAGAAGCTATATCCCAGCAACTAGTGGAAAATGAACCAAAAAAAAGTGCTTACAGAGTCATGCTTTCTAACATATATGCTGTTCATGGCAGGTGGGATGCTGTACAGAAGTTAAGAGATGATATAGCGGGAACGAGAGTAAGAAAATTTCCAGCGCTTAGCTGGATTGAAAGTGGAAACACATAAGTATTAAATAACTAGTCGAATCTCTTATTATCAATTCAACATGGCAGCTTACTTGTAAGGTAAATTGAAGAAACTTTTAATTTAATGGAACTATATATATAGGCATATATGGAAGCGCAATAGATACATGATTGCCACACTTGTAGATTAATATATAGGGATGCTCAACCGTTAATTCAAACACAAATTAAGAAATTTATTTATTTTTGAGCCAGTACAATTTTAGAGAAAGGAGATTCCACTAAAGTATGCTTCTTTAGTAGGAGAATACACGCACGTAGTCCTACATAGCTAAATGTTCAGATGTGAAAGAAATTTATTTGATCAAAGAGACATTAATATAATTGCATGCGAGATTTAGGGGTTCTGCTGCTGCTCAACCTCTCTTGGGGGAGCTTGGAGTATGGTTGGAGGTGTTGGAGTTAGTGGAGAAGAAAAAGGCGTGGTGGGGATAAAGGGAAAAGGAGGAAATTCGGGAAGAGAAGGCAAGCTAGGAAAGGGAAAAATTGGTGTTAAGTTAGTACTGCCAATAGGACGAGCAGGAAGAGGTAGCATTGGGTCTTGAAAAAATGGGAATTTTGGTAGCACTGAATCACCAGCTGTTTCCAGTGTTTTTATGTTGCCTGGAAAACTGGGTTGGAAAGATTGTGAGGGTGAACCAGGTGCAAATTGTATTGTTGATGGCTCTTTTGGCAATTTGCGAGATGCTGAGCATAGAAGAAGGAAAGGAGAAAGAATGATGAGGATATGGAGGAGATGACGTGAGAAAGCCATTGTTGTGTTAATCTGGAGATGTAGAATTAGTTAAAAGTAATGAGGTTTTTTATAGGCAAGAAAAAGAGTGTGTTGCCATTTACATATGTGCAGTGTGCCCAATAGCATGGTTGTTGTTCACTTATTGCACGAGAGTTCTACTTTGAACCTAATAACAGATTGCAAAGATTTGTGTCTTGACTTCTGACTCTTATACTACTTTGTAAAATTTCTTTAAATAATAAACTTGATATGTAATTAGATACCTACATATATGAAAATGTCTTGTTAGATTTATACTAATAGATGTTAAACAAAAAATTTAGCATGCAATAGTTTTCAATTTTTATTATTTAAATTTAGTTAAAAGTTTTTGGGATGTATGGATTTTTTTTTATTTTTTAAAAATCTAAATTAATGATTTTAAAAAATTATTTTAAATTTGTAATTAAGGTACGCATTTAATATATAATTATTTTTACATTAATAATATAATTACAATATAAATAAAAAAAAATTTTAAAATTTTTTTAAAAACAGTAACAAACATTTCTCAATTCAGTTACAATCTCAATTTTAAGATTTGAAAATCAAATGATTTGCTAATAAAATATTCAAATCCATGCTATTTTTAAATTTAAAACTTTTAATAATTTTCTCTTATAAATTCAACAAATTTTTGTAATAAAAATATTTTCAAAATCAATAAATTAAAATTAAAAAAAATAATTTTTTTTAAAAACTTAAAACATAAAAACACAAAATTGACAACAATGTCATATGCCCCTAAACTTACATAATTTGGACTTAACACCTATGAGAAGCCTGTTGATTTTAATTTTTAAGAGTTTATAATAAATAATAATTGATAAATATAATAAATAGACAAATACAAATTAGATTTTAACTTCTACTAAATTGTAGCACATAAAATTAGATTGATGAAGAAAATAATAAATAGTTAAAAATTTTAGTTTTGGTGCCAATTAAATTTATTTAATATATATTAAATAAAATTCCCTCATACTCCCATTGTGATCCATCCACCCTTGCCTGACGTTGTTATCATTCGTTAGGTCTCTAAAGCAAAGGTTTGAATCTTTTTTCACTTACCAATAAGCGTTTTTTTATTGCATACGTAAATAAACTAGACCTAAGAACTATAAAATTGGCGTTAGTAAAAGGATAAGGACTCAAATGATATTTATTAAAAGGTTAGTGCTATCCTTACAATTTACCCGTTTAATTTGATCCGCCACCAGCAACGGCATAAATCGTAAAAACAAGTCCAATCAAACCCATTCACAGACGCAATGTCTTCTTCCGATCCCAACAAGCTCATCTCCAAAGCCGACAAGCTGTAAGCCTCCTCCCTCTCTCTCTTTCTTTCTCACTGTTGTAATTTACTCAACTTAAGATTCTTAGATTTGAACTTTTCCCTTTTTTTTAAAAAAAATCCGATGCAATCCCTTTTAGTGTTAATTTATCGAATCGATTTGATGGAAAAAAAAAAAAGCAAAATGAATTAATCAGGATGACCCGACTTGAATTGAGAAATGTTTGTTACTGTTTTTGACTTTGTCTATATGTAGAACAAAGCTAAGTCTCACAAGGTGGAGTACTGATTGGAAAAGTGCTACTCTTTTGTATGAACAAGCTGGTATTATTCATTCAACCCCTTAAGATTTTTATCTAAAATGTGCAATTCAATCTGTAAATGCCATGTTTATGTGGGCTTTCTTTGTTGATGCTCATGCCACTTGTAGCCAATGGGTTTCGAGTTGCAAGAGATTACGAAAATGCAAAGTTGGCATTCGAAAAAGCTTCCAAAGGACAAGAGATGCAATCCTCGTATCCTTAATTTGTTTCTTTAACTGTTTCATTATCCAATTTTTTGCTATTCTTTCTATTTTAGGTTCAAATCTTGGAGGTTTTAAGTTCGAATCTTGGGATGGGAATGGGATAAGAGAGGGTTTTCGCCCCCTTTTGTATCCCAAGCCCTAATGGATCTGCACATGTACTAAAAAAATGTAAATATTTCTCACTTGTCGCGTCCTTTATAAGCAAATCAGTCCTTGGGATGCTGCTAAGCACATGGAGTCTGCCGCTGCTCTAGCAAAGGAGCTACGCAACTGGACTGAAGTTATTGACTTTTATAGAAGGGCATCTGAACTGTATATGCAATGTAACAGACCACAACCTGCATCTGATTCACTTGCCAAGGGTGCCCGGTAAGGACGTTGCTTAAACCTTTTATCGTCGGAATTCTGATTTTACATCATTTCAACTTTGCTATTTCCAGTTGAGGTTTTTCCATTACAAATAGTACTCTTGCTTAGGTACATTGATTGTTATGTACATGGGAGCTTTACATAATGTTTTTTAAGTTCAATCAAAGTTGAATTGTTCCATTAAGTTTTTTGCTTGATCTCGTTTAGTGCCACATTATCAAAATATGAAATGCTATTTGATTTGAATGGGCTGTCAAATACTAGTAATTAATAGTTAGAACTACTTTGTAAGGATTATTTCATGATATTTTCTTGCTTATTGTAAGTAATATAATTGAATCTTTAAGGCATTAATGCCATTGTTGAGGTTTACAAACCAAAAAGCAAGTTAATGAGAATTCTGCAGCAAAACTGGATTTGTTCCTTTTTTTTTTTTTAATTTATTTTTAAGAAAAAACTATTTATAAGATAGGCACTAGAGCATGTTGACAGAAATTGGGTTTTAAGATTAACAGGGCTCCTTGATGGCGACAAATTAAGAGCTTCAGTGGCCCTGAAAATGGAAATAAATAGGAAACGGTAGCATTCATCTTGAGTCTCATCATTGAAAATCACCAAACAAGAAGAGTTCAAGAGAAAGCAAAGAGGAAACTTTAAAATTTCTTTTTGGGTGTCTCAATTGAAAATCAAAGAATTTAAACAAATTGTTGTATCCAATCATTTAATTGTCTTTATGAGATTTGCTTTTGAAGAAACATAGCCGAAAAATCATGGATGTGGAATTTTCTGAATTTTCAAATTCAAAGATTCCAGCAAAGACTTAAGTTTCACTCCTATTTCTCTTTTCAAGTTTATAAAACCTGGTCTTTATTGTTAAGATGGAGAGAGGGAATGGAGATACACAGATTTGTTACTCTTATCAATAACTTGAATTAGATCGATTCCCAATGCCAATGTACATTCATGCAGGGATGTGAGTGGTTTTTGTTTGTGTTATATGTCTATTTATTTCCGAGTGCCTTTCTGCTCAATCGTTGTAAATTAACTGGTGTAATTAATTATTACTTCATGAAACCTTTTTTTCTGTTTTGTCTTTCTTTCTCATGCATCAATATAGCTTACCTGCCACATCCCGTATGGCAATCACAATTTATATTTTAATTCTTTTAGTATTTGTTCTTTTGTAGTGCTTTGGAGGATGCTTTGCCTGATGATGCCATTCAGCTGTATACTGATGCTTGTGTTATTCTCGAAGAAGACGATAAGGAACAAATGGCCTTTGATCTATATCGTGCTGCTACTAGTATCTATGTAAAACTTGAGAAGTAAGGGTTTGTTTCTTCTTAATATATTGAGATACAAATAATGCTTATGTTAAATCCTTATTTATACAATTGATCGAATAAAAGTGACACTCTCGTACATCGTATGCTCTAATATATTCTTAAAATTAGAGTACTGCTGTTTCTTAAAATAAAAGAGGAAAAAGAACGAAAACTGGACCATAGATTTTGTTTTTGCAAGCTTATGGTCATTAATTCATAGTTAAATACATATTTTTATTGTTAAAGGATTTTTAAATGCATTTATGTGGCTTTGTCCACCTCCGGAACTAGGGAATTCAGGTTGAGTAGACTGGTGCTTGTGAATTATGATGTTATTATTTGTCAAGCCAATTTTTGGCCTGTGTAATTGCAGGATTTCCCCTGTCTTTTGTTTTGGCCAGCCACTGTCCATGTTTGCCACTGGCAGCATGCCCTGGACTCATAACCATATGTGTTGGAGTGCCTGTTAATTTGGAAAATTTGTTCATAAGCAATTACCTTGTTGCATATCTAAGCAAACCTTGTACGAATATTCTTATGGTTTTTTATACTCAGGTACACGGATGCTGCAACTTTCCTTCTGAGATTGGGCTTAGCAGCTGACAAGTGCAATGCTAGAAATAGTCAATGCAAGGTGCGACTTCATATTTTGCACCCAAATTATTTGCATGTATTACTAGATATCCTTTCATATGTCATTCCTTTCTCTTTGTTTTGCATTCAGCTGTTAATTTTTCCCTAAGAAGTATTATGCACCTAATATTTGCTGACTCTTCTCTACATCCATGTATGCCTTTAGGAGTCTGCAGTGTTAAAATGCTTTATGACTTCATTAACTTGCAGTTTAGTTCAATTACACATCTTGGTACTTTATTCAGAATATTTCTTGAGCCCAATTATTTCTCTCTTCCTTATTGTAACTGATAGGAGATAAAACAATATTTTTATTTTTCTTTTTTAACTTCTTTGCAAGGACAAAGGCAGGATTTTTAGTTTGGAGGGCCACAGCTTTGTATGAAATTCAGAATTAAATAAAATTTTTTAATGCTATATAGCTAAACCATTTAAAATATACTCTCTGTCTCAAATTGAATGTCTATGTTTGACTTGGAATGCAGATTAAGAAAATGCTTTCTAAATTGCATTTCCCAATAATTTTTGGTTGATCCTTGAAAATTTGGCATAACATCTATTTGTCTGTATAAAGTGATAGTTGTTTCACCAATGAGCTGACTTCTTAATCAGATTTTAAGTACTGTGAAACTTAGCTGACTTCTTAATCAGATTTTAAGTACTGTGAAACTTACATCCTGGGGCAAAATCATAACCTAACATAGTGCTTCCTACTTTCTTCAATTAAGTTGTATGTAGGGCACACTTACCTTTTTTTTTTTTTTTTGGGTTACTTTCTAATGCGCTACCTCTAAAAAAACTGTACCTTCATATTTGTGTGAAAAAACCTTAGTCCCGTGAGGCATTACAGATCTGGGTACCATGTGGTTTAATAGATCTCACTTTCTTTCAATCCTCTAGTGCCGATGTGACTATTGTTCTTTTTACTTGTTTTGCAGTGGCTTTTTTTTTTTTCTTTTGAAAGGAAGCTTTGTTGATAGCAATATATTAACTTTTATATATATATATATATATTTAATTTCAGGCCTATCTTAGTGCAATTATTGTGTATCTTTATGCTCATGACTTAAAGCAAGCAGAAAAGTGCTACAATGACTGTTCTCAGTAAGTGCAGTTCTCTCTCAGCTACCTTTTGGCCCACTATGTATCAATGTATTTTTAGTATTCTGTACTCGTATATCTACTAATTTTATGATTTGATTAATTGCTCTCAAGTAGCTGATCTTATTAGCACAACAATCTTTTGATTGATATATCACTCATCATTATCATATGAGGCGTTGCAAGTAAAAGTGATTCCCAGCAAGTGAAAACAACCTTGCCATAATATCTTCAACACCTAAGATAAAATTATCTTAAAAGCATGTTGGGTATTTGTTTTCTATCTCAGATTTTTCTCAACATGTATCTCACCTATACGTTAATGAAATGCATCTACCACTATCATCAATTCTCTGCCCTGCAACCTAATTGAATTATAAATTGCCCCTTTTTGTTAAACAGTTGTTTCCTTCCCCCTGAAGTGAAAAAAAAAATTTGGAACCAAGTAGTAATTAACTTTAAGCTAATGACCTAGGAAACTTTTGTATTTACTATTACCAAATTGTGGTGGTGCAGATTCTCTCTCTCTTTGTTTTCTTCATGGATGTCATTCAGTGTTTTGATTGATGTATGGTTTGGATGGGAAAGAAGTAAAGCAATGGAACGACAATAGTGAAACTAATGCTTCTCTAATCAGATGTCAACTTCTTGTTGGATTTTTATTTGTGAACTCACAACAATTTTTTCTCCCCCCTTTTTTTTGATAATATATTTCTACCTGGATGGTTTTAATGCAGATGTTGTGTCCCCCACTATGCAATGAAAAACCCGTTACATATTCCTTAAGATTAATGCTGTAGCAGAAGGCATCTAGAAATCACCAATACTTTTCGTGATTTTTGGGGGGTCTATCTTTATAGTGTATATTGATGATTTTTTTGTTAAGAAAAGGTGATCTAAATTAGTATTGTCTTTGGACCTTTTCAGAATTGATGCTTTCTTAAGAAGTGATCAGAACCGCTGTGCTAGTAAACTTCTTTCTGCTTACACAGAAGGTGATGTAGAAGAAATCAAACGTGTGGCTCAGTCAAGTACTATTTCCAATCTTGACAATGTGGTAAATCTTTTTGACTGTTTGCACCTTTGTTTTTGGAAATGCATGTGCTTCTCTTATAACAATGTGAATGATATTGTTAGGACATTCCATCTCCTGAATGCTACAGTTGATCCCATATCTAAGATAGGTTTGACTTATGCAACCATGACTAGTTCTAATAGGCCTAACTCTGTGCAGTCGTAGCTGATACTTAAAATTTCAGGTGCCAAGATTCAGTAACATTTGCAACTTTGGCATTATTGTAAATGAACTAGATGTGCTTTTGGGTGACTGTTGGATTTTATTTTGCCCAACTCTTTTAGCAATAGAAATGCAATGCAGATAAAGCGGTTGCAAACAGTCCTGTTGTTCCTTTCGTTCAATTTTTTATCTTCTTTTTGACATCATTGTGTTCTTCATGCACCCTAAGAGGTTCTTCGTGATGTGTCTCGTGCTATCAGATTCTGATTGACTTTCCCATTCTTCCAATATATCTATCCTAGAATATAGGCATTAACTTTTACCAAGACATGGCAGTCTGCCGTTGGACTCAACATATCTTTGTGTCTCAGTTCACATGTCTGCATTTTAATTGTTCTTTTATGCAAGGAAGATGGATAAACTCCCAGCTGAACATTTTTCCTCCACCATGAGTTCTTTGCAAAGTAAAATCTTTCCATTGTGGTTAAGAGGGTTCTGAAGAACTAATATGATGGGAATAAAGCAATTCAAAATTTAAAACACGTGCACTCACATCAGGGCCACAGTTATATGTATTACACGCATGTAGAACCTCTAGACAAGCGATTGAAAATCTGAGATCATTAACTGAAGCATGCTAGGAAAATGGAAAATATTATTGAAGTTAGAAGAATTGTTTTTTTTTTTTTTGGTTATAAACTGTCACTTTAATCCTTTATTCCCCAGAAAAAGGCTAAGTGATAGCTAGATCCTCTGTCAAGCTTGGCATACACCTATTTTCTTGGTGCTTCTATTGTATCCTAACCATGTACTCCAGTTGCATATCTATTGGCATTTTCCTATGGAACTTTTGCATATTATTAGAAAAAAAAAAAAAAACAACAACAAATTTCATTTTCTAGAATGTGGAATGGGATGGTGGGATGCATAGGATGGTGGCATGCTCCAAACTTCGTTCTTACCCTCTAATAATTGCCGCATCTCCTTTGCTTATCATTTATCTTATGGTTTTCAAACTAGATATGAGAATATGTTTTTCATTCTGCATATTATCTTCTATTGAATTGGTCACGGGCTAGGAGGGAAGAAGGCATTAAAGAAAGAGCATTGGGTGTTGCACCGGATTGAGGCCATTTCTATACTTTTAATTTTGAAACAAATTTATCACCATACTTCTAATTTCAAGTTGTATCATTCCTACATATCTTTTGACAATATTGGTTGCTTTTGAATCATCCATTTACATTTAATGTTAATCTTACAAAGTGGACATAGTCAATGAGGCAGGAATTGCAGCTGATTCAATTGCAGAATTTTGACTGAAATGAAATTGGTTGCCGCAGATCATAAAGCTTGCAAGGAAGTTGCCTACTGGTGATGTAAGCGTGTTTAAGGCTGATGCCACTAAAGATGAGCAAGAAGCACTGGATGAAAATGATCTCACTTGAATATAACTTCACGTTTGTCTCATCGTCTGCATATTGGGTGTTTGTGTGCACATACAATCCTTTTGTGTAATTACATAGAAACATCTTTGGTTTTATTTTGCTTAAGTCGTCGTGTTTTACCAACTTAAATGGTGTTCATCTTGTAAGCAGTTGCTTGTTATATGATCGGATCGATTCTTGTCTAACAAGTTCACATCCAAGAATCAGATGAATATTTCTTTTGTTCATATGAGGCTATAGCCCGAAAATAAAGGAAGGAGTTGCAATTGACTGTATGAACCGACTCAATTAAACTCCAAATTGGAATCAGATGCATATTTTGCAATGCCTTGTTGCTTCTCGTCCCATATTTGTCTTGTAGAAAACAGGCCATCACACCAGTTTGTTAAAGGAGAAATGTGTTTTTATAAGCAATACAAGAGCTCAGGTAAACAGCTACGAGAGACTTGTCAGTAATAATTACTGCACGCACACACACACGCGCACATAAAAGCTTCATTTCTTCACCCACTCAGGCATTCAGACCTAGGACACAGCAATCAAATTGAAGGAAACAAAAAGGAAAAAGAAAAAGGCCCAGAAACTCTCCAGCTCGATAGGAAAAGCTTGGAAGAGCTTGGACTTCCTAAAATTTCACTCCACGGCCCAACCAGCAGATTTTAATCGTCTTCTCTTTCTGGAGGTAGACCACAAGGCAGAAGCATTTTCTGTACATAAAGATCAGAAACAATTATACCTTAAACTAAAAGTTTAAGCCATCAGAATAAGAAAAACAAGACTGCCAAGACATCCACACCATGTGACCTTAACGATTCAATAGTCATCTATCACATCAAGAAAAAAAAAAAGTTCATATCTTAAAATAACTTCTTATGGAGATTGGAGAAGTAGCGATCCTTCGCACACACACACAAATTAATAGAGAGGGCGATAACTTTACTCTCATACTGTTTGTTATGTTTGAGTTTTAGTTGTTCAAATGCTCCTGAAATCTTTGTGGCATTTGTAAGACAGCTATCCATAAATTGACTCCTCCAATGGCTTTTAAATAACAATGATTGCTAGATAGAAAATTCTAACTCCTCCTAAAGGCTTAAGTCAGGGGTTTCTTCATATTGATAAAATCACATATGCGTAGGAGTATACAGTCTGGATAAAAAGAATTACACACACAGACACACTTAGAGCAGTGAAACAGAGAAAAATAAAGCATATAGAAGCATAAACAACTAGATCTACAGCTAAATTGGTTTAGAAAGCAAATGAAAACAAAAGCAAGAGGAAATAGAAGGAAAAAATAGCTGAGAACTCCAGAAGAGAGGAGTACATGAGGGATTTTTTAAGCTAATTATCCTTTCCGCTACTCTGGTTCTATTTCACTTCAGGGATTCGAAAATGCTTAGCAATTTGAGAGAAATAACAGCAACAAAATGAATCCAACTAATGACATTTATCACAAGAAACTAAATATTTAGATATACACCACTAAACATAAGAAATGGAATGAAACTCTTTTAGCCAACCAAAATGTTGAGTTTTAGTTCATCATTAGTAAAAGACTATATAAATCAGAAGCATTCCCACAACTAATAGGAAATGATCAGGAGACCAGGACCAATATCCCAAAAGGGACTGACTATTCAGCATATTTGATGAATGCAAGGTGGATACCATGCCACTCATAACAGCCATTAAGACGTCCAGAATGCTTCAAAGGGTCCCATTTATTGCATAGGGTGTACCTCATAGTGTTCGTCAGTAAGGGTAATTTGTGAAGAGCAATGTGGTGTCCACTTGCATTGCAAGATGTGTCTGCAATCTCCTCTAATCATACCCCCAAAGGGTAGAAATAGAACTAGCTAACCAAAACACTATCGCAACTATTTGCACTCAACAACATAAATGAAGTCCTATAATTTTGTTCCATGTAAGGCAAACCTTTGGATACTCCTATTGTTGCAGCACTTACATATTAAACCAAATAACTCTTTTTTAAGTAGTAAAAGCTATTGGTCTTTTGTAAATCTAACGATTCGTGTATTCGTATTATGTAAAACATTCAAATTTGTGTAATCGTACCATGTTCTACACAAAAATTACGTTTCAACACGAAAACATAAAATATATCTTTTGGTTTTGTTAAACCTATATATAGTTTTTGCTAAAATTTTAAGCCGTGTCATCTTCGAGTTTCGTATGGTGTTCATGTCATGTTTTAGATTGCCAGTTCTAGACTTTTTTGCAACACAAAGCTACCATTTTGAAAACCAACAACAGCATAGTCAAATCCCAAGAAAAAAAAAACCATAACTCCATTTAGTGAAATTCCAAACCCAGAAAATTTTGTCCAAATACCACACAAATACAAATGCCAGACAACGAAATAAACAGTTGTCTCATAAACCCAAAAATGCCCAACAAAAAGAAAGAATATGGTTTACCTGCATGAAGTTGTAGCGCTCTCTTCCAATGGATTCATTTTCAGCCACAGCAAAGTAAGCTAACATTGGGTAATGTCCTATATAAGATGCGTAGCTATCGCGTTGAATATTCACCGCCCATTCACTGCATTCAAATTCAACGAAGGAAAAATATATTTGTCGGTAAAATTTCTTTTTTTTTTTGTTAAAAAGGAGAAATTACAAGGAAAAAAGATTAGAAACTGACAATCTATTCAGATCAGCATGGCCAGTTCCAACGTATTTGGCTTGGAGATGTTCGAGCTGGGAATTGATGTTAAACCTATCGCTTGCCTGAAAACATTTATCACAAACATTTTAGGATTTAGGGCTGGGGAATTAGGGTTTTGATTGGATATTCAAATGAAGCAAGAAATTAAATTAGGGTTTTGACTTACCTGCATATTCTCTCAAAGCTCTTGAGAACAGAAAGTAAGATATGAGAGACGAATTCCTACGCTGGATTGGTTTCGCCTTGGCTCGGTCCAGAGTGAAAGTAAAAGCGAAGAGTTTCCTATCTTAAATAATTGGATACCCTACACCACCCGACCCGATCCGACTGGAGTAAGTAAAATCTATATATCTTAAACTTGATTTTAGAAATTAAATTAACAAATATGTGATTTTAAATTACCATTGATAACATCTTACTTAATCTCAATAATTTGTTCAAATTCAAGTCAATATAACTTTCAAAATTAACATCTTAAACTTAAAAAAATATCCCTACTCTAAATAATTCAAGTCCAAAAATTATTCCAATCATTTTGTATCCTAAATATGTTATATTAATACTAGACTAGAGAAAATGTATGTACGTTATAAACACTAATTCCAAAAAATAAAACAAAACAATGTATTGTATTGTATTGTATTAAAAAAATTTTATTTACATTTTTTTCTCTTTCACACCTATTTTTTTTAAATTTTTTATAATAAAATTAATTAATTTGTTATCTCTAAACTACTATAGTGCCACACAGACATTGGCGGGAAGAGTTTGTTAGCAGTGAAGGAGTTAGTTAATCGACTGATGTTCTCCTAAAACCCAATGCCAAACTCTATTTTTTCTCATCAGTCATGACTAAATACTCTCTCATCTTCCTCCTTCTCATTCCCATTTCCTCTATTGCTGCCAAGCATCACCTGCCTCTTCCGCCAATACCACCACCACCATCTCCGCTGCATCAACTTAAAAACATAATCGACGCTCTCATTGGAGCTGGGGACTTCAACAGCTGGACAAACATGCTTTCCAACTCTGACCTCCTCATCCTTCCACTTTCACCTACCCTTTCTGTCCCTTCCGATCATGCTCTCTTCCCATTTCCAGACCCACCCCCAACTTCCTCCACCATCGCCACCGCCGCCTTTGACCCTTTATTCGTGCCTTACCACATTGTCCCACAATGCCTCACTTTCTCACAACTCAACCCTTTTCAAGCCTTTTTCTCGCTTACCAACTTTACTTCCTTTCAAATACATCCTCATAACCAACACTTGCCTCTCCGACTTCACTCTCGACGCTTCTCAGCTTTCCTACCATGATCTTTACCTCACATCCGCCATTGCTGTCCACGGCGTTGCCGCTCCTCAACTACACTGTGGACCTTGGTGATGTTGGTTTGGGCCATCAAGATTCATAGGAATCCTCTTGGCCTCCGAGTTTTGATCACTGTTAGATATCAAACAACTCTTAGCTTCAGATCTTATCATTCTTTTGGGTTTGGGTCTCTTTTTGGGGTGCTGCCAGCTGGGAATTGAGATGATATGGTTTTTGTGACCTGTGAATGAATAATAATCAACATTGCAGAATAACAAGCAAAATTTCAGTGAGTACAAGGAAAACACAACACGACATTCAATCTGTTTATTGTCACTGTCACAGTCACGCATCGACTCCAGCTCTTCAATCCTGTGCAATGTTTCTCTTATCAATCTTCTCCATGATCAATCATCATATCACATATGATAATAGTCAAAAATAATAATAATAACTGATGAGCTAAATACGATTTACAACTAAAAAAACATTTATTTCAGTAAAGTTAGCAAAATTTTGCAAGGTACAAAGAGGCCTTGTCTATGATAAGTTAGTGGCAATAACAATGGGGGACATTGCCAATGGCAATGGTTGCGCCTGACTTAGGCATATGGAACCTGTTTCTCCCTCTTATGGATTTGTTTAAAGAATCAGCCTGAAAGTCCAAAAATCAAGCTAAAAAACTAGTCCCAATAAGAATCAACTACCGGAACTGGTCAATTCCTTTTTCACCCTTATTTTCTAAAGGTTGCTCATGTCCACCATGTTCAATTTATCTACATGTTTTACGGATCTCCTCTGTCAATATTTCATATGCCACTCTCCATTCAGCACTTTGTGCATCGCTGCAGAGAATCCTTTGCATTATTTTCAACTCTTCAGGGCTTGCCTTCTCGAACAGTCTTCTTAGAATTACCTGTACCTCTTCAACTGAACTGTAACTTGGATCCTCCTGGTTGTGCTTTGTCAAATCAACACCAAAAACTTTTGCATTTGCTTCCCCTACAGAGCAACTCAATCTAAATGCAGATTTTTTAACTTCATTGTTATCGCTAGTAGTCTTGTGATTCCAGTACTCCAAACACTGATGATTTGGATCAAGAGCTTCAATAGCCTGCAGGAGAGCAATTTATTAAGAAATATATAACTGAATTCAGATATCAGGACTAAAATTGACAAGAAAAACAGTGACACATAAAGTTATGTGTCATTATGCTTGTTTATTTAGACAAATTGATGCTTGCATGAATGTATGCTCTATGCAAAATTTCCCCACCATCTGTCCCTGGTCTTTCCTGTGTTTGAATGATTGCTTGTTTTATTTATTTATTTTTTGAGAGAGAAAGCCATAATACTCTCCTAGTGCTACTTGATCAAGTTTGTTGTGCGTATAATTATAGCTACATTAAATTCTAGGGTTCAGAAGGAATTTTGCATCACTGGCCAAAATAATATAGCTACCAGTTGACATCAAGTAATAACAGTTTAATGAAATCAAAAGGCTTTGATAAATTGTTGTGAATTAAAAATAATGTGGAAGTGGTGTGGTAGAATACATGTTTACTAAGGATTAATAAATGACATTTCCGTTCATCACATCATCATATTTGCTAAGCCATATTCCAGTATCATGATAAGAACCATCAGGATCATATTTTTAGCTAAGACATTTTAGTCTGATATGCACAATAGGATATCAGGTCGTTTGCTTAACTGACAAAATTGAAACATTTCAATAAGTTGAACTGTGGTAGAAACTTTGTCAGTAGCTTAGAACAGAAATAGGGCAGCTATCTTGCAACCAATGCATTATCAATTGCAGACTGCTGCCGCAAGATAGATTCCATTTCAGATGTATTACGCAGAAAGCATCTGAAAACTTGTTCAATTGATTTTATGAAAACTACCAGCCAAACTAATCAGATTAACCTTACAAAGGCATCTATACCTGAATTATGGGTGGTGAAAGAAATCCAAACTTTTCAAGTCCATTGATGCTCTGCAGAGACTGCAAAGGAAGCAGCCCCCTTTCCCCTAGGTTGCTCCTCCTCAGAATTTCTTGATTTAATTGCTGCAGCACCATTTCCCAGCATTTCTCCACTGACACATTTGAGAATGTTACAGTGGGGCAGCCTTCTAAAGTAACCTGAAATATACAATAACAGATGTAAGGTTCTACATGCACGCTAACTCAGTGAGAAATCTTCATTGACTAATCTTGGTGTCTTGTAAACTTTTGTGTCAACTATTACTCTGCTCTCTCTCTCTCGGGTTTTATTTTTTTTCTTTTGTCCATTTGCCTTTCCTTTTTTGTTTTTTCCTTTTTGGCTTCTGTCCCCCTTGATTGATTACTGGAGTTTTACAACTAAATCTTTATCCCCAAAGTAGACAAACAAGAGGTAATCTCACCTTAAATAGAGGTCCAAGGAGCCCCAGCATCTAAGACTTCTGATATGTAGCTAGAAATCTCTGCTGGGTTGAGCACACTAAAGTACTTCACACGGCTTTTAAATCCTGTAAAAGTCAAGCATGAATGCAAAATCCTTCTACCGGCAAAGAAGAGACTGTGAATTAAATAGTAAAAACTTGAATCAAATTCCATTATCATGTACCTTTTGGGAAGATGGCCTGCCTGCTGCACCATAGTTTTCCAAACATGACCGATCCAAAATTTAAAGGTTCAACAGAAGAATTTAACAATGGATCAGCTTGGTCTGCAATAGATGCATCTATATCTGAGCTGTTGATAGTTTCTATATTCAACAAAGTATTAGACTGTCCTGAATGGATATATGGAAACTGAAGTTCAGCACCAAACAATTTCTTGTCATCAAAGCCATCAGAATCCTGATGAACCCTTGAAATTGAAAGGCTGATCCTTGTTGGGAGATTCTTGAGAAACTGAGGAGCTAGAATCACTTCTTAGTCTCTTTAGAAAAGGTTCTCTTACTTCATCAAAGCCACAAATTTTCTCTCGCTTAAAAAAGGGTAAAAACGCCCTAACATCAGTGACACTGTTGTTGTTAGGGTTATCAGAAGCATACAGTGACTTGCTTGCAGGATAATTGGATATAATATCAAGATTCAAGTCAATGTAGGCATCCTGCTCCAAGTTCACTCTGTTTTCCATGACAAGAACTCCAACATTTAAGGCATTGTTATGACTATCTAGGGTGACATGAGAAGCTTTTAATTCAGTCCCATGCTGGCACTCTGATGGCAATACTTCTGAAGAAACATGACCACATGAACAAGATGAAGTATTAATATCCACCTTTTCTTCCATTCTCGGCGAACAATACAAACTTTCCCTTAGTTGAGAAGGCTCAGTTTTTAATAGCTCATTGTCCAGAACTAACTTAGACCCATGAGCATCACAATTATTAACAGAAACCAATCCAAGATCTTTGGATTCCCAAACTTTAACAGCATCTAATCCTCCCTCCAGGGCTTTGATTAGCATTTGCAATTCATCAATGGTGTAGCGAAGGAGGACAAATCTGCCTTCATCTTGGCATGAGCAGAAATTCTTTACATGTTTCAGACATGCAAATCGTTCAGGAGAGCATTTGCAGCTGCAGGCAGAAAGATGCAAGTCATAGAAACAAAAGAAACATTCCCTCTCACGTTCCAAATCAAAGTCCTTTTCCATCTTTTGTAAGGGTAAATGAGGAGGAAGGCAATTTACTCTTTCCTCCTCCATCTGCACTCTCATCTGTTAACAGCGATAATTTTACATATATTAGTACAAATAAGGGCATAAGTTAGTTTTTCACTTATCATGCGAATATGTATTTAAATAAGTTAAAATATAAGATTTCTTTCTTTTATCAGAGAGAGAGAGAAAGTCTACCCTAACAGCCTTTGTAAGCATTCCGTCCTTCCCACAGACATGTTTCCATCTCAAATTTCCTGGAGTTTCTCTTCCAAGAATGAATAACTCCCTGAGAGCTTGGATGGCTTGCCGAGCTGATCCTAAAAGCAGCTTGTCATGGGACAGTGATGTCTTCCGATGTTGCTCACTATAGAGCTCCACTGCATGTTGACCATGTTCTAGCCAATCAACAGGAGCAACATTCACTGCCTCTGCACAGTTGAAGCCACAATTGAATCCAGAGTGATATGCCCTTGGAAAGGTAAGAACAAACTCCCCAGAATGTTGTACAGCTCGATAGACTGGTACACCCTCAGCTTTTAGAACTGAAGGAGATAGTTGAGTAACCTGCCCAAAGATGAACCATAAACATCATGCATGTTATACGATGATGAAACATAAAAAAATAGATGTAAGATGAGGGAATGACAAGGAACAGACGCAAAATCTAGGAAAAAAATAAATGAAACGAAAGAAATAAAGAGTTGAAGATATTAAAATATAGTTTCACAAGTATTTGTTCAGAAATTTCAAGTAGAGATGATTTAATGGGGTTCTGTTCAGTACATGCTTTGGTTAAACAAACTGGATGATGACTATCTATGAATATCAGCAGGTACCAATGCAACCTGACCTTCTGGAATTACATACAAAGGTACAATTTAACAATCTCATTAGGGAAACTAACAGTTTTGGCTATGAATAAGAATAACAATCATACAAAACATAAACTGCCTGCTGATAAAGCAACCTAGATGCCCTTCTTTTTATCCCAATCCTCTTTCTTAGATACCTTGATGCCTTGCAGCCCAGGTGTCCAATACTTCTACATCTATGACCTATTGAGATTGGTAGACACCAGAGTGCATGTTCAGGTGTCCAACACTATTAAAACTTTACCATTATTCATTTAGTAAAATGTACAAATGTCTACTGATGCAGGATGAAAAGAAGCTGTTTGAGGAATTGGAATTTTGATTTAAGAATACCTGTTCTATATCATCTACCCAATAAGAAAACAAACATGGCTCCAAGAAGCATTGAAAAAGTGCATTAAATATGCCAAAGAAAGGGTGACAATGTATTTTGCAGTCCAACAAAATCTTTAAAAAAAAAGAAAAGAAGTAAAACAAATATATTTCTCACCAATTCATGAAGTAAGTCTGGTTGTTCTTCAAACAAATCAGGCAGATGCTTTCTCATTGCAGCCTCCAAAGAGGTAGCATGGTTTCCAGGCACTCCATACCATATCTTTGGATCACCCCAGTGCATATAGTTTAGTGAATACAGATGGTGGTCCTCAACATGCTGCTTGAACCATAATACAGTAAAAATGAGAAAAGGAAAGAAAAAATTTGGCATGAATCACCATCACCATTCAACTTATCAAACATAAGTAGCCACTTTTTACTCTTCTCCTACCATTTCTTTTTACATATACAATAATTCTTCAATAAAACCTATCATTTGCATGTTTATAACAACAGAATAATATTCCAAATTTCAGACCTGAAACACAAAGAGTTATGAAAAGCAAGAAAGCCTAGATGAACCTTCTTAAAATAGAAAGAAATCTTCTAAGAATACTTATTCAAAACTTTACAAACATTCCTCCCAGATTTAGTCCCTAATCCTGAGAGGATTAGACAACACTAAGCCACTAAGACAGGAGTTCTATTAACTGTCAAATAAAAGATACAATTGGAATCCTCATTGCAAGTGTGTATGTATTACTATTCTCATTCAAACAGTAAAAACAAGTCCTATAAATACTTCTATCTTCAAAATTACTAATAATATAGAAATTGAAAGACATCTAACACTTACTGAAAGAATAAATATTTAAAATAGCTAACTATAACTTGCACAGGTTAATACAGGAGGTTATGATATTAGATTTTTAATAAAATGATAAAATTATTCTTGTATTTACCTTCAAAAGGTATAGAATAGATAAGAGCATCAAGTCAAGGCTAGGATCTTCATCTAACACGCTTTTCCTATAGGTGAACTGAGATCAATATATTTAAAATAATGCAGGCAATTTTATCATTTTATTTAAAATTTGACATCATAGCTCTTTTTGGTGCAACGAGTAAATTTTATGTTAGCTCAGATGGGAAGGGTAGAAAGCATAATTCATGTTGAATATTTCATAAAATTCACAAGGTAGTAAGCATGTTTCCAGTATATTATTGCATTGCAAAAGGTGTAAAAATTTAATGCTCTTTGCACTTCAGCAACCATAGACCATCCTACAACCATAGGGCACCATACTGCCAGACAAATTCAAACCTAGCAGAATGTATGAGAACCATGTTGTACATTTTCTAAAAAGAAGTGTGGGACATTGCTGTATACCTATATCATTTATCATTGAAAAACAAAAATATCCTAAGTAATTTTAATCAAGTGATCTAAGATGAACTCTAAGAGCAGTTTTTATGTCTTACCCAACAAAATGATGAGAAGCACATCCCCACATAGAGCCATGGAACTAGAACTCCAGATATATCACATCCTTCAAAAGATAACACTGAACCTTGTAGGCGCGGGAAATTATTTAGGTTCCAACCTGACATTGCATATTTATCTGCATCATTTCCAGTTAACATAGATGATGCCTTAGGAAACCCACTGCCAAATTTTCCTGTTTCTAAGTCAGCACCATAATATACCTGCAATAAGAAAGCAAACTCCAGCATAAGTAGACAGAGACTTCCATGAATGAAATCTATAAATAGAGGAGCAAGTAGATGACCAAGATCCATACCTCAACCTCATCTGTTGGCTGCTCAACTATCCTCCAGTACTCACCTTCAATATCCTCCCAAGACGGTTCCCATTTCCTATATTCAACAACACCAGGCTTTAAATCCTCATCACAGTCCCTTCGAAAGTACATTTCCTTAAATTCATCTGCAAGTCTCTGAAATTCTTCAAGAGTGAAGTCTGGTCCTGAATTGAAGCCAAACTTCTCATCGATCTCAGAAGCAACAATAGATTCTGAACTAGAATTGGCACGTCTTCTAGCAGCTCCCATTCTTGAATGCCTCCTCCGTTTCCGTTTCCGGCTTCTACTTTTCTTTCTCATTGGCTCCCTATTTTGAAGTAAGTCAACTTGTTGAATTCGTGTTAAAAATTTAGCATGTTCCCATATATCTTTCTCTTTAAGAGGACAAGGTGGAGTCCAAGAAGGTGGCGGAACGATCCGACATATTCCAAATGATTCAGCTTCTGCACGAATAGTTTCTATGTAGGCAAGTGTGTCTTTAAACTCCTAATAAATGGAACATCACGAATTCTAAGTAGTGTTATCAGAAAGAAATATTGAGAAAACAATAAAAGAAAAAGAAAAAGTTGACATCAGATCTTTACCCTTAAAAGAGAAGATTACCTCAACAGTTGGATAAAACACTGGAGCATCATCAATGGTAGGCCTGCATGCTTCATCTGGATCCCATCTTGCTGACACCTAAACATGCCAACAATGATCTCATTCATAAAGCAACAGAATTTAGGAGGATAAAGCTAGATGATTTTCAGATGGTTACACATTAAACAATGTAGCCCAGTGTAGAACACTGTAAATAAGATAAATATGTTTCTGGTTTCAAAATGAGTCTTAAAACTTCTGCCAGAACATTTATAACTGCTTATTTCAGGTATCATGAGAAAAATTTCCCCCACTAGCTTTTGAATTACACATAGGGACACCTAAAATTTCAAATCAATGCTATCAAAATCCATGCAGAAAACCTAGACTCTCCTGGGATTCAAAATGCCTGCTTTGAGACATTACCTCTTAACCCAAGGAAAAAAAAAAAAAAACAGAAAAGTCATTTATGGCCAAGCTAATACAAGGAGTACAACGTATACGTCTGCACAAAGAGTTATTTGTAGCCCATCAATCACATTGAGTCTACTCAAAACTGCATTAACTTACCATTCGATTTTGAGGACTGCCTGAGGACTCAATATTATTATCTTTTTTCTTGGAAAGTTGTGATGAATAATCCTGCAAATCATCTTTTGTTAGAAATTCATATATTTTATGCTTGTTAGCCTGAACCAGGCATTCTGATATTAAGCACATAAATAATGATATATTGCACTGCAATTGACATAAGATGACCCATTTCAACAATATATCTATATCTATATCTATATCTATATCTATATATATATATATATATTCAAATTCAAATGAATACAAATATACATACAAATATACATGCATTTATCTGAAATCAGGGAAGATATACATATTAACATGAACAAGCACAGTCTTAGTATAAGTCCCTCAGTCTATACAAAAACCATACAGCATCAACCAATACATAGAAGATAAAGAAAAATGGATAATGACACAGTTTTACCCCTCTTTAATTCTCATACTCAGCACTAGGTACTGAAAATATGTTGATCACAGACAGTTGCGAAAAGTTGCTTTCAAACAAGTTAAGAAGGATTCTGACAAAAGTTCCCTAAAGAGTTTCCTGATATGGACATAGTATCCTATCCACCATCTGTTCTCTAACATTTTGATCTTTGGCCTTTCCTTGTACTATAGGAAGTAGTAGCCATTGTCGCTAGCAACTTGTGATTTATTCCTGTGCTCATTCATGAATAGGTTTTTCTGAATAACTTATACTACTGTCTCTTATACTCTGTACACTCCAAAGGATTAGAAACCCGAATCCATTATATATCAATCACAACAATAGTAGACACAAATCCAGGCAGACATAATTCCATCTAACAAAGAAATTAATAAGAATCAAAACAGAGACGATAGTTAATTGACAACGTAAAATCTCAAGAGTGATGCTTTCCTAGGGTTCTGGAATATGAACAGATTTTGTTATATCAATTCCCTCCGTTTGCAGCATAAACAAAAAGAAAAAACCTTAACCAACATTGATCATAATGACATAATTGGATGATCAAATATCAAAACTTTCTAAACCAAGAACACCATAATGCCTATAAACATTCAAAAAATTACCTCAACAATATCAGGAAAAAGCAAAAATATATATAGAGAAAGAAACAATCAGATACAATTGGCATGCTGAAGATGCATATTGTGGTAAACAGATCTGCACATTTGTAAAACAAGGAATCCAATATATGGAGAAAGAAACAGAGAGAAAATCTAACCTGTTTCATATGAGAATCTGCTGCTATTTTCAACTGTTCCATTCAATTGGAAAGCAAAAAATTATGAAAATTAAATAAGTAATTAAAAAAACTGTTCTAAAATTATTCTACCCTAGCAATTCGAAGAAAGAGTTGGTGGTTTTTTAGGTTATTTAAATATGAAACATATATAGCATTAATTGCTTTTCCCCAATTCCACCACAACTCTGAAAACAATTCCAGAAACAAGGGTTTCTTTTGGTTTTCAAAATATTCAGAGAAAAATAATTTCTCTGTTGGTTTCCCTTTCTAACACAATTTCCTTTAAATTTCCAGAATCAATTAGAATATTAAGTAAAAAAATCTCTTTTATATTTGACTTAGTAAACCGTTTTAAAGAGGTTATGGGAAAAGAAAATAAAGGAAGATAATTTATTTTAAATATTATAACACATAAAAAGGGTTCGTTACCATAAAAAAGCGAGACAAATTAATAAATTATTAAGAAATATTGAGAGAGAGAGAGAGAGAGAGAGAGAGAAGGGTAAAAAGTAGAATAAAAACCGCGTAAAGCAAAACGCACACAGTATTAACGGAAACCGGTGAACAACTAAACTAACCAGCCAACCAACAATTAGTCTTTAAGAAAAAAAAAATTAAAAATTATCATATTGATTTGGATTAAATTTTTTTATTTAATTCGAATTAAATTTAAAACTTAAATATATATTTAATTAAAAATAAAATAAAATAATATATTTTTATTACTTTTTATATTTTTAAATTTTTATAAAATAAAATAATAATTTTATATTAACATTTTATATTAAAATAATATATAATAAATTAATAAATAAAATTAAATCAATTATAAAATTCAATTCAAATAGATTCATATTAAAAATCAAATCAAATTTTAAAATTTATAATATTATATAACATTAAAAAAAATAAATCAAACTAAACCTGATTAAATCCAACTAACAAGTATCCTGCCGTCTCGTACACTTCATTGTTACATTACTTTATTGTTATCTGCAAACAAATGCTATTTTTTATAATATTATTACTATTATTATTATCTTTTAAAAATAGTCTTTTCACCTATACCTTCTGCTTATTACTTTTTTTTTTTTACCGATGTGATAAAATTTTAGTATTTAGACAAAATTAAAGTGAAATTATGAAATTTAACGTAATTAATTTATGTAATTATTTTTTTAAAAGTATATTAATAATTTTAATATTTATAATTTTTTTCATATTTTCAATCTATGATCATATTTTATGTAAAATCGTGAAATCCGTGGACTTAATTATAAATGTGCCAAAGTTAATGTAATGAAATGGCAAATTTTTTTCCTGAACTATATTGATTGAAAGATATGTACGGATAACTTTTTTTTTTTTTGGTAAAAATCTTTTATATAAGTGCTTTTCAAAATAAATTATCAAACATATTGAAAAAAATTATCATTGAAATTTTAATGCTTTCGGTCATCTTATTTAAGAAAAATTCTATAATTTTATTACATTAATTAGCCTTATTTTCTTCCATTTTTTAACAATATCATCTTTGCTTTTTAACGTATATTATGGCTGTAAAATACTTATTAAATCATAAATCTATTTTAAGAAAATCATAATAAAAATCTATTTAATATTTTATTTTTACCCTATAAATTCATTACTTAATCTTTTTAGAACAAAGAATTTAGTGCTTACATTTTCAACATTTAAATTTCTTTTAGATTATCAAATAAATTCTAATTTTAAATTTTGAATGTCTTCTATATATATTGAAAAAAAATTGAATTTCTGATTTACTAGTTTCAAAAGGCAAATGAATAATTATTTTACACAAAAATGTAATTACTATAATCAGTTTTGTCTATTAGTTGTTTTACCTTCCTTGAATCACATATAATTATTGTGGCAATTACAAAAATGGTTCTTGTCAATGCATGAGTAGATGTTGAAAATGAACCACTAAATTACTGTCACGACACAAATATAATTTTAATAAAAATATTATCTCTTATTATGATTGTATTTATATATAAATTTTGTTAACAAGTGCTTTAGGTAGTTTTGTATTAAATTCAGTAATTGATAGTTAATATCATAGTTTCAATGCATTGGCATTCAAACTAATGTATTTTTATTAATAATTTAATACCCCAAAATCAAATTAAAAATATCAAGTCAAACTTATAAATAAAATAACTTATTCATGAACAGATTTAGTTATAGTTAAAAGTATAAATGATACATTAATATTTTTAAATTATTCAGGTTCGATTCGAATAAAATTCGAATTTAATTTGATCATTATCAAGTCGAACTCGAACAGCTCAACTTATTAAATAAATCGAGTTTGAGCATCCTAATATTTGATTCAAATAATTTTCAAATCTAATTGAGTTTTCAAATTTTAATATATTTTTATTATTTTAATTAAAAATTATCATTTTTTGTTATATATATATTTCAATTCAAATTTAAGTTTAAATATATAATTAAGTTTGAAATTAAATATAAAAATCGAACTGAATTTTTATCTCGAGTTGAATTTAAAAATTAAAATTCGATTGAATTTGAATTAAATTTCAAATAACAAATTTTGAATCCATATCAAACTTGAACAGTTTATTATATCAACTCGATTTGACATAATTACATCTTTAATTATAATAGTGTAAAATGATAAATTATTAAAATATATGTTATATTTTGGCGATTAAGTGAGAAAAAAATGTTAGTGATCAAAACATTAACAATAGTTATAAACATCGGTTAATGATATTTTTCAAAGCTAAATAAGGAAACAGAAATTTTTGAAAAATTAAATAACAAAAAAAGAAAAAGCAACTCGGCTCAACAAGGACAATTAAAGCTAAATACTTGGACATACAGTTGAAAGAAAAAAGAAGGCACAGTAGTAATAGGAAGGAAGATATTGCAAAAGGCTGAGAATTAGGGTTAGTTAGGAAGAACAGAGTGAGACTTATGAGAATTGAGAAGTTTAATAATGGACATAACAGAAATGAGAAGCATGAGAGCAAGAGCAATGAATGAAGCAATGAGAGCTCCACCGCCCTGGTCACAAAATTTCCCAAATTTATCACAAATCTTGTCCCATCTCGCATGGGAATTACCATTCTTCCCCAGCTCCGCCATGAATGCCGCCGCAGTGGCTCCACCAGATACCAATGCCACGTTTACCTGCCATGCCCATCACACAAATTAGTTAAAGCTTCGTTTACAATATTCCTTTTTACTTATTTTTTTTCTTTCATATAAATTATATAAAAATTTAAAAAGTTTTTAAATAAAACTTCAATAATTATTTAAATTTTCATATTTTATTACAACCAATTGAGCTTTAAATTTTGTATTTTCAATGAATTGAATCTTTAAACATTTATTTTTATCCAATTAAACTCTTATACATTTATTTTCACTTAATTAAATCTTTGATGGAACAGAAACAATTAATTATTTTTTTTCTTCTAACAAAGGTTCAATTGATAAAAATAGATATTTGAGAATTTAATTTATTGCAAAAAAAAAAAACTTAAATGATTATTAAATTTTAATTAAAATATTTTTTTTATCCTTTTGCCGATTATATATCTTTTTGTATTTTATTTTTCGAAGACCAAGAACTTTTATTTATACTTTCTCTGTCTCGTTATGCTTGTCCATTGTATCTTTTTTTTTTTTTTAGAATAGCTCATCTTTGACTAATACTTTTAATAAAATCATGAAATTAAATATTTTTTTAAAAAAAAGATAAGCAAACATATATTATTAAGATAACCCAATTTAAGATCATCAAAAGTTCAGTTTAAGATTAAATGTACATTATTGTAGCATTTTACATGCAAAGCCTTTGTATGTGAATGTTTTTATTGTTTCTTACCTATTTACTGATTTATAATGAAATCATTGTAGGATTAAAAAAAACAAAAAACATCAAGTGGTCAAAAAGTAATAGTATTTGTTAACATATACGTACCATGTCTAAAATAGCAATCATGGCAAAGCGTAAATCCTTGTAATCCAACTTGCTCCCCAACAAATCCACCATTATCATCACCAAGTTATGGATGCTGGCCACTCCATTTGCTATAACAAAAAACCTGTACATATATGCATATAAGCCATGGAAATGGAAAAAGAAAAACACAGTATATATATAGAACGAAAACGATAAACAGGTCGCTTACACAAATGCAGGGGTGTGGTGAAACTTGGCTGTGAGAGTAACATTGACAGGGGTAGTTCCAATGGTGGCAACCACAAAAGTTTTGGTTTGTTTGTTGAGTAGCATCACAAGAGTTGCAGCAGCTGTGGCAAGAAAGGCCACAAGTCTCAGCCCCAGCAAGGTCCAACTACTGTTTGGCTTGGATGAAATGTAGCCAGTGAACATGGGTTTCTCTCCACTTTGAAGAGCCATATGGGAATGGGATACAAGAGAAGAGATGATAAAGAGCTAGAGGTTGTTGAAGTTGATTGCCAGGTTCAGTCATAATTTATAAAGGAAAAGTAGTGCGATGTTGAGTCCAACAATTAAGCAAATTTAGGTCAGACGAATTCCTTGGCTGGTCTAACCATCCGCTTAACCATTTTAAACAATTTAGGTGTTGGTGGTTCTGAAAATTTTGAACCTTCCTTATGTGGCAAGATAAATGGTTTGTTGAAGAGACGTTGGCTATTGGATCAATATAATTGGTAATTATGATGTATAATTATGCATTTTATTAATTAAAGGTTTGAATGGAATTTGAATTTAGATAAAATTTTTGAACTCTGGCTCGATTTGATTGATAAGAATATTTTATTTTTTAATAATTATTAAATTATTTGAAAGTATTAGATGTTAAATAACTGACCCACAAAAGTAATTTAATCCTACCAATCTATATTATAGTAATAAAAATGGAATATAAAATATGAAAGATGTTTTTTTACCGACCTGAAAAATAAAACGACCTATAAAGGGAAAAGAAAAAAAAAACAAGAAAATAGTTATTACCTTTGTAAATATTTATAACTTAAAATAATTGTTTTAAATTTTATTAAACACAAAGTTTATTGATTTATATTTTTAAAAATAAAATATTGGTACCTCTGGTAAATGGGAGATGTCCTAGTTATATATTTCAAAAAAAAAAAAAAAGATTTACTAGCTATAATTAATTAAAATTAAAAAAATATATATATATATATATAAATTAAAACTAAACCTGACATAATATAAGAACAAACATAAATGCATTATTTTACTGTCGGAATTCCATCTCTCTCATGCACAAAATGTACATAACACATTTTCACTGCCTCATCATGGACATGGACATGGACACACAGTTCCTTGAATAAATGTTACTGGTTTCCATTTTCAACACAATATACACAACCAATTTCCTGGCAACCATGGCAATGTTTCTTATCAGATAAAAGAGCAATCAAACCCAAAATTCTCATTGCATCATTCATTTTTTGTCGGTCGTTATGCCAACCACGACATTGCTCACCTGCAATATCATAATTTTATCAGCACCCTTTTTTCCACTTTTACATGTAAAAGCTCAGGAAAATGAAAAACGCATATAATCAAGACTCGAAAAGATTGTATAAAACTGTTACTCCATATCAGCATATGTTTCTTCCATTCAAATTATGCCACATAATCATGTTATTAGGAAAAAGTTAACATTTTTTACGAATCACATGAAATAATTAAATAGTGATCATATATTGTGATAGATTTACGCATGTGATTTGTAATAAATGGTTAACTTTTTTCGTTAATGCAATTACGTGATGCGATTTGAATGAAAAAGACATATACTGATGTAGAGTAACTGTTTCATGCAGTTAAAACTATATTTACCAATTTGCCACTCTCATCAACAGACATGGGGTTCTCAACGACAACTGTTTGGCTCTGAGAATACAGCATTGAATTGAAAAGGTTAGATTCAATAAACAATTAATAACTCGGTGGCCAAAAAAAAAAAACAGTTGATAACTCAAAACCATCTACATTTTCTCATAATAAAAAAACAATAACAAACTTCAAGAACTTACTGTTGAAGTAGATGGCATAGTCCCTGCGGCAGACATCCCATTAGGTCTGTTTAAAGGATGTGGAACCCTAACATTGCCCATCTGAAAGATAGATGAGAAATACAGAGCGAGGAATAGGTAAATCTCCAAATAGGGTTTCTCTAGACAGAAATCCATACACTGTATCTCACACATTGGAGCTCAAAAAATATTTATTGCACGGATAGAAGCAGAGAATAAGCATTTATCCTTCTGGTTAAATATTTTTAATTCACTCCAGAGGGAAAACATAGCAAAGACAGCTTTCTGAGAGTAGATAAGGGGCATTTGATATCATGGAAATACGAATATGTTTAAAATCTTGCTTGTAAAAATTTTGCATATTTGAGAAGTAAATGGCCATTAATAGGATGGCAATGAAAGGCACCCACAAAAATTGCCCTATCCATTCCTGAATCAGCCTAAGAGATTCAACACCCTTACTTGCCCAAAGCTTCAGGAAAGGGACCTGATCCTATTTCCACTAAAACTAGTCCTGGCCTGAATCTACCAATTTCTACTTAGTTGAGATGGACAGTAAGACCAAGTTTGAGAAGTACTGCCCTGAAGTTGGATTCTTTGAGAGAGAGAAAGAAAAGGCATAGACAGATGAAACAAAAAATGATTATGTCTTGTACCTCAGTACAGCAAAGAGCTTGCAGCAACCGCACAGAAACCCAAAAATGGAGACATTCAGAAATAGACCAAACAAATACAGAAATATTGCTAAAAAATTTAAAGATTTTGACAAAACCAAAACTTGTATCATATGAATTTGTAAATCAGGGAAAAAAAAAAAAGCCACAAGATGCAAAGAGAAAGAACTATTACTATCAAGCAGATTATGAATTAATATAACCCTCTTTTAGCCTCTTGTAAAATATATGTAAATCTCTAATTCTCTGCAAATTCTTATATAATATATATATATATATATATATATATTCAAATGTTAATGATAGATGCACTAAGGAAAAGTTGTATCACTTCAATCATACTTACACCAACATTAGTAACATATTGACAGACAGCACATTTGACTGATGGAGCTCCATATGGATACATTAATGTGGTACGGCAGTGCCCGCAATTGATGTGAGCAATCTGGTTGGATGCTTTTTCACGATCATGAGATCCAAGAAAGAAAAAATTCAGTAAACAAACTGGTGACATGTAATTGAAAGTGAGAGAATGAAAAAATGAAGCAACAAATAGAATAAACTACTAATAGTGCTACGAGGCAACCTGGAAATGCAAGGGGGTTAAAAAGTTGAAAGAGGAACCAAAGAAGAAAATACTGTATGGTTCGTACTTACTCCCAAATTTCATATAAGAGTATATAACTTCAGGAAAAAAAAAAACACCTAGTATTTTCATCAACAAAGGAGAACTGGTTGAGCAAATACTTAAAACTTCAAGACTTAATTAGTTACTGAAATTGCTTAAATTGCTGCAAACAAAGTTCTGATTGACAACCACAAACACACAGACTGAAAGTGCATGCTCCAACTTGAAAAATGAAGATCCACAGTCACAAAAAACTGCAAGTGCATGCTAGAAAATGAAAAACAAGTGTTCTTAATTTGATCAGAACAGCCATTATCCACATGGCAGACAAAGTTTAGAAAGAATACTAATATCTTTAACGACTCAAAGTAGCTCAGACTGCTACTAACAGAAGATGAAAATGAAGAATACATTGGTAACAAAAGGCATCCACGAGGAAGGCATTGTGATGCTTGAAAACAAAATACAATCAGCAAACAGAACCACACTATCTTTTATTTTATTTTATTTTATTTTGAGAAAAATGAACCACACTCCTTAAACTTGTTTACAGTTTACAGTTAAGAAACAAATATTCAATCCACAAGCAATAAATATTCCTCAAAGCCCAAAAATGATTTTCCATTCTTCTTTAATTACAAAATTCTGCATTCCAAACATCATAACCACAAATTTACATCACATGCACAAAATAATTATATTATACCTGGTGCAAGGTTAATGGTGTGACAGCAAGAGCATCTTACACTTGTAGCTCCACGTGTATACATTAGCAATGTTCTACAACCTCCACATATGAGTTGAGCCATTTCCATCCCTGCAGGGTTAATTTGCAAATTTGGGTTATCAAGCCATAAGATTCTTATCATATGCTTAACATATTTACATATCTAAATAAGAGGAATGCTACTTGGCACCCTACATTAATGTTTCCTTCTCCTTAAATTAAGTCTCTTGTTTCCATGGAACATTTTTTATAACAACACCACCACTATTAGCATTACTAAATAGTTTCAAAGCACAAGTCAACAATGCTTGTCTTACTTCTCTCAAAAAAACACTACAAGAAAGCTCATTCTATTGAGTGATCACCTAATGTTTCTTCAAATCCAATGTTGATGGTTTTATTAAAGGGCAACCAGGATCAGCCGGAATCAGTGGAGCTCTTAGAGATGATAAGGGTATTATCAAAGGTTTATTCTCTAAGTCTAGGGGAGTTACGATTCCAACACTGCTGAATTCTTAGCTATTGCAGAGGATTGATCACTTTTCTCCAATTCTCAATGGGCTAGCACGGTTTCTTTGATGGTGGAAAGTTACTCCTCAAATGCATTATCTTGGGGAAGGAATGGTGATAGAGTACCTTGGCAACTCAAGCCTGCTTAGAACACCATTAAGGTCAATGAAAATTAAATTTGTGCAATTCTCCAAAATCCCCAGGGAGGTTAATTCCTTGGCTGACATCTTAGCAAAATAGGGCCTGATCTCAAAATTTTGTAGCTAGGTGTTGATAGTTTATTGCTTGATGCTATGTTGATGGTTTCAGGAGAATGCTTTAAACGTTTGGCTGGATGATTGTGGTGGGAGGAAGCTCGATGTTGTTATTTGTACTATAATTCGGCGTTAAACTTGTGGGTTGAACTTGTGGTGTCAACTTCAGGCTTTAATTTGCATTTCTTATGCTCATTTCAGTTGGCTGGTTTGCTTTGCTCTACAGGTGTTTGTCAAAATGTTTCTTAATATTCTTTGATGTTTCAGCACCTGTTTTTCACTTCTTTGTATTGTTGGGTGCTCATTTTGGGAATTTGTTCATTTAGGTGTTTTGGTTGACTTTGAAATGATGGATTTTGGATCCTATAATAAAATTCTCTTTAATCTCTCAAAAAAATGAAAACGAAAAAAGAAACTTAATCTAAATATACAGTAGCGGCATAGCAATCAGATGTCTATTAAAAGAATAAAAAAAAATAGTACCTAGAGTACTAGCACTCTAATTGGCAGGTTATCACCCCCTGCAATTAATGAAAGCCATCACTATTCTTGTCAAGGAGTTCTCATAACCAAACCTTTAGATATTATGGTCCAAAATTCAGTTTCACATTGATGTTCAAGTATCAGAAAAAGGAAAGTTAATGTTGCCAAGATGTGTAAAGATTGTAGGTAACAACCTTGATAGAGGCAGGCTACAATCAAGCCAATTTGAATGGTAGATTTAAGCAGCTGGCCAAGATGGGGTCATACTTCCAACAGTTCCAATGGAGCATGGTTTAGGGACCATAAAAATTGTTTGAGATTTGTTTGAAGTTCTCATATATATGAACTCAGATGATATCCAGCTTATACATAATCAAGTTCAAGTTAAGAAGTAACCATAAAAGCAAGAAACTACAATAAAACAACCTGTGTCTTTAAAACATATTCAACAATCAGCAAAGAATAAAACATCAAAATCTCTAAACAAATAGCAGTAAGTTCTCAATAGCAAATTGTCATGAGTTTGATTTCACTATGTTTTATTATCAAGTTTAATTGAGCTTAGTTGAGCCAACAATTCACTTCAAAAGGTAACAAGTCAGATTACTCAATTATACCAAGCTGAGGTATATTGCACGTTAGCTTGTTGTTTAATATGGTATTGAGATTTGAAATTTCTAATGAGTTAGCAACTTGGGCAGCCAATGCAATCACAGATATTAAATGTTTTGCAAAGGAAAAACTTATGCATCTTTTGGTAATTGCTTTGCTTTTGCAACTTCCATTCTTCTATTTGCTTTTGGCTTAGCTTTCTAAAAAGTTGTTGTAAAGCAAAAGCAACAGGTTAAAAGCCAAATCATAATTGATCAAAATTTTAAAAAGACTAAAATGTAACACCATTTGAACATTTCTAGTCTATATAAATCTATAATCATGCATTTTGTTATCTAAAAAATTACATAGTATTTATTTCTTCAAGATATGTTTTTTCCTTTCTCTGGTTCAAAAAAAAAAAAAAAAGAAAAGCAAAAGTAATAGCTAAACGATACCTTAACAATTTAAGATCTTGATTAAATGTGTGCATCCTAACACATTAAGTGATAAGAGATATACAAGAAGTCCTGGAAAATCAAGGCAGGAATTGTACAATAGTTCATGAACAAAGGAAAAATCAGGAATTGTAGGACTCTGAAATTTTATAGGCTGTGGGAGAGTGAACAAGAGTATTGAGGCATTCTCAGTTTCCAAACATACAGATTGATGACAATACCAAACATATGTCAACTAACAAGATGGGCAAAATGATCTCAAGCAGCACAAAAGTAAAGATGATGCTTGTGGTTTACTACATTAATAAATAGCATTCAAGCAAACTTGTAACATATCTGCCATGTGTAGATAACGACAGACTAAATCCAACATAAGGACAAAAAAACCAGCTCAATCAGTTGTACCACTCAATTCAATGCTCATTTCAGCATTTAGGCTCACATTTTTTAATAAAACCAATGATCAATATTTAGGCAAGCCAGGAAATGATACTGCAGCAAAACCAAATCAAGAAAGACTAAGGCAGATAAATCTAGGGGAAAAGGTCTGCTCCTTTTGCTCTCTCTTTGGAGCATTAATGGGATTGAAATACTAGGATTTTCTTGCAGTGCCCATGATTCATGCTATTGAGGCTCTAGAACTGAATCATCAATGCATGGAGTACCAGGATCAGAAGACTTCTGAGAATAATATTGAGGTTAAGAAGTATGCTTTGTGATTGAGTTACTCTCAACATTGGGATGATTTGATAATCCATGGTCAGGATAAGTTTTCTTTTATTATTATTATTTATTCTAGTTATTCTAGTAAAATAAATGTAAATAAAAAGAAAGAGGAAGAAAAGAAAGAATCGAAATGATATTTGGATTCTATATCATAGGAACGGAAATAGTACTTCTTCTGCTTCTGATTGTTGATTCAATCCAATAACAAGATTTTTTTGTTACAACAAGTCAGATCGCAGAATCATAGAAAAAATTATTTATTTGAGTTGAAAATAAAAAAATGAGCCCAGGCCGGTCCGTGGAAACAGGAAACAAAAAAGTCCTTTTGAGCCTAATCAAAGCGATATTCTTTCTTCTTTTTTTTTTATTTGAGATATCTCTTTAGAGTCCTTGTTTTATTTATATATAGAATATAAATGATATAGCATATAATAGAAATGAAATGGAATTACTGATAAAAGTTGTATATATTTATATTCTATATAATAAAATAATAAATCTGTATAACAAAATCAAGAATCTACATATCTATAGGATAATAATACCCTATATAAATAAATAAAAATCTATATAAAAAAGGAAAGAAGAGCAAGTACAGGTAGTTTGTGGGGGGGCAGTTCAAGAAGGCAAAGCTTAATGCATAGGAATCCATTAGGTCAAAGATTAAACAGTAAAAAGGATGACACTAGGCCCAGGTATACTTTCTTATAAGAAGTAGTTTATGATGCCCCTAATAGATCATAGATAAGGCCACTAAGAACATATGAAAAATTTACCAATTGTATGAAGTAGATATCTTTAAAGCTTCAACTAACAATAATCATGTTGATGATACTGAAAACTAGCAACCGTTCATAACTACAGAAAACTAATGGATGGTCTTATATTTGCAATTAATAATAATGAGAAAAGTAGTGTACCAGGAGGAGGGACTTGTGTAATTGTATTGCATAATGCACAGCAAACATTTGTAGACCCTCTAGGATAAAGAAGAATGCTCCTACACCCACTACAGACAAGCTGGCTCTGCATATCTGCAATCATTGAAAAGAACCATGTAAAGATAATTTTCCAAAACCTCATTATAACATTAATATCTATTTACAATCAGTAATACTGGTTTTGATATTCAATACAAAGCAGATGTTAGTAAAATGTAAAATGTCCTCCATTAACCCAATCCAGTCAATCTCTAAGAAACAACAGGTCCTCTAGAGGTCAATATCCATCGTAACATTCAAACTTATCAAAATTACAAGTGAAAAAGAATCTAATAGTAATAAAAATCTGACTGAAAGAAGGTGCAAGATTCAGTCAAAGTACAAATTAGATAAACTGAAATCATTTGCTTTAACATTAAAAATTAAACAACCGAAATTAAGAATCCGAAATTCCAAATTTGAGAAAGAAAAATCATTAAAACGGAATAGTACAACCTGGTGCAAAGTCTTTTCTTTAACCACTTTTTCCCTTAAAACAATGTTTTCTTTTTTTTTTAATTTTGTCCTTCTGATAAGATATTTAGCAACAACCCATCACAATTAACAGGTCCTCTTTTCTAAAATCCCTTTATTTTCAATCAAATCCCTAGATAAGAAAACTTACACACGGATAGACGATCATCCCCTAATTGTTATTTGAAATCAACTTCACAAAGAGGACATGAATCTTCTTATCACATAAGAATACAATTCACGAACATAGATATAGAAGAAAGATTCAATATAAGTACCCGATTTCCCCTCCTTCAACAAGGTACCGATTCCAACTCTTTGAGGATCAATCGAATTGAGACTTCAAGTTCCTATCAAACAAATTTCAAACAAAATTAACCGTAATTAAGAGGAAAATTTTTTTTAAAAAATAACAAAAAGGAAATTAATTTTACCTTGAAGAAGGCGGAGAATTTGAGTGTAAGAAAAAAAACAATGTTATTAAAAGGAAAATTATATGCTGCGATTTTACAAATACGATGAGATCTGCGTAAATCACGAATCCTTTGATTACGTGGACTTTGGGTCAAAACAGAAAACCGAGTTTTTTTTTTTCTTTTTATAAATAAATATGGTTGTTTTTTTATATATATATAAATAAATAAAGTTTACGGGTGTTTGGATAGCTGAGAGGAGATTTCGTTGAAATTTGGCTTCTGAGAAAAAATGTCGTTAGCATTTGGCCGATTAGGAAACTAATTTCTCAGAATCATTCAAAATCAAACCCCCTGTGCATGACGCAAACTTCTTTTTTGTTTTATACAATTTTACATTGTTACCCTCTTTTAATTAAAATATTTAAAAAATTCTCGAATTTTTCTATTTTTTAAAATAAACTATATTTTTATTATATTCAAATATTTTTTTATTTTTTATTTATATTTAAATAAGTTTTAGTTTTAAATGATAGATTAATTTATGTTAATAGTTTATTTTGATATAAATTAAAAATTAAAAATTTATTTAGATTTAATAAAAATAAGATTTTATTTAAATAAAATGATAAAATTTAAGGTTTTGTGGTTATTTTAACCCTATTTTTTTTAATTGTTGACAAAGTCTTTTTGTTTGTTTTATTCTCAAAATTAACCTCAAAACATTTTTAGGTTCCAACCGTACGGAAAAGCAAAAGTCTTTGTATATCTGAGTATTTGATTAGATTGTTGTTGGGGAGGATTTTTAGAATGGTTAAAGTCCGCAACGACGGCTGACATGGATCCTTGCTGTAAATGAGATGAAATTGATATTAAAACTTAAGGGTGTGAATGAGTTGATTATGATTAAATAACTATATATTTGTGATTTATTTATTTATTTTTAAACTTATTTATGTTTAATTTTTGATAAAAAATTATTTGTTACATTTATTATCGATTCGTTCAAAAAATAAAATATTTATATTTTATTCGTTTAAATTAAATTAATTTATTCATAAATATTAAATGAATATTTATGAATATATAAAAGTAAATATATTTATAAATAATAAATAAATTATAATTTAATAAATTTAAACATATATATAATTATAAATTTAAAAATAAATAAACTCTAAACAAATAAATTTTAAATAACTTTATTCGTAAACATAAATTAAATAAATTTTTATTTAAATTCAATTTATTTAATAAATAAATATTAAATTATTATTTAAAACTATATATTAAATTTAATAAATAAATATAAATAAACAAAAATCAAATATATCCACTAAAGTATTTATAAATGAGAGTTGCCAAAACTGTTAGATTTATGCCCGTTGGGCTGGCCCTTGCTGGTTTCTAAGCTAGCAGACAACTAGTCTCGGCTTTAATGTGATGAAATAAACCCAATAAAAGATGGGCATGCCTGGTAATGGCTTGGATTCAGGTTAAGCTACAGATGGCAGCGAAGACTAAAACGAAATCGTGGTTCATTTATGGTTAAGGCTCTATTTGACCTTAATTACGATAAAATTAAAAATAATAATTGTTATTATTATAATTAAAATTAAAAAATTTTACTAAAAAATTTATATTGAATAAATTTTGTTAAAATTCGTATTTAAATTTAATTAATAGTACGATCAATTTAATCACATAAAAATATAATGAAATCTAAACGAAAACTAAATAATTAAATTTCTCAACATAAAATGCTTGTTGGACTACAAAACATTTAGAAGAGAAAAACATGGCCCTGTGTAGCTGTAAATTGGTTTATTGAAGTGTATAATGTCAATACATATAAGTTCAATAATTTTTTTTCATCTGATATGAAATTGAAATATTTTATCTATTTTTTTAAAGCGTTTGATGTAACATTTTCATCAAAGCTGTTATTCTGCTTATTCTTTTTTGAAAAGCTTTGACTTAGGAAAACTCTAATCTTATACTTTACTTTGATACCTTATTAAATAATTGATTGATTTATCTTATCTATCCTTATTAGAATATCTGGCTTAGACTTAGATAGTTAAGAGTTAGATCGGACATCATTTATTACGTGATCATTATTTTTTTTATATTATTGATTTATCGAAATGTGTAATGTCGATACTTATATGTTCAAAAATATTTTATTTTCTGTCTTACGTGAAATTGAATTATACTGTCTACTCCTTTGGAGTAGCGCTTGGCGTGAGATAGGGATATTTAAAAAATCTAACTAAAAGACAAGCCATTGTAACAACGTCGAACGATTGTTTGCCGGCAGGGGAATTTGGTCAGAGTATGGGTTTTATTGAATAATTGTTAGTGCCCTAAATTTAGAGGTATAAATAATATATTAATATTAATAAATTATTTAAATTTTATTTAAATAAAATTTAAATTTGATTTGATTATTATTAAGTTGAGTTTGAACTTGAGTAATTCGATTTATCGATTAAATTGAATTCAAATATTTTTATATTTAATTCGAATAATTCATGAATCTAATTAAATTTTTATATTTTAATTATTTTAATTGATAAAATATCTCGAATTCAAATTTAAACTCAAATACAAATAATCAAATTTTTATCGAATATAAAAATTAAATTTATTTTTATATATTAATCAATCGTAATTAAATAAATTTAAATTATTCGATTTTTATCTCGAATCGAGTTCAAACTAAAAAAATAAAATTCGATTAAATTTAAATCAAATTTTAACCTCAAATTTAATATTATATTAACTTAAACATAATCAATTATACCACTGCTAAAGCCCCATTTATATATTTAACGGCCTCCATGAGGTGCGATTAAGATTCTCAAACATGTCGGTGATGCATTTTGGCAAACATTTCGATGGTGATTGGATGCTTTTTAATTGTATTGAAGCTCTGTTTAGCCTTAGATACTTCCCTTACGTGAAAATTTTGCTTTCTCATCTCAGCCCTTTTTCTCCATAATGCCCTTGCTTTTTCTTATTCCTTGCTTTTTTTTTGTCCAATTACAATGACTTGTTGGATATATCTTACTATTTATAGGGCTTCGACTTGACCTCTTCATTATGTATTTAGTATTTATTTTTTTATTTTAAAGTTTTTCAAATTAATTTATTACAATTAATCACATAAAAATATAAATAATAAAATATATAATCAATTAGGAAAATATAAAAAATATATAATCAATTTATTTATTAAATAAAAGAATTACATAAATAGAAAACATATACATAATTAATTATATATCAAACAAAAAGTGAGACCCCAAACACTTAAAAGAAAAATATTACTTTGTTAAATTTTATATGTATAAATATATTATTATTCATTTTTAAAAAATTATTATTCGATATAACAATAGTTTTATTAATTTTAATTATTTATTAAATTTATAAATACGTGCAAAGTACTAGGTTCTCACCATGTCATAATGAGATATTCTAATCAAAAACAGGACTGCTTGCCCCATATGAGTTACTGAAAGGTTGCTGCTCGAGACCCTGTTGCTTGCTAGCATTGGATGTGTGCTCGAGGCCTCCCAATTTCTAAACTACTTTACATAAAATATCCCAAGGAAGTTATTGAGGTGATTAGAACAGATATAACAATCTTATTATTCCAGTTCTGTTCATCGTGAATATGATTTGCTTTGTACTTCATAAAATTTACACAGACAACTGATTTTTCAAGCAACTTAATTGCCATGCCTTTTCCATCAAATTCGGCGAAGAGATGCCAACCTTTTTTCGAGCTCATCAACATCCGTCGATTCAGACCTGCATATAGCAAAGTAGATTTGTCAAAGCTTTGATAGAGTTAGACATCTTTGTTTTGCATTCATCTCCCTACTGCATGTTTATAATTTCTCCTCTCAGCGTACACCGCTTTGGAGAACAACAGGAGAATCATCTACTTCTTACTTACTCCACCAAACCTAGGGTTCATTTGACAGCGTGGTGGAAGAGACTCTCTAGTCGTGCCGTGATGTCGTTGGGTCCAATCATAAAATGCAGCTGTGATACAGTGTGAGTCCCTCCACTATGCTGCTAAATGAACGCCTAATCAATGATACAGGACTACAACTACCTATAGCAATTATTATAAGATGATTAAACATATAAATTATACGATAGAAAATCTCATCAAACAACCCTCCACTCTTAGAATTTAGCCATTATTCATTTTTCTTTTAAGAAAATAAATCAAACAAACTACATCAGTCGGGCAAATCCACCCTTTATACTAGGGTGTCCATGAACACCCCCAAAAAATTGTAAAATAAGAAAATTCGAAGAGAAATTTTCCCTGGATATCCCCAAAATTTTGTCCTGGACACCCCAAAATTGTAAATATTAAAATTTGAAGGAAAATTTTTCATAGACATCCCAAAATTTCTCCCTAGACACGCTTTTCATCCACAAAATTAGTAAATCCATAAGCAATTTTTTATGTACTATAAGTGGACACTCAAAAATTCTGGATCCGCCAGTGACATCAGTATGCTACAGTAGCCCCATGTCACCAACACAATTGCTATCTTGATGGTACAGACTACTTTAGTTTATGTAATGTCTGATTTTCAACAACTGACTTCTATGCAATAAACATACATGTTGAAGTATTGTAAGAACACTATCATCAGCCTTTGGAGTATTACACATAATATAAAAAACAATTTTAATAGCACTAGCGAAAAGTTACAATTGACACAATCTGTTAAAATAATCTGGCTTCAAATTTGTTAGGCCAGCAGCAAGTTTGTGGATAAAACAGTTAGGAGACGCATTTCAATAAAAAGATGTTGCCCTCAAATGCAAGAAAAAATGATTCAAAAACAAGGGTAAATTACATTTACACCACTTACAGTTTTTGTTTCCTGTGATTTGCTGCCATTCTAAAAGGAGTTGTGGCATTACATTTTTAGCAAATGTTTTCACATGCTCTTGGCAATTGACATGTAATCAACATGGTAATCGTGCTTAATGTTCCAGAGCCTGTAGTCTACACATCTATTTTACCAAAAATGAGGATTTGAAGCTACCTAAGTGATTTTAGTGATTGTGAGCATGTGCTTGTTCTTTGATTGGTCATTTAGGATAATAAAAGGAAGTGCTCTAACTCATCTGCAGTGATGGGCTATGTTTTTTAATCCAGGGACATGAGCAGGGCTCTATTATACAGGCTGTTGGTTGTTTTGGATTGGTATGCCCACATCTTGTTTTTAAACTTGCAAGAGAGATGTTTGATGTCTTGCTTTTAATTTTTTGCCCTTCTACTAAGCCTTCAGTTTATAGCCTGGGTATGAATTGGTGTACAAGTATGGTTTGTATTAATTTGGTATAACTATATACTTTGTAGTCAAAAGAAGATGAGAGTTTTATTTGAATATCTACAGAAATTAATTCTGTATTTTCTTCAAAAGTTTCTCATAAGTATAGCTTGCTCCTCAAATGATGGCTCATTTTATTTTGCTTAAAATTAAATCAGTCTATCTTTCCTGTTTACGATTAGTTTTATAAACAGTTCTACAAAGAGTTTCAGAAAATGCTTCTTTAGCAGTTCAAGTAATCTGCCCTAACTTTCATTTTTGGTATTGGGTTTCACAATAAGCAAATACATTTAGCAGTCTAATTCCCTTTTGTTCTTGCTTTTAATTCTGTGATATGGTTTTGAAGTTTTTGTCATTTAGTGTTAGGTTAGGGCTTCCACACGCTGACAGGCATAATAGCACAACCAAAAGGCATTAATGCCATTTACTTAAGAATCTAACACCATAAACACTTTCATAGTGGTAGTGAACCTAAAAGAGCAAGGGGTAAAGTAAACAAGAAGAGATCAAAAGAAAGAGATGGCAATTGGGGAGGTTTTTTTTTATTTTTTGGTGCTAGTGGGAGTCTAAAATATGGAATATACGGTGCTACTTTTTTGCACTTGGTTAACAGATGCAAATCTACTATAGCATATTTTAATGCATAACAAAATATTTTTAAATATAATAGAATTATGAAGATTTTGCTCAAGAAAAGTCATACATACCTAGCATTAACCTCGGGTGCAGGAGCAGCATTCCTGGATGCAATCCGACCCTTTGGAGCTGAAGATAACTGTTCAAAGAATGGGATAAGATTAAGCATTTATGCACACATTCTTGCAATCAGAAAAATGAAACATATCATCGAAATTTTTTGAAAAGATCAATTTCAAGAATCCAACCTGAGAAGCAATATCCACACCAATCTCATCAAGCACCTGATAATCAACTATAAAAATTAGAATTGTAGGGGAAAATCAATAGGAACTATGCCAATAAAACTAAAATGAAATAAAAAAAAAACTGTCAAAAAATAAATTATCTCACCTGGTTGGTGAGCTCCTCTGTTTCCTCTTCAGCCTCATCTTTATCTAAAGTTTCATCAATAGCTTCTGACATCATCTCTATCTGCAAAAAGAACAAGAAAACAACCATTATTACAAGAACTTTTATTACAGGACATACCAGACACCAACAACAAAGAGAAAATATCACTCTCACAAAAGTAGATCCAAGCTCTAAGTTTCTCATGCAAAGATTTCAATATGAAACAAGACATGCATCCAAGCTCTAATTGTTAGAAATCAGTGCCGTATTCAGGAGACTTGATTTAGTCTACATTGCATCACTATGTTTAGTCTACATTGCATCACTTTCTAGGTACAATTACCAGGTATTATAACTCTCAAGGCTGAAGATTGTATGTGGAGAAAATCTAAACTTAAAAGTATAAATATTCCAAGAAAACTAGTATTACCGTCATGTCCATTTGTGCTGACTGCTTTTGGAATTCTCTTATTACTTTTGCTTGCTTTGCAGGAGCCATTTGCTGCAAAAGGACAGAAAATGCAATGATCAAATATGAGAACCATCTAACTCTGAGGAATAAGAAGAAGCAGCAGCAGTGAACCATATTCTAGAACAAAACATGCAAATATAATGGTTTCCAGTATATATCTTCTTTGCCAATCAGATCATTGATTCCTTATTTCCAATTCCATAAGGACTTCACAGTTGATAAATAACAACAATGTATAACGTTTTCTAGTGCAAAGCTTAAAATGCATACCTTGTTCATTGCCACCATTGCCTTAGTTGCACCTTTCATTCCTGTGGATATTGAGGTACTGGCATATAATGCCTGTGAACATATAAAATGAAATATTTGAATTAATAGTGATACAAAGTTTAATCATCTCAACAACTAATTATTTATTACTGAAACTCAACCTGTGTATGAGTTGCTACACCTCTGATTTGTGCACGACTCCCCTGCAAATTAGTTATTTGTTGCCGCAGTCGTACAAGTTGGCGAGCTAAAATTCTAGTAGCAGCCTAAGAAACGCATACACGAAATTAAATACAAAAAAAGAAACTGAGAGTTTGGAGAATTAATGGAATCAGTCCAGCAAACTCCAGTGGCAAAGTTCTTGATAAATACAGCAATGTGTTTATGGATGCTCTCATGATTTGTCATTACACAATGGTAAGATTTAAAGTTCGGCTGCCAGTAGTGACGAGGTGTGCATTTATTCCACATCCAGAATGGTCAAGATAGACAACTCAAATACAGAGGAAAGGCAATTCAAAATCTGCATATTTTTTATCTAATCATCTACGACTTGTTTATATCGAAAAGGTTAAAGATGATAACAATTCCTCAAACAGAAAGGGCCCAAGATAAAAACTTTAAGCCCGGTTATGCAACTTGTGTGGTCTTAACTCATGCAAAATGTTTCAGCCCCAAAAGATGCTAATATTAACACATGCACCCGTTACATAGCAAATGACAGAGTTTGATAACATAATGCCACCTGGACTAGTTACACACCACAGACACACAGACACACACGCACACACTAAATGGGTTTATGCCCGAAACTTGAGCCTCAATACTCTAAATTTTCAAATCCCAGAATAAGTCAGTGATCTTATGCGTTGCTTATCGAACTGTAGCATGTGCAACTCCATCATACCAAGAAACTGAAATGTGTCATCTTGAGACTATGCCTCACATTGACAATCAGCACATCTTCTAGGTTGGAACAATCGTCATGCTTTACGATAAAAATACCTAATTACCAACATTAAAATGGCCTAGTTCAAAAGACTTCACAGGTTGATTAATGTCATCGATACTTCACCATTTAAACTTATTTCATTTTTGAACTAAATCATAGCTTATGGCTTGAAAAATATCACAGGCACATTTCTTTGAAACCAGTATTAAACTTGCCTCATTGCCAGTTTTGGCCGTCTTCTTGATCTCTGCCACCAATTTCTTTTCCTCCAGCTGAAGAGATGCAATCTCACGTTCAATGCCTGAAATAAAAAAGAAACAAAAAATTATTACAGCAATCTAGATTAAACAAACATGACAATTATTTTCAACTCTAGCTGAATACAAGGAGAACAAAGGAAAAGCCAGACATGACAGTTTGAAACATCAAAATAAACATAGGATTGTATTTTGGAATTCCCTAGCAATAAAACGTAATGAATTTCAGTTTCAATGGAGGAGGAATGATCGAGCTTGAGTGTTAGACCTAGCAATCTAAAATACAACATTGTGACACAATACAAACACGATACGTAAATAGGATACAAAGATGACACGGCTTAAGTTTTTAACAATAACTATATTTAGACTTAATAAACTAAAAAAATGTATTTCAGATTTTCAACACGAATGTGACTAGCAATTTTCTTGTAAAACACGGTGAAAATACACGAATTTCAATATTTTACACAATACCAATACACGAATCGCCAGATCTATCTAGTATAATATCTAAGCATTTCATTTTTGGCAAAGCATTTTTGAATATGAAGTATAGAAGAAAAAAAAAAACCAAACACACCTCGGGTTGCAACGGCCATTTCTCTCTTGCTTGTCCGCAAAGCATCTGGAAAATACAAAAAAAATTAAAAATTAAAAAAAAAAAAGAAAACAAAAGCAATGCATTCAGTGTAAACATAGATTCAGAGAAAAAAACAGTGAAACAGAATTTGGATAGAAAGTGCAAGCGATGAAATGTACCTTTGGGGGATGTTTTCTTCTTGAAGATGTTCATCATGAGACTTACTGGTTTTTCCTTCAGAAACAAAAAAAAAAAAAAAAAACAGAAGACAGGCAGCTTCTTATTCTTCTTCTTACTTCTGAGGAAATCCCCAAAACCCTTTGGATCGAGAGCAGCAGAAAGAAAAAGAGAGTGGGAGTGTGTGAGCGCGTGAAAGGGCCTCGGCCTCGAGGAGCGTGCTACCGCTGCGGCTCTTTTATTCATTCAACGGTACGGTTTATAGTGACATCGCACCGCAAACTAGCCGTTACAAGGCCCTTTTTAGCTTCTATTTGCACCCAAGAAATTTCACTTGCACAATATTTTTTATTCAAAAATATTTTTAAATAAATTTATTTAATTAATTTCTATTAAATTGCTTCGCAGCCCTTGTACACCCATTAAGGGGAAAACTTGGGTTTCTTGGTGGAGATTGCTTTTCCTTAACCTGATCTTGCTATTTCAATCCCTCTAGATGGGTTGGCCACAAGAATTAACATGATTGATTAAGATTTAATATTTAAACGTAAAGTATATGATCGGAGGTAATTTATGAATTTAAAAGCTTTCAAAAATTTTATAAATTTACAAAAATATTTACATAATTTAATAATTAATTTTATTTATCTAATTTATTATATCAATAAATCAATGTTATATTAACAAAATTAATATTTATATCATTAAATTAATTATCAAATCAATATTTTTAACGATAAAAATTTAATGATTAAGTTAAAATTGTAAAATTAAAATAATATAAAAATTAACTTTGCATGAATTACAAAACCCTAAAATATAAAAACTTTTGGCATAAGTTGACTTTAAATTTACAAGTAGACATGCCCATTTTGAAGTTCTAAGTTAGAAGAATTTGTGAGTTCGATACAAAAATGGACCTTAATCCTAGAAACAACTAAAGCACGTTGCAATTACTTGCCACTCCTAAATACATTACGTATTTAGTTTCATCTTTTATATAAAATTCGACTTATGAATATTATATTAAATTAAAATATTATTTAATATTTTAATTAAATATATTAATTTAATAAAAATATTATCTTGCACATAATTAAAATATAATAAATATTTTAAAATAAATTTTTTTATAAATATTATATTAAATTAATTTCAGATCAAATATAAATAATACATACATGTTTTAGGTCAACTCCGATATAAAAATTAAAAATCTTATATTAAGTTGAATTGCAATTGGATGAACTATTTTAAGAACTGAATCAAAGTTTCTTGTCTATAAGCTTCTAACTTTTTTTTTTTTAATTAATAAAAAAAATTATTAAACATTTAATCAATTGATGATAAATGTCATCAAATTGGATGTTCTTGATGAATGATAATAGATTTGGAGAATACTTTAAATGATAGTAACAGATGTATCAACAAAATGATGAAATATTAAATAATTTATTAAATTCAATTAATTAGATTTTTATAAAATTATGTTATTAAGTGTTATAAAATAAATTTGTTAATTTTTATATTTATATTAAAATATTTATAATTCATTTATACGCATTATATTTTATACAAAAATTATATATTATAATTTATATTAACATACAAAATATGAAATATAATTTTTATTTTTATTAAAAATTTAATTCATAAATATTTTTTTATATTATTTTTATCTTATATTATATATTTTAAATTGAGAGAGTTCCTACGTGCTAAACGTAAGTGGTTGGATTGGATTTAGATTTGAAATTGGACCTTCATCAATTATAAGTCTAATTCAAGACAGTTCGCATGTCAGTTGGTCGACAGGCAACCATGTGCCCGACTCCCAATCCCAATCCCATCAATAATTTTGTAAGAATCAAGTGATCAATTTGTCTCAACGTTTATGATAAGAGAACGATTTGAGTCTTAAACACCGATTAAACTATTATAATTTATAATTAAATTACGAGTTATTTGTTTATAATATTCAGGTAGGTGAGTTTTTTACTAATTAAATGTATTTTCATATTTTTAGTGTAACACCCATATTGAATATCGTATTAGTTTTAGATTTTTTAACAATTATCTTTATTTTTATATTAAAAATTGTTAGAACTTAATAAAATTTTGAAATTGAATTCCTTAAAAATTCAATTTTATTATTTTTGAAAAAAAATATTGTGAATATATTCTTTAAAGGTTTTTAACTTAAATAATATAATTTTATTAATTTTTTATGATCTCATTTTAACTGTTGAGGCATTTTAAAAATTTTAAGTTAGACAAAAATATTAAAAAGATTTTAAAATTTTCATTTTATTTATTGTATATTTAAAAATAAATTGCATGATAGCAAAAGACAATATTTGGGAATATAAAAAAATATACTTTTAGTTAGTAAATTCTTTTATTTAAAAATATATACTACTAATGAGCAGAGTAAATTTCATCATTAATCATTAAATTTTGATCAAAATTTCATTTGAATCATAAAATTTTAATTTATCTTAATAAAATCACTGAATTTTGTAAACTATACCAAATTAAATCACATCAACAAATTTCATCTAAAAAATTACTATAAAAATGACATGATAGTCACGTAAGCTACTGCAATAATACATACCACATCAATATTTTTTTAAACACAAATAAAAAGAACAAAATTCAACAAAAGATTCTTATCTAGCTCTAAAACATCAATGTTCTTGAATGCTTAATATTTACTTTATCACTTAAAAACAATCTTAACCATCATAATTTCTTGTCAAGTATATGATAGGCGCATCATTTTTTAGTTAATTTTTTTATCAAATCTATTAAGGTGACTAAATTTGATATAGCTAACAAAATTCAGTGGTCTAATTAAAACAAATTAACATTTAGTAACCAAAACCGGATTTTTGATAAAATTTAGTGATAAGGGTGAAAGTTACTATTATGATCTATTTAAATAAACGATGAGATTGATTCCGGTAAAATTAAAAACAGTGATAAAAAGTAATATTAGTTATTGTAATAATAAAATTAAAATTAATAGTGTGATATATATTTTGATGCAAATGTAACGATAGCGATGAAGTGAAGTTTAGTGAGAAAAAAAATGATCATTAAGGATACGAGATAAAAATTTATATAATAAAATTTTTAGTATATTTTTTATATTTATGAATTAATTTTTATAATAAATAATAAATTTATTAAAAATTAATAATAATGTTTTACAATTAAATTTTTTTATCTTTTTATTTTAGTAATTATATAAAATGATTTATTAAATAATTATAATGATATTGTTTGAAAATATTTAAATAAAAAAACTAAAATAACCAATAAAACAAATAAATAATAAAAAAGACAAAAAAAAAAATGAAGCTTAATTTTTATTTGTCAAAACAATTAATTCATATCAATAGCAATCAACTACTTTTCTTTAAGTCCAATATCGTATTTTTAAAAAACCATTTCATAAGATAAATAATTTAATATGATTTATCTTTTAATTAAGTCATTTACTTAATAAAATATTTTTATATTTTAAAAATATTTTTATTAATGTATGGTGAATAGGGAAAAATAAGAAAAATGAATTGTGGTGAATTTGTGAGTAGGAATTATAAACTAATAAAATGATTTAAGAGTACAAAACCCAAGCCGAAAGGGCAAAGGAGAGTACAAATACAATGAGGTACGGAAGGAGGTAAAGACAAGCCGTACAGCTTTTGCAAGAAGAAAAATGGGGGACAGATTTGGAATTCTGAAAACGAATAAACTGCTCGCTGCTGCGTTTGCAGTGGTCATCATCCCCCGTAGGCCATAGCAGACAAATGCATGTGAACTGCCCTACTCTCCTTTTAACTCATCATAACACCCATCTCTGCTGTCACCCAATATATTTTTTTAAAATTATTTTTTAATTTTTTATTATACTTTTATGTATTATTTTATTAATTTCACTGAATATTTCTCTAAATATTTTATCACTTCTAATCAACCAACTACAATTTTTTTATAATAAAAAAATTTGAGAAATTCCAATACGATCTCAACTTTGAACAAAGTATCATATATTGAACAACTTAATTAAATATTATATATTTTTTAATTTATATTTAATATATTATTAATTTATAAATTTTATATATTATCAATAAATTATATAATATCAATTTATTAATAAATAATTTTTTTAAAAAAATTAACTTTTAGATATTAATTTTTTAAAAATTTAAAAATATTATTTATAATCATTTATTAAACTTAATAAATCAATATAAATAAATAAAAATTAAATTTTTGTATGAATTATTTATTTGAATCATTAACCATATTTAAGATATGTATTATTATATTATTTTTTTATAAAATTAAAAAAGTGAGACATTTCTCGCCGTGTTTGACACATGAATCAAATAATTTTTCTTTTTAAATCTTGTAGGGTGAAAAAAAAAAAAAAAGGACATTGACACCTTTTGCTACAACAACAGTTACAAAAGATTGTCATTGATTTTTAATTAATAGAATAATAAAACTGCTGATTTAATTATGTCAGATTCTTGGTTCTGTTCAAAACATGCAACAGACAAAGGTGAGATGAAGTGAACTTTTCCAATCTGTTTCCAGCAACACCCCATGTTCTACTTTCTTATTCAGATAACCTTATCATTATTTTTCCTTTCTTTTCTTTTTCTCCTGGAATTCTGTCTTAGTCCTCCTGCTCACCTGATTTGTATCTTCTACCAATCACATTCCATTGTCACCCTTTCAGCTCAACTTAGTGTAGATCTGCAAGATTACTTCTTTTGCAGTTGGCCAAAAAGTGTTTCAAGGGAAAGTTTCAGGCTGGTTTTTATGCTTTGTAGGGTTTCCCAAGGGGAAAACTCAAATACCCAGATTGGATCCAGTGAGGTAAATTGATGTTTTTGCTCCAAAAGGGAAATGCATGTTGTTGAAGTTGCTGAGATATAAATCTCAACTATTTGTTTTCCATTTTATTAATGAATTCCTTCTTGTATTAAGGCTTGATGAAAAAGGGACAAGCTTTGATGCATTTCTTGGAAATTCAAACTAATTTCTGTCATATACTTCTTTGTTAGCATTGGTTTATTCATCTTATTTGAAAAGGCTTTAGTTTATTGAGGGAGTGTGATAATGGGTAATGTTCAAGGCTGGGAGTTCTTGTCTTTGCTCCTTTTTGTTGTATTATCTGCTCTTTTCAGAAGTGGAGAAGGTCAGTCAAAGTCTTTTCTGATCGATTGTGGTACAAATTCTAGTGTTAATGTGGATGGTAGAAAATGGGTTGGTGACTTCACTCCTGGTAATAATCTCACCCTCAGTTCTGCTGCTGTTGTTTCCACTACTTCTACATTTAGTGGTGATTCAATCTTTGAGCCACTCTATAAATCTGCCAGCCTTTTCAGTGATGAATTGAATTACACGTTTAATGGAGTCCAGGGAAACTATTTCTTGAGGCTTCATTTCTGTCCCTTCTCCTTTGAGGATCACAATGTAAATGAATCTTCTTTTGATGTTGTCGCAAATGGTCTGAAACTATTAGCACAATTTAATGTTGCTGGTGAGATAGCACGCAAGAATTTGTACATCCAAAGTTCAGGAAGCAATTCCAGCTTGTTCTACTTGGTTAAAGAGTATATTTTAGCTATCAATTCGGGTAGGCTTGTGATTGAGTTCACCCCCTCAAAGGGATCATTTGGTTTCATTAACGCCATAGAGCTGGTCCCTATGACTGATCAGCTTTTTGCAGATTCAGTCAGTAAAGTGGGTGGAAATGATGTAAATCTGAATCTAAGTGGAAGGGGAATTGAAACTATGTATAGGTTGAATGTTGGGGGTCCTGAGATTAATCCCAGTAAGGATTCGGATTATTGGAGAACATGGGATGTGGATTCTGGCTATATGATCACAGCAAATGCAGGTTCTGAAACATACAACACTTCTAATATTACCTATGCTTCTGCAAATGCTTCTTCAGTGGCTCCTCTTCTTGTGTATGAAACAGCTCGAAGCATGTCCAACACCGAAGTCTTGGAGAAAAGGTTCAATATGTCATGGAGGTTTGAAGTAGATCCTGATTTTGATTACTTAATCCGCTTACACTTCTGTGAGCTGCTTTATGATAGGCCAAGCCAGAGGATTTTCAGAATCTACATAAATAACCGGACTGCAGCAAATAATTATGACGTTTTCGTGAAGGCAGGTGGAATGAATAAGGCTTGTCATCAGGATTACTTTGATGCAGTTTCTTCCAAAATAAACATCCTTTGGATTCAACTCGGTCCTGACACAGCAGCTGTTGCTTCAGGCACTGATGCTCTCTTGAACGGACTGGAGATTTTCAAGCTTAGCCGGAATGGAAATCTTGCCCACGTGCAGAGATATGATTCATCTGGGAGTTCATCTCACACTTCAAGATCTTGGGTTCTTTGGTTGGGAATTGGTGCAGGTGTAGCCACTATTGTCATTCTTGTTGTTGCTGTTACCATTGTATTTTGTTTCTGCAAAAACCAAGGAAAAGAATTAGCTGACATGAAAAGCAACCCTCCTGGGTGGCGACCATTATTCCTCCATGGATCCATTTCTGCCAATGCCAAGGCATCGTCTAGACTTCAACATCCAAATGGATCTATGGCCTCCACTGGAGTTGGCAAGCAATTTACACTTGCAGAGATTCGAGCAGCAACGAATAATTTTGATGAAAGTTTAGTGATTGGTGTAGGGGGCTTTGGTAAGGTATTCAAAGGGGAGATTGAAGATGGCACCCTTGCAGCAATAAAGCGGGCAAATCCACAATCTGAGCAAGGGCTTGCTGAATTTCATACTGAGATTGAGATGCTTTCAAAGCTTAGACATAGGCACTTGGTCTCCTTGATTGGATTCTGTGATGAACAAAATGAGATGATCTTGGTCTATGAATACATGGCAAATGGGACTCTTAGAAGTCATCTATTTGGAAATGACGTCCCACCTTTGACTTGGAAGCAGCGACTAGGAGCATGCATTGGTGCTGCCCGGGGACTGCACTACCTGCACACAGGAGCCGAGCGGGGAATTATCCACAGGGATGTTAAAACAACCAACATTTTGTTGGATGAAAATTTTGTGGCAAAAATGTCAGATTTTGGGCTGTCAAAAACCGGTCCTTCTCTGGACCATACCCATGTTAGTACAGCAGTAAAAGGGAGCTTCGGATATCTTGACCCCGAGTATTTTCGCAGGCAGCAGTTGACTGAGAAGTCTGATGTCTACTCTTTTGGAGTGGTGTTGTTTGAAGTTGTTTGTGCTCGTGCTGTAATAAATCCTAGCTTGCCCAAAGACCAGATAAATCTTGCAGAGTGGGCAATGAGGTGGCAGAGACAAAGGTCTCTTGAAACTATTATTGACCCACATCTCAGGGGAAAATATTCTCCAGGTTCAATGGAGAAGTTTGGAGAGATAGCAGAAAAATGTCTTGCAGATGAGGGGAAGAACCGGCCTACTATGGGGGAAGTTTTGTGGCACTTGGAGTACGTCTTGCAACTTCATCAAGCATGGATGCGAGCCAACACTATGGACAATTCCTTTTCAAGCAGTCAGGCCTTGGGGGATCTGGAAGAGAGAGAAGCCGAAAATAGGCTGCAGTTTGATGGAAATTCTGGTTTAGGGGCGTCCAAACCAGAAGCTATAGCTGTTGGGTCTCATGGTGAGCTGGCCTGATGACCATTGAAGAGTAATGAGCTAGTAATTGTATTCCTTTATTATAATACTAGCTGAAAATTCTTTTATTTTTGTTGTATTAAACTTTAAGTTTCCTACTGGGCCAAACTTGAAGTTTCCTGGTGTATGATCCCTGTTAACCATGCAGTAATATGAGAAAATCATGATAATGTTTAATTGCTTATACTTTTGTCATGTGCACATGGCTATTTACCTTTTATTTATTTTTTTTTGTAAAAAAACAAAAACCAAATAACAAAAAGGTCAATTCAATTCAACATGGTATTAAATCACTATGCTGCAGGTATCAAACATGCATTGAAAAGCTTTGAGATCAAGGATCAAATTTGCTAGCAATGCTACATCAAAAGCTGCTTCACAGCTTCAAATGGAGAAACTGCTCAGTATATTAAGCATGACATCCTCAGCAACTTCATCAAATTCATGCCTATTCCTGAAACAAAAGTAAACCCCCCCCCCCCCCCCCCCAACATTCCCAAGCTGAAACTGCATCATGTGAGGCTGAAATCAAAGATCCCAGTCGGATGGATTAAAAATTAATCCATGATCAATGTTCAAGAAAATGAAATCCTCCAGTGGGATATCAATAGAGTATGCAGGAAGGCTACTACAGTTTGTGGCCATGAAGTTTGTTTTGACCAAGGTTACATGCATCATAAACAAACATTATACCAGAAGATTGTCTTCTTGCATCTTCACAAATGACAACATCCACATACAAGCTAGACATGCAACATGCACTACCCTATCATGCTCAAAATTAACTATAATTTGGTGTGACACTCTAAAAGTAAACCCATTCCCTTTATTACACCATAACTTACAGTCAAGATTTAATTACTCGAACCATGGTAATTATAAAGAACCATGGAAAGGTTAAGATGTAATATGACTGGAGGAGGTGATATAAACAAGACTACAACAGCAGCAATGAGTTCATGAAAGACGATTGAAAAGCAGTGACCTCTATACATATATATATATATATATATATATATATGACATGGTTGATGGAGAAAAAAATTGGAAGTACCTACATAAGGGTCAAGGGGAATAAAAATTGCAAAATCCACACAAATGTTGGTCAATAAGAACATAACTAGAACATTTCTATTCATAAAAACAAACCACAAAAAAAAGAAAAAAATTAAGAACTTAAACAAACAAGCAATATTGTTGGATACGACAATAGGTATCGATCCCATTAACAAAAGTGTTTAAAATCAACTAAGATTAGTAGAAAGAAAGCCACAGTGTAATTACAATTGAATTTGATATTGGCATTCAGCCTCTGATTGGATGTAATCGGACTTGAATAATTTTTTTGCCGATTGGTCAGTTGAGATCTAAATGGATCTCCAGCGAGGTGCTGTCGGTGGCATTGGTCATGAGACCTTTTTGTTCAGTGGTTGCAGGCACCATCAAAATTTTTTTTTTTCAATTTTATCCCTCAACTCTTGCATAAAACTCCAAAATGTTTTAACTTATTTTTTATTTTTTATCATTATATAATAAATTAATAAATAAATTTTATTATTATACAATAAACTAATAAATAAATGAATTTTATTTCAATTTTTTATTATATAATAAATTAATATATAAATAAATTTTATTATAAATATTTTATTATTAATTTTAAATTATTTATTACTTTTATTCGTATACCATTATCGATCATTGTATCTTATCACTATAATTCATCTTATTATCACCACTTAGGGATGATAAAGATTTAGATTGGATTAGATTTGCTTTGGTGTTTTCGAATAATGTATAGTATTATAAATTTTAAAAATTTGATATGAATTTGAATTATTTTTTTTTTAAATCGATTTGATCCGAATCGAATTATATTAATTTGATTTATTGATTTTTAAAATTTAAATTTTGTATATATTATTTTAATAAGATTTTTAATATATTTAAATAAATTTATATATAAAACAATTATTTTATTTTATAAAAATTTAAAATATATAAAAACTAATAAAAATATATAATTAATTTGATCTAATTTGATTTTTCTCAAATTTTCTTATTTTTATTTATAATTTAATTTAAATTTAATATATACATTTAATTCTAAATTTGATCTAAATTAAATAAAAAAATTAATTTAATTTACATTAAATATTATAATTTCGAATCAATTTTTAATTTTTAATTTTATTAATTTTACGTTTAAATATATATTTTATTATTAATTTTAATTTTATCATTATTATAATCAATCGTATCTCCATCATTATTTTCACTTTTTATGACATCAATAATCTCACTGATCGTTCAATGCAAAATCGAGTACATGTCTTCTATCTTAAAAAAATGTGATAAAAATAATTATTAAGATTTTAACCTAGCAACCAAAAGAAAAGTGCAAAGGTTATTCAAGATATTATTATTATTATTATTATTATTATTATTATTATTATTATTATGAAGGAAGCATCGAATGTTTAACATTTTATTAATTTAATTGTATGAATTTTAAAATGATAGAGAAAGAAAGTAAAATTAAATTTTAAAATGAAAAAATAAAATAGAAAATTTACACAGCTTTAGGCTTTTAACGATGTTGCTGCTCTTTCTTTTTCTTTCATCTCTCTCGATGATGCATCATGTTGATTCGGGATCGCTGACTTTTATGAAAACGAGTTCCTCACCTTCGCTTGTATCCAATAAGAAGTCGACACGTGTATTTTGCAGTTTAATTTCATCCATTGATCAGCACGGATAATTTTCCAAATAATCTCCAGCTATATATATTTTTATTTTTATTATTTATTTATTCCCGTAGTTTGTCGGTGGAACATTTGGTGAAGATGCTTTCCCCTAAAATCCAGCCTGGTATTGCGTAAACCTCGAACACCTATTTCCCCGTCAATCCATCATCCACCGTTGGATCATCCCAAACATGTTCGCCATTTAAGCACACTCCACACCACTAGTTTAGACGACCCTGAAAAAGACCCTGCATCTAACGCTTTCCTTTTCATTTCTTCCCCTCTTAAACGAACTCACCCTCCTTTTTGCCTTCCACACAAACAAAATCAGCAAAAACCCTCATCTCCAGGGCAAAGGGCGATAATGGCTGCCTTAAACAGGGCCATTGCTTTGATTTTTACTGTGGGTTTGGTTGCCAATCTTGCTCTAATGGCTGATGCAGATGATGATAAGAAGATTCAAGTGAAGACTGTGAAGGGCAAGAAAATGTGTATGCAGGGATGGGAATGTAGTTACTGGTCGATCTATTGTTGCAACCATACCATTTCAGATGTCTTCCAGGTTTATCAATTTGAGGACCTGTTTTCTAAGAGGAATTCGCCTGTGGCTCATGCCGTGGGGTTCTGGGATTACAAGTCTTTCATTTTGGCTGCCGCTATTTATGAGCCTCTGGGTTTCGGAACAACCGGTGGTAAGCTTATGCAGATGAAGGAGGTAGCTGCTTTTCTTGCCCATGTCGGTGCCAAGACATCTTGTGAGTTTTGAAGTTTTTTTTTTTTTAAATTGTTCAGATACTGGGTTTTGTTGTTGCTGTGCTATCTGGGCTAAGGGTCCGTTTTTGAGCCCGATTGGAGGGCTCCTACCCCTCTGGAGGGTGCGTTTTATGGCTGGATCCTTAGTTAGATCTGTCTGTTTGTGTTACATGATTTAGTTGAATGGGACTAAAGATTTGGTAGTAATTAGATGTTAATTAGTAGTTGAAATGGTGGCAAACGATTTCAGGTGGATATGGAGTGGCAACAGGAGGACCCTTGGCTTGGGGCCTTTGCTATAACAGAGAAATGAGCCCTAGCCAGGATTACTGTGATGAGTCCTACAAATACATTTTTCCCTGTGCTCCTGGAGCTCAATACTATGGCCGTGGTGCCTTGCCAATTTACTGGTATGTACACTACTGTTCTAGTTATGATTAAAACATTTATTCGACCTTTTCCATATGCACTTTATCATGTATCATGTATTTGCTAATGTAAAGAATTTCTGTGTTGTTTATTTTTGTGACTGATAAAGTTTTAAATTGTCTCTTCAAGCAACTATTCTGATTAAATGATTCATAGCAAAGTGTCTGTTCAAGTACATCTGAACCTTTTGTTGTTGGTATGATCTATGTGCTGCTGTTCCACTGCTTACTGCCTTTATATTTACCTGCATTTTTCTGGGACACATGTTGGCTATATATATATATAACAATGAATTTGCAGTTTCCTTGTGTGCTTTCTCTTGCCTAATACAAAAAGAGATAAGTATGTCTCGGCAAAATTTCATATCTACAAAGTTTATTCATCATTGTTCCTTGGCCATCCATCTCGATGGACAAGAAAGACAAATAAGAGGGATACATGTATGTCCCTTCAAGAAAAAAGTTCAATTTAATTGTTTCATATAGTTTGATGTTTGATTGTCGAACAATAGAAAGTGGGATGTATTCCAAATAAGAGAGGGAGAAGAATGGATGCAGAACTGGTATTTCATTCCATGTATTGGGTTGGTATGTGCCGTTTGGTTTTCACCTGGTTGAATGTGCTCTTGTTACATGTTTGCCCTAGGTCGTGGAGATGATTTATAGCTGTATTAATTGGTCCTGACTCTTGACGGATGGCTGTTTCATCAGGAACTTCAACTATGGAGCTACTGGGGAAGGTATCAAAGCCGATCTGTTGAACCATCCCGAGTATGTAGAGCAGAACGCCACTATTGCATTCCAGGCTGCCATTTGGAGGTGGATGACCCCAATCAAAAAGTCACAACCTTCAGCGCATGACATTTTCGTCGGCAACTGGAAACCAACTAAGAATGATACTTTGGCCAAGCGGGGTCCTACTTTTGGCACCACCATGAACGTTCTTTATGGAGATTTTACTTGTGGGCAGGGTGATATTGATCCCATGAACACGATTGTCTCCCATTACCTGTATTACCTTGACCTGATTGGTATTGCACGAGAACAGGCAGGGCCACATGATGAGCTCACTTGTGCTGAGCAGGTTGCATTCAACCCAACCCCTGCTCCAAATGCTGCATCTTCTTCTTGAGCTTTTGTGTATTCTATTAGTTAGCCAATCTTATTGTTATGCTGCACTTGTCAAGGAAGAATTATTAATAAGAGAGTCGGGCAATTAAACCGTTGTAAAATCATTTTCTGTGTCGGTGTGAAAGTGGCCCATCCACTGCATGATTATCTAGTTATATACGTTGATTTGCTGTTGCTGTTCTTTGTCATTGCTGTACTGTGTGGAATTTCATATATTTGTTATTGTGTACTCATGATGATAATGATATAATGTATTGAACCACCATTTTATTCAATGTCTTTAAATAATTCTGCATTCTGTATTCTTTCTTCTTGGAATTTTATTCTTCCCTTTCTTGCACTCGAATATTCCTGATTTATTCAACCTAACTTCAGCGGAAAACTTATTTATTTATAAATATATATATAAATTAAAACTTACAGCTACATATTGATATTTGTTGATGTTGCTCTGTCTGTTAATAACAAAAGTCACATTTAAGTTAGTGTTCGGGAAAAGAGTAAGAAGGAAAGCTAAATTGAAAGCCAAATATAAAAATTTCAAATTAGTACGGTGAAGGTTTTGGGCCAAAATAGTCTCAACTCCGAGTAGCAAGGTTAGGGTTGATATGTCGGGTCAAGCTTAGTTGACAATCTGAGACCCAATTGGAAAGTAACAAGCTGGCTGAGGTGATGGAGTTTGAGAATTTAGGTTGGCTTGACACGTTGACTTCGGTTGAATTTATAGAATTATCGATGTCCAGTTGATAACTTATACTTTGAGACAAAATGTTTATTTTGTCTCTTGGATTATACAATACCCCTAAAATGTTGTATAAATAATCAAAGTTAATAAAATACATATTAATCGAAATTTGTATTAATATGTAAAATTTGTTTCCTGCACAAAATATATCAAATAAATATAAATTATTTTTACATTTTAAAGTTAAAGAAAAATTAAAACTCTAAAGATAAAGCAATTCAATGTTAAGTTTAATTTTTTTTTATTTATTATCATTTTTAAGAAAGTCATTTAATGAAATTATATATTTTTTATTTTTAAATTAGATAAATATTATAATAATATTCAAAATGAAAAATTATAAATAGAGTAAACAATAATGATCATTTCCGTCGGTTCAAAAGTTTCTCAATATCCATGCTTGTATATATTGACAATTTATCAATTCATTATTCATTCTTTACTTGCTTTAATCCATTAATTGTGATTATTATAAGAAGTACTACAATTGATTCTATTACTATATACTTAATATTTTTGTGCTTTTTTTTTTCTTTTTAATGTTACTTTTTTTGTTGAATTTTTTTTAATGTTGTTTGTTTATATGTTGATAGTGATTTTTATTTGGCAAAAGGATAAAAAAATGTTTAAATAAAAATTTAATAATCATTTAAATTACTGACGTTTTATTTCAATTGAATATTTTATTTCAAATAAGTTGAATCATTAAACATTTATTTTCATCCAATTGAATTCTTAAATATCTATTTTCACTCAATTAAACTTTGAATTGGATAAAAACAGTTAATCATTTTTCTTCTTACAATGGTTCAATTAGTAAAAACAGATGTTTGAGAGATTAATTGATAGCAAAAAATAAAAATAAAAACTTAAATGATTATTAAATTTTAGTTTTTTTTTTTGTTTACATTGTTGCCTTTTTTATTTTTAACTATTCATTAATATTATTTAGAGATATTAATACTTACTAATAGTTTTTTTTTTGCATATTATCTAATTTTGAAGTAAATAAAATGGAATAGTGTTGATTAGGTTATATAATGATAGAGGTTGAGGATACAAGACACTTTGACTTTTTTTTTGACGTATTTATGTAATTTGATATTTTGTAACGTTAGCCTTGAATTGATCAATGTATTTTGAAATGACAAAACAAAATTTGCTTAACATGAACCAAGTTGTTTTAATATGAAATTGAACATTTTTCTAGCTTTTTATCTTGCTAAAAATGCTTTGGAACCACAAGAAAACTCAACAAATGAAACAAAAATGATTTTGGGCAAAATGGGACAGATGGGATCAATCACCCAACAGAAAGGATAGATCCCCTCTTTGACCCAATTGATCCCCTAGGTGAAAAGTTCGATCCATTTTTTGGCCAAAAGCTCACCTTTGCAAAAAACAGTTGCCACTTCTCTTAGGGGTAAAGGTTATTCCATGTGTTCTCATGTGTATAACAGCAAAAAATTTATTTATTTATAAATATATATATAAATAAATAATTAAAGTTACATATTGATATTTGTTAATATTGATCTGTTGATTAATAACAAAAGTCACATTTAAGTTAATGTTCGAAAAAAGAGTAAAAAGGACAGATAAATTGAAAGCAAAATATAAAAATTTCAAGTAACATGATAGTACTTGGGATGGGTTATTTATATTAGTAAGGTGAAGGTAGTGGGCCAAAGTAGTCTCAGCTCAAAGTAGCAAGGTTAGGGTTGATATGTAAATCTATAACCTAATTGGAAAGTAACAAGCTAGCTGAGGTGATGGAGTTCGAGAATTTAGGTTGGCTTGATATGTTAACTCGGGTTGAATTTTAAAATTATCAATGTCTAGTTGATAACTTATACTTTGAGACAAAATGTTTATTTTGTCTCTTGGATTATACAATACCCCTAATAATATTGTATAAATAATCAAAGTTAATAAAAAACATATTAATCAAAATTTGTATTAACATGTAAATTTTGTTTCATGTGTAAAATATATCCAATTAATATAAGTTATTTTTACATTTTAAAGTTAAAGAAAAATCAAAACTCTAAAGATAAAGTAATTCAATGTAAAGTTTTAAATTTTTTTATTTATTATCAAATAAACCCATTTTTAAGAAAGTCATTTAATGAAATTATATTTTTTTGTTTTTAAATTAGATAAATATTATAATAATATTCAAAATGAAAAATTATAAATATAATAAACAATAATGATAATTTCCGTTGGTTCAAAAGTTTCTTAATATCCATGCTTGTATATATTGACAATTTATCAATTCATTATTTATTCTTTACTTGTTTTAATCCATTAATTGTGATTATTATAAGAAGTGCTATAATTGATTCTATTACTATATACTTAGTTCTTTTGTGTTTTTTTTCTCTTTTTAATTTTACTTGTTTTGTTGATTTTTTTTAATGTTGTTTGTTTATATGTTGATAGTGATTTTTATTTGGCAAAAGGATAAAAAAAATTTCAATAAAAATTTAATATTCATTTAAGTTACTAACATTTTATTTCAATTGAATATTTTATTTCAAATAAGTTGAATCATTAAATATTTATTTTGATCCAATTGAATTTTTAAATATCTATTTTTACCTAATCAAGCTTTAAATTGGACGGAAATAGTTAATAATTTTTTCTCTTACAATAGTTGAATTAGTAAAAGTAGATGTTTGAGAGATTAATTGATAGCAAAAAATAAAAATAAAAATTAAATGATTGTTAAATTTTAATTCTTTTTTTTTTTTTTGGTTTACATTATTGCCTTTTTTATTTTAACTATTCAAAAATATTGTTTAGTGATATTAAAACTTACTAATAGTTTTCTTTGCATATTATATGTTTATGAAGTAAATAAAATGAAATAGTATTGATTAAGTTATATAATGATGCAGGTTGAGGATGCAAGACACTTGGATTTCTTTTTTTTTTTCTTTTTGACATATTTATGTAATTTGATATTTCATAGTGTTAGCCTTGAATTGATCAATATATTTTGAAATAACAAAACAAAATTTGCTTAACATGAGCCAAGTTGTTTTAATATGAATTTGAACATTTTTCTAGCTTTTTATCTTGCTAAAAATGCCTTTGAACAAAAAAAAAAAAAAAACTCAACAAATGAAATAAAAATGATATTAGGCCAAATAGGATAGATGGGATCAATGACCCAAAGGAAAGGATCGATCCCCTTTTTAACCCAATTGACCCCTTAGGCAAAGGGTTTGATTTTTTTTTTGGCTAAAAAGCTCACATGTGCAAAAATTTGAAGAATCAATCGATCTCCTCTCTGTAGAGATTGATTGGTTAGGTTTTTAACATGACCCGATGAATCTTTCCACTAAAAAGATCGATCACTCTGGGTAAAAGATCGATCACTTGGGTTTAAAGTAGACCTAGTAATTTGAAACATGACACGATGATACGATACCAAATGATATGAATAAAAGACACATAAATAACAGGGCTTAAAATTTTAGAAAAATCATAAATAGATTTAATAAAATAAAAAATTATATTTTATATTTTCGTGTCAACACAAATTGTAACACATGATGTCACAACATGAATATAATATTTTACATGACATAATAAAACGAATTGTCAAGTTTAGTTTAAGGGATTAATCATATCTTTTACCTGATCAATCGAGTGTGGCTTTTATGTGTAAAATGACCTAGTTTTCAACTAACCCAATCAATCTTTTATATGAAGGGATCAATCCCCTCGTACCCAGAAAGCAAGAAACGATTATTTTTGTCTGAAATTTTACAGAAGCTCCAAACATTTAATGTAATCAACGGCTATCTTTCACTTTTACATATAAAAGGAGGTCTCCCACCACATTTCAAGCTATTAAAGAGCTAAGAAAAACTTATTACTTTCATCTACCATATTTTCTAAGCATTAAAGAGTATTTGTTATGTGAAAAGTGTAAAAAAATTCATCTTGTATTTATTTCTCTCATGATATCCTTCATAATTTTAATTTTAGCAAACACCTAACTTTAGAGAAGTTTTTTGAGTTTACAAAATACTTTAAAGCTTGTATTATGAGGGTATAAGCTTAGGAGGAGGATAACCTTTAAAAGATTATGTTGTTGATTATATAGAGTTTTGAAGAACTAGATTGTAACATTCAACACATAGTAGATTAGATTTCTTGGTAAGTGATGTTAAGGGAGATGACATAAGTGCTTAAAGGAATGGTCGAATCTTTATAAATTTTAGTATTTGATTCTCTATCTCTATCTCTTTACTTTCAAGATTATTATTGTGCTCATATTTATTGTGTTTATTTGCTTAGAAATATTAATTTGTAAATTTTGTGTTCATTGAATATTAAATTTAAAAAATTCATAATCAACCAATTCACCATCTCTGGGTTTAATTTAAGTCTTTGAGCTAACAATTGGTATTAGAGTTAGTATTTTTTTATTGGTCTAACAACCTAAGAGTGATCCCAAATGGCTCAAAGAAACATGGTGATGAAGGAAGAGGAACAATCTACAAGTTACAACAATTATGAAGAGTAACAAAAAGTGTGTCT